CAATTAAACAGATCAAAACAAAGATACCATTTCACCCTGAATATCTCACAGATATCATATTTTCATTAAAACTGCCATGGAACATGGACTGAACATACCATTGCTGAGTTGATCATTCATGTGCTGTTTCAGATTGATGATCACGGTTTCAGAACACATGTTGGTATCATCATTCACCTGAAACTATGACGAAGGAGAGGAATGTATTGTAATACATACGGCCATGGTTTACAATAGGTTAGACATTCTGTGAAATTATGTTTCAGCCACATAAAGTGAGGTCAGGTGAAAAGGGGTTTTAACATACCGATGAAAAGTATTGCACTTAAACAGTGACGTGCATCCAGACACAACAGTCATGATGACCTGTGTATGTTGTGGTGAGACACAACAAAGCTATCAAGATGACCGGAGTTATTGTCCTTAGACAACAGAGCCAGCATGATGACCTGGGTGTCGTCGTCAGTGACAAGAGAGCTATGAAGATGACCTGAGCTATTGTGACTCATGACTCATTCATGGTCATCTGGGACAGACAGTCTGCTGGTATGTTTAGTTTGTACGGTGTGTGACATGCTTCCATTCCGAAGCTAAACGAGTCTTCCAAGGCAAACAAACCTGAAATCTCCGTCAAGAAATGTTTTGACGTAGTTTCCCCTTGGTGCTGTGGTGTAACAGTAGTTCCCATCCTTGTATGCGTGAAATGTAGACAATGAATGCGCATTTTGTTGTCCAGGTACCACCATTCCCCTTGGACTGTGTTGTTACAGTAGTTCCCATCCTTGTATGCGTGAAATGTAGACAATGAATGCGCATTTTGTTGTCCAGGTACCACCATTCCCCTTGGACTGTGGTGTTACAGTAGTTCCCATCCTTGTATGCGTGAAATGTAGACAATGAATGCGCATTTTGTTGTCCAGGTACCACCATTCCCCTTGGACTGTGTTGTTACAGTAGTTCCCATCCTTGTATGCGTGAAATGTAGACAATGAATGCGCATTTTGTTGTCCAGGTACCACCATTCCCCTTGGGCTGTGGTGTAACAGTAGATCCCATCCTTGTATGCGTGAAATGTAGACAATGAATGCGCATTTTGTTGCCCAGGTACCACCATTCTCCTTGGACTGTGGTGTTACATTAGTTCCCATCCTTGTATGCGTGAAATGTAGACAATGAATGCGCATTTTGTTGTCCAGGTACCACCATTCTCCTTGGACTGTGGTGTTACATTAGTTCCCATCCTTGTATGCGTGAAATGTAGACAATGAATGCGCATTTTGTTGTCCAGGTACCACCATTCCCCTTGGACTGTGGTGTTACAGTAGTTCCCATCCTTGTATGCGTGAAATGTAGACAATGAATGCGCATTTTGTTGTCCAGGTACCACCATTCCCCTTGGGCTGTGGTGTAACAGTAGATCCCATCCTTGTATGCGTGAAATGTAGACAATGAATGCGCATTTTGTTGCCCAGGTACCACCATTCTCCTTGGACTGTGGTGTTACATTAGTTCCCATCCTTGTATGCGTGAAATGTAGACAATGAATGCGCATTTTGTTGTCCAGGTACCACCATTCTCCTTGGACTGTGGTGTTACATTAGTTCCCATCCTTGTATGCGTGAAATGTAGACAATGAATGCGCATTTTGTTGTCCAGGTACCACCATTCTCCTTGGACTGTGGTGTTACATTAGTTCCCATCCTTGTATGCGTGAAATGTAGACAATGAATGCGCATTTTGTTGTCCAGGTACCACCATTCTCCTTGGACTGTGGTGTTACATTAGTTCCCATCCTTGTATGCGTGAAATGTAGACAATGAATGCGCATTTTGTTGTCCAGGTACCACCATTCTCCTTGGACTGTGGTGTTACATTAGTTCCCATCCTGTGTATGCGTGAAATGTAGACAATGAATGCGCATTTTGTTGTCCAGGTACCACCATTCTCCTTGGACTGTGGTGTTACATTAGTTCCCATCCTGTGTATGCGTGAAATGTAGACAATGAATGCGCATTTTGTTGTCCAGGTACCACCATTCCCCTTGGACTGTGGTGTAACAGTAGTTCCCATCCTTGTATGCGTGAAATGTAGACAATGAATGCGCATTTTGTTGTCCAGGTACCACCATTCCCCTTGGACTGTGGTGTTACAGTAGTTCCCATCCTTGTATGCGTGAAATGTAGACAATGAATGCGCATTTTGTTGCCCAGGTACCACCATTCCCCTTGGACTGTGGTGTAACAGTAGTTCCCATCCTGTGTATGCGTGAAATAAAGACAATGAATGCGCATTTTGTTGTCCAGGTACCACCATTCCCCTTGGACTGTGGTGTAACAGTAGTTGCCATCCTTGTATGCGTGAAATGTAGACAATGAATGCGCATTTTGTTGTCCAGGTACCATCATTCCCCTTGGACTGTGGTGTAACAGTAGTTCCCATCCTGTGTATGCGTGAAATGTAGACAATGAATGCGCATTTTGTTGTCCAGGTACCACCATTCCCCTTGGACTGTGGTGTAACAGTAGTTCCCATCCTGTGTATGCGTAAAATGTAGACGATGAATGCACATTTTGTTGTCCAGGTACCACCATTCCCCTTGGACTGTGACAAAGTCCATGTGAGCGCGGCAACCTTTGCCAGGAGCATCTGTGTATAGGTGATGTTCTGGAGTGGGAAATATGAGAGGGAATCCTGGGATGACATCGTGACGTTGTGGGCACCAATGTAGGTCCAACAACCGAACAGGGGAGGTGGCGGCAGGGTTCCAATTCGAGATTATGGTTTGAGTTCGTCCAATTTTGTAACAGACTTTACTGTAGCCTCCCTCTGTAAGTTACATCTTTGAGAGATGTAAGTGTGCCTAGGCATGACATCCACCAACGGCGTGACCAGTTGGACGGGTTGTGTATTTGGTTGAAATGCAGGCTTAAACATGGAAAGTATTGTACTTAATACATGCAAACTTATAAGAGTGTACATCCTTTGTGGGAATTTGCATCCCCCGCTCATACTATGACAACAGAATTGTAATAGTTACAAACACGATTGCCATACTATTGCAATGTATGGCAAAACATCGTAAATGCATTATGATCACTTGATAAATTCCTGTACTATCTTACAACATAGGTGCCCTTGCATTATCCGATGACAAACATCCACCAAATTCTACATTCAACAGATTTTGTAGGAAGAAGTAAGATATGGTATGTGTATCCTGTCGAAAGTGCACTCTAGCATCTATGTTAACAGTTGATATTTTGTCTTGTCACGGACTTGTTGCCATCGAACCATCAAGCTTGATCAATCATTACAAACCTACCAGCAACAAGTCAGGTCTATGATGGTTCCCCACATCACCAAGTTTATCAAGAAAGTGTCAAGGGATTGAAGTTACCCTTTTAGCGAACACCTCAAGCCATCACTGATTTTCAGTGATCCTTTCATATAGTTTCCACCACTATTTGAATTAGTAGCCACCAATGTCGTTCTGACAGTTGAGTTGGCATCTAAGTCTAGTTCTCAGGTAGTTTTTATCCAGTTTTGTAAAGTAGCCTGCCTCTATAGGTTTGATCCTGGAGGGAAGTGAGCGTACCTGGGTATGACATCCACCAACGTCGAGACCTGGTGGTCTTTTGCTGTTGCGTATCTCCTCGTCTGGAGGGCGTTAATGTCTTGACTGACTCCATCTCGAATTTGGGAAGCTTTGAAATGGCCAAATTCGTGGCAGCGGGCTTGGTCCTGACAGATGGAAACAGCGTCCTTTTGGGTGGTGTGTGTGTGTGTGTGGCTGCGGCTGCTCGTACTTATTCGGACATATGCCGATTTTATTGCACTAGTCCACAGAGATACCATGCCACAATTTAACATGAATACCCCACTCAGACACAGTATACTGATTCCTGACTAGAGCCTTAATGCTGAGCGTCAGGCATGGAACAAGAAGTACCATCTTTTATCGTCTTTTGGTATGACACCGCAGGGAATGGAACCCCCAACCTTCCGCTCTCCGGGCAGACGCTCTACCACTAGACCACGGAGGCACCCATAGGATGAATCACAAGACTTGTTCATAGTAGGAAATGGAGCTTTTCTGCCATCTTGAATCGGAGGCAAAACCTTGTTTCGTGTGTAAACATGGTGTTACGCCATTGGGTCTAGGGTCACACCCTTAACAGGACCCGTGTTTCCAACTCCATCTCCAACAATACGTTTTCTAAACTACCTACATACTGAAGTGTCCTTTCTTCTATACCTGCGATCTGCTGTAGACTGCTCTGACGTGATATGAGTAAATTATACACTGTGAAACAGCAACCAAACGTGTTCAGATGTGAGCAATAGTTTTGACTTGTTTTAGATCTGGACACGTGACTGTGAAGACGAAAGTTGAACATTTATAAAATTTCATAGTGTGATTATCTGCCTGAACAGGAACTCAACGGATAATGTACTTTCTTATTCTCTCCATGTATTTCTCTTTCAATATTTCATGACCCTTATGACTCTTCGTGATCCATGTATGAATATTTGTAGTGGTTTGTGAGATTGTACTGATGACACATAGATACCAAGTCTATTTCCATGCTCAAGCTTTTCTCTTTTCTTCTTTTGTATTTAATCTGCCCTCACAATGATCTTGGCAAGGTGAGGAGAAATGTGGTTTAATGTCATGTTCAAGATTATTGTGATGTGCATGCATGTGTGTGTCCGTGTGTGGCTGCTTGTACTGAGATACTATGCTGCAGTTTTACATGGATAACCCCATATGCTGACTCTAAACGGACCAGTCCTTGTTTCAACCCTTTAATGCTGAACGCCAGCTAGGGTAACAACAAGTACCATCTTTTAATGTCTTTGGATGGAACCACTGACCAGTCAGACACTCTGTCCACTAGACCACAGAGGCAGTAAATGATCTTGGGATACATTGCAAGGTACATGACATGCTACTGTCACATTAAGGACATGAGGGTGCAAAAACAACTGAAAGACACACAAAAAGAAGGAATGCTTTATTTCAATAAGGGACCAATCCTGATTACCTTACTCAGTGGAACAATCTCTTACAATTTACAGCATTACAGATAAATAAATTCTAACCAAATTAATTTAATAAATTTGTCTAAAAAATCAAAAAAGTTTTGTGACTGATTTGGTCCATCCTATCATCAGTTTTCATCATTACAACTAATTCTCTTCGAGACTTCAATACTTCACGGATAGTTTTCATCTTGGAGATCATGACCAAAATAAATCCTTTCCAAAAGTCATCATCTGCATGTTTCAATATTTCAATGTTTAATAAGATAGGAGTCCAACCATTGTAACCTGTGATAAATGGAAGTAACATAACTGAACATGTTTTCAATGGTTAAAATAATACATGAACAACCTCCTACTCGTCCCACTTCTTGTCACAGCAATAATATCAGTGATAAATAGCTAAAGCTTCACAACAGTTTCAGTCCATAAGCAAAACTAAAAGTCTGTATCAAAATACCTGTTCTGGATTTAAATAACAAAAATACAATTCAGCGTGGATATTTGGGTCTCATGAGATTTACACAATCTGGAATACCAAGAATTGAAATACATGCAAATGTGGATTTAAACTCTTTTATCTAATATAGACCATTATAGATTCTTGATTAAATATGATGTTTGTCAAGGACTGAGATTGACAGGAAAAATGTGCAAAGGGAAAGAAGGATGCAGTGAGAAATCAAATTTCTATAAGTACCAAGCATGACCAAAATGTTGCTTCAAACTCTTGTAAAGGTGGGATTAAAATATAAACCAGTGCAAATTTACATAATATTGAAACATGTACATTCTCAATGATTATATGGGCAATATATATTCCTGCATTTCACTGTAAAGATCATATCCACTCAAATATTACTCAATGATCTCCAAAAATCAAATCAAATACAATCAATCATAAAAAGTTATTTTTGAAACCATAGCTATTGCACATATGTTGCAAGATCAAATTCTAAATAGGGTGAAAGGAGCCTTAATTTGGACAGATTCCATATTTGTTCATTTACCTGTAAACGTTTCTGAAGGACCCAAAAAGTATGATTTACCTCCCAACATTACCACATATCACATCCTCTTGTGAGGTTCATGTATACTATAAAAAGTTCAATAGAATATATACAAGTTTCACACCTCAACAAACAGAATATGGTTAAATAATTGCTTTTGAAATTCAGATCTGCTTTTGACATTCAGATCTATATATGTGCCCTTTTTATAAAGTGAGAATCATATTTTCAGAATGACATTATTTCCAACATGTCTTCCTATTCATTCTGTGTGTTGTGGTGCGAATATCGCAGATCTGCAGCTAGCGGTGAGGCATCTTCAGTTGACTACAGCAGATGTGCACATGGTGTTGAGTCCGCACACGCCGCCACCTCGGTACACACGGTAGTAGCCCTGGAACAAACAAACAGTATCAGTTTGCTGCAATACAATCATAGCAATCTAGAGGCTCTGTAGCTCACCTAAGGTGATGTGAAATGTAACGTGGTGATATGTATTGCGATATATTGGGAGCTAAAGTGTTTCACAGTGATTGACATAGATAGTACAAGCAGAACCTATTTTCTACAGGATCAAGTCCAAGTCAGCATGGTCAGTCGCCGACATGAGAGCAAAACCACTCCCGTGTTTTCGCCTTTTTGTCGATCAATTTCAAAGGGAAACATCATTTGTGAATGAATTTCTGTGAAGATGTTAAGTATTGAAACTTTTAATAAATTTTCTACCAAATATACCGGAACCAAAAAAAATGAAAAAGCATATTGCAGTATACCGGTAATACCCTGGAGTCCTACTGTTCAGTATGGCCTGCTACACAAGTGTCCACAAATTTCCTACCTTCTCTCCCACCCATGAAAATCCGGGTACAGAATTGGTCTTCAGCGACCCATGCTTGCCATAAGTTAGGGTGGTCAGGCTTGCTGACATGGGTGATGCATGTCATCTTATCCCAATTGCGTGGATTGATGTTCATGATGTCATTCACTCGATTGTCTGGTCCAGAATCGATTATTTACAGACCGCTGTCATATAGCTGGAATATTGCGGAGTGCAGTGTAAAACAAACAAACAAACAAACAAACAAACAAGTACCTTCTCTCCCCAGTCAGGGCCCCAGCTGTTCTTCACGATCCAGTATGGCTCACTGCCCTCTGTAACACAAACAACACAGTACAATCTGCTCACGTCGCAAAGCCTTCCATACACAGAATGTCACAGATTCTAGTTCATCCAAGAAAACTTATTATACAACAAATAAAGGTCTTTTTGACATTGCTATTAGCAATTAGCATGGTTAGATTCTAACATCTCAAAAGATCACTATCACCAAAACTTAATGTATTGATTATTTTACACCTTCAGATTCAAGAGGATCCGAAATGATGGAACTGGTACTTTGTTTCTTAGACAACGACAAATTCATAGGCCATAATGACATGACTACTGACCGACGCCATAGCCCACAATGAGGACACCGTGGTCAAGGGACTTGGGGTTGCAGAAGATGCTCCAGGGATGAGAGATTCCTCCAAAGTAGAACTGAAACATATATTAGCGTGCACTACAGGAGTTGTCATTATCACAGAGAGTTGTCGACTGTGTGTGTGTGTGTGTGTGTGTGCGTGCGTGCGTGCGTGTTTGTGCATGTGCATGTGTGTTTGTGCATGTACATGTGTGTCTGTGTGTGCGGGTGTGCATGTACGTGTGCATGCGTGTGCGTGACTGACTAACTGTTTGTACTCCAAACCGACCATTGTTGTATATCCTTAATGCTGAGCGTCATGTAGGGTAACAACAAATACCATCTTTTAACATCTTTGGTGATGATGATGATGATGATGTTGTATGAGATTTAACGAGTGCTTCTGGTGTTGCAGATTTCACAAATCTTTGGTATGACGCAGCCACTGATCAAACCGACCTTGATCTCTCTGAGCAGACGCTCTATCCACTTGACAACGGAGGTGGTCGCGCACAGCAGGCATTGTTCTCTCAATAGTTGTCCAACTAAATAAACCACATTCACAGGAAGTGGTTTGTTCCAGAATAACCTCATGCAGTTACTCCTATGTTTTGTTAGCTTCGGACACGCCCGTACATGACGCTGACATTATAGTGGAAAATATAGTTGTAAAATGAACTAATGCTATATATATCTAACTTCATTTCTTTGTATGAAAATTGGAGACACTCAAGTTGCTAATTTCTTCAAGCTAGGTTTCAACATTCTAGTTTTTACCTGCATAGCATTTGCATTGATTCCAATGGAGATGGGTCCATTTTGGGCCAGCCAGGATGCCATGTCTGTAACAAAATAACGTGTGTATGTCCAGGACAAATTCCACAATATATCAACAGGATAATACACAAAACCGCAAGACTCATCAGATACGCCAGGAATACAGCAAGACTCCCCAGACATGCCAGGAATACAGCACATGCCATGAATACAGCAAGACACACCAGACATGCCAGGAATACAGCACATGCCAGGAATACAGCAAAACACACCAGACATGCCAGGAATACAGCACATGCCAGGAATACAGCAAGACAAAGCAGACATGCCAGGAATACAGCACATGCCAGGAATACAGCAAGACACACCAGACATGCCAGGAATACAGCATATGCCAGGAATACAGCACATGCCAGGAATACAGCAAGACACACCAGACATGCCAGGAATACAGCACATGCCAGGAATACAGCAAGACACACCAGACATGCCAGGAATACAGCACATGCCAGAAATACAGCAAGACACACCAGACATGCCAGGAATACAGCACATGCCAGAAATACAGCAAGACTCACCAGACATGCCAGGAATACAGCAAGACACACCAGACATGCCAGGAATACAGCACATGCCAGGAATACAGCAAGACACACCAGACATGCCAGGAATTCAGCACATGCCAGGAATACAGCAAGACACACCAGACATGCCAGGAATACAGCACATGCCAGGAATACAGCAAGACACACCAGACATGCCAGGAATACAGCAAGACACACCAGACATGCCAGGAATACAGCTAGATATTGATATGCAGACAGGATTGTAACAGCTGAGGCTCCTGTTTTAACAAATGCCCCTTTCAAAATAAATCTTTAAAAAAATGTGCATAATGTCAATGCATTACTTTTACTGTCAGTTAATTTCACGATCCATTCCCCATTCAGCCTGCTCTCTTGCCAAGCATGGTATGAGGGGACATTGATATCAGTTGATGATCTAGTGGCATGGCCACTGATAAGGAGGTCATTGGGAGGCCAATGAATTTCCAACTAGTGGAAAAGATGATGCAGCGTTAAGCAATATATATTTGCTGAAATAGATTCCCAATACATACAGCCAAATATTCAAAACATCGAAGAGAACATAAATGGAACTGTCTTTGAATCTGCCTAAATATGGTAGTAGCATTGACTTACCATCTTCATTGCTGGAGATGTTGACAGCACCATTGATCTTGACTACAACCTCTGATTTGTTAAAGGCACATTTCTCATCCTCCCCGTCATATTTGTAATCACCTTCCGTCTCCAAGCCACCTAGATATGAATCATACAAAGTGTATTATGCGCATGTGTGTATCATATTCAAGACAATTTGGTCCTTTCCAATACTGCTCTCACAAGTGACAAGATACTTAAGGACAACAGTTATTTTCGCTTTGCACATTCATGGGAGATAACTGTGTGTGGTGTCAATATAAGGTTAGAGTATGAATAGCAGCAGGTTGTAATATCTTCTGATTGTTTTCCACGCATCAGCTATGACAGTTGGTATCAGCTATGACAGTTGGTATCAGCTATGACAGTTGGTATCAGCTATGACAGTTGGTATCAACTGCATGTTTTTTCCCATGTAGGTGGCGTAAGAGATTCCTAAAGATCTGATGACCCAAAAACATCAAACACACATACCGAAGATCAAAATTACGCTTTAGCAGAGGGACAATCAGTGATGATAGGTACAGCTGTAATGTATAATATGGGAATTTTTCATAACATATGAATACACAATGCCATTTAGAAGGTGGTCAAATTTTACAAATATTAATTTGGGATAACACTTTCTTTTTTTGGTTCTGTGTCTTTGTTTGTTGTTTAACGCCACACTCAGCAATATTCCAGCTATATGTCAGCAGTCTGTAAATAATCGTGTCTGGACCAGACAATCAAGAAATTAACATCATGAGCATCGATCTACACAATTGGGATACAATGACATGCATCAACCAAGCCAGTGAGCCTGACTACCCGATCTTATGGCAAGAACGGGTTGCTGAAGACCAATTCTGTACCTGAATTTTCATGGATGGGAGAGAAAGTAGGAAACTTGTGGACATAGTCGGGTTTTACTGAAAGGATGGGTTGCTGAAGACCTATTCTAACCCCGATCTTCACGGGTACAATGCGTCTGTGTCGATGTGCCTACTCTTGTTATTTGACTACAAAGTAACAGATATTCGACTGAAGCAACCTGCAGACAGTGCAGCAGGTGGTAAGCAGGATAAAACTAGTGTCTTGTGACTGTGGACATGATGAAGCTGTGTCTCAACATTTGTTAGAAAGACATTCAATAAACCACACACGAAACTCACGACACTCAAGTTACCATGGTTAAACCAGCGTTCCCGTTTACCGGTAATTACCAGTTTTTTACCGGTAAAATGAGGCTTGGACCAGTAATTCATGTGCCTGCCAGTCCCTATGGACTAGCAAATAAGGTACTTATAAATCTTTGTTGTTGAACAAAACATTGGTGATATTCATATAAGTACATTTTCAAACAAAGTCAGCTTTTCTGTTACCATCAGGGTTTCCCCTTGTCTATTTCTAGGTTAAATATCCAGTTGTAGCGGCTTTTTCGCGAAATATTAAAAAATAAAGAGAAAATTGTGACTGAAGTTTGCGTGAATGACGTACAGTTCTAACAAAGTTACTTCAGAGATGCCGTCTTTGCACTGAACATGAAGTTGAATGAATTAAAACCAAATAATTTTCATACGCTTTTTCATTTGTTGAAAGTTGGGACTTGCAAAAATTAGTTGGGACTGGTAATTTTTAGAGTTGCAAGTCCACAAGGACACAAGTCCACAAGGACACAAGTCCACAAGGACACAAGGACACAAGTCCACAAGGACACAAGTCCACAAGTCCACAAGGACACAAGGACTGGCAGTTTCAAAAGCCAGCGGGAACACTGGTTAAACTAATGGTAAACCACTGTCTCCTTAGGAAAATATTACTTACAGCTATGCATAGAAAAAACAAAGAATAGCGATGATGCAACTACTATTAACTAATACAATATTATATTAAGAAATATATAAAATTCTATTTAAATGCTGATGAAAGCATGAACATATTTCAAATTGTCGTTCTTTTCTCTTCATAGAACATCTGTGTAAGGCTTAAAAAAATAAAAGAATTGGTTCTCAGGCAATGGTTTTTGAAAATATAGTGTGGGCGGGCGGTGTCTTTTTTGTTGTTGTTCAAACTAGTATGTAACCAAATAAACAGTTGTGTTACCAAATAAACAATTTTGTACAATCAACCTGGGAAAGGGCCTATGTACAAAATGTATTCCTTGATGAGTAAAATACTGGAATACAGTATTTGACTACCATTGGATTTGGAATATTTAAGGGTTCTTTTGTTGTTGTTTTTAAAAATGGCAATGAAAACAAACGTGCAGCGAACTTTACGATGATGCGGGTGGTGCCTGAGAAGCAAGACTATTTTTTTCAGCCTAACAAAGACAAGAATTTTAACTACAATCACTTCAACAACATGTTTCCTACCCAGTTTCATGATGGACATGTAGGCATTAGAAGGCAGTCCACCATTACATCCCTCGTCCAGCTTGTCACAGTCCACCAGCTCTGTAAACAAAGAGACAATCAGGTTCACAGCAATGGACTACCTGACATTAAGAACTAAAGAATCTCCAATGAAGCAGGTTCAGCTAGAACTGTTGTCCTTGTATGAGATCAAGCAACTCCAACTCCAATCCTATGATATTTTCCAATCTATATACTCACCGCCAAAAGAAAAGTTAATATATGAAGACTTACTCATATTTAAGAGATATTTGATTGGTTCAATGCACAAACAAATATACTGGTATGTTGTGTGAACCGACGCTCATGAATGCATCACATGTGACATCATAGATCCATGACTTGAGATGCACCATTTGTCTCGTGTAGGATTAGCGTGTAAAGTTTGGAAATCACGTGCAGTATATCGTTATAAAAATATAGATACTATGTTGTAACAGTTGATTGTTTGTTAGGTTTGTCATTAATTGGTACACATTGGAAACATCTCTTCTTAACGTATATACTTCTCGATATGTTTCTATGGTTTGCGTTTCTTTTGGTAGTGGGGTGGTCTGGTAGCCTAGTGGTTGAAGCGTTCGCTCGTCACACCGAAGACCCAGGTTCGAATCCCGACATGGGTACAATGTGTGAAGCCCATTTATGGTGTCCCCCGCCGTGATATTGCTGGAATATTGCTAAAAGCAGCGTAAAACCAAACTCACTCACTCACTCACTCTTTTGGTGGTGTGTACAGCAAGTGAAAGGATACTCCTCAACTTTTGACAGGGATACTGAGATATTTCATACTGCTACAAACCTTAAACAGCAGCTTAAGGGAATGCTGTATTATTTACTTATTATCTGTAATGATGCTGAACATGAGTCAGTGTCAAGGCAATATTGAATGTTATTTGTATTGCAGCTTCTCCCAGCAATCAGTCACATTCAGTGCCTGCATGGACACTCAGGGTATCCCTATCAAAAGTTGAGTAGCATAGGTTCAGTTATTCTCACTGATAGCAGAGAGTTTTTGTTGACATCATGAGCAAAACCCACACAATTAGGGTATGACGGTATACAATCTGCCAGGTCACCCATTGTTACCACCCAATCCTCAGTGATTGTCTTTTGTGACAAGTAGGGTGTACAGGGACCTATTCTGCCTCGGAAGTGTCACAGGGGTACAAATGGTGTAAAGCTCGGCTGTTACCTTGTTCTGAGAGGGAGATGAGACGTTTATTCTTGATCTGCCATTGTCCCTCAATGTTACCAGTGGTGGAGAAAGCCCAGCAGGAACCACACTGTCCCTGAAGACAAGACAAGGCAACATGTGAAACATCAAATACAACATGTGAAACATCAAACACAACATGTGAAACATCAAACTATTTTCAACATGTGGTTGGTTGCTTTGTTGTTTAATGCCGCAATCAGCAATATTCCAGCTCTATGACGGCAGTCATAAGCATCGATCCACGTAATTGGGATTGATGACATGCATCAACCAAGTCTGCGAGCCTGACCACCCGATTCCGTTAGTCGCCTTTTACAACAAGCATAGTCGCCTTTTGCAGCAAGCATGGATTGCTGAAGACCTATTCTACCCCGGATCTTCACGGTGCTTTTCAACTTGTGAAACAGTGCAACTAATTTCAACATGTGAAACATCAAACTATTTCCAACATGTGAACAGACATATTTCCAACATGTGAAACATTGCAACTTTTTCAAACATGTGGAACATTAATCTATTTCCAACATGTGGCATATCACAACTATTTCCAACAGGTGTAACATTGACATATTTCATAAATGTGAAACATTAATCTATTTCCATCATGTGAAACATCAAACTATTTCCAACATGTGAAACATCAATCGATTTCCAACATGTGAAACATCAATCTATTTCCAACATGTGAAACATCAATCTATTTCCAACATGTGAAACTTCAAACTATTCCAACATGAGACACAAGGCTGTCAATAAGAACAAGATTCTGATGAAACAATATCCTTCACTTGTCTGAAAAGTTCCCAATTTATTCTCCATCTACCTTCTGTGCCATCATCAATATCATCTTGTTTCAATTGAAAATGGAGTGAGTGAGTGAGTGTTTTGTGCCCAAATTCCAAATTTGATAGTTCAGCAGTGCTGTTAATGTCTTCTCTAGGACATGATGAGATGTATTACATTTCTGTTACACAGCAAAACCGAAGTATGCCTACCTGCTGATTGGAAACTCGTCTCCCTGGTGATTTGTTTGATATGAATCTGTTCCGTTATTTAATGCCTTCAGCATAGTTCTCTTAGCAAATGACAACAGGAGCATGAAGGGGGTGGGTATTGTCTTATCGGACACAGTTCTGATAAACATAGGAATTTTTCATCCTGAAGACTTACCGTAGGTATGTCCGATTTGATCTCTCAATTTTACGCCTAACTGATGATACATGTCATCGGTCCCAATTGTGTGGATCGATGCTCATGATATCAATCACTGGATTGTCTGTTCCAGACTCGATTATTTACAGACCGCCGTCATATAGCTGGAATATTGCTGAGTGCGGCGTTAAACAACAAACCAAACCAAATCCTACCAGAGTTGAGGAATACATTACCTGGTTCTTCACTGGTGTAACTGCACCATGATCTCTCCAGTCAAAGGCTTTTGGGGTAGCTCCACGGGGGATTTTGGCTCTGTACATTGTGGAGGCACCATGGTTGGGTATCTTGTCCCAAGTTGTCTTGCTGAGGTATTTCTGTTTGAATTCCTTCTCTGCAAACATTATATAAATAATGCAAAATACAAAATAAATAATGCAAATTAATACAAATAAATACTATCTTTGGGTGCATATGGTTGGACGCTGTAGTCAGCAATATTCCAGCTACATCTATAAAAATATCAAATCTGGACACAACAAACAAGTACATGAAAGCATGAGCAATGACCTAAGCTATAAGGTGAGTGAGTGATTGAGTATGGTTTTACGCCGCTTTTAGCAATATTCCAGCAATATCACGGCGGGGGGCACCAGAAATGTGCTTCACACATTGTACCCATCTCGGGAATCGAACCCGGGTCTTCGCCGTGACGAGCGAACGCTTCAACCACTAGGCTACCCGACCGCCCCAAAACTATTTGGACAGAGGGAAACACAATCAGTCAAGTCACCGGTTCTGACACCCCATCTCTCCAGTCAGCTCTTTGAGTACTTTGGACCTTTATTTAGTCCCAACAGGGCACACTATTTTTGACAATGAATTTGGATGGATTTGATTCTCACGTGTAAGATCTGCAAATTTGGTAGCACCATATACTGCTGTTCCTTGTTCAATCTTGTTCAGTTGACGAGCAATTTTCATGTTCTCACAGAAGATGGCAAATCTCTTGACCTCCTCTGAAATATGAATTAAAAAAATCAAATAAGTTAACTCAGCCTGTTATAATTGAAGGTAAAGGAAATAATAAGGTGCAGAGTGCTACAAATACCCAAAGCTATTTACCATCAGAAGAAGTCATGGTTTGTTTGTTTGTTGTTTAACACCGCACTCAGCAATATTCCAGCTATATGACGGCAGTCTGTAAATAATCAAGTCTGGACCAGACAATCCAGTGACTGATATCATGAGCATCAATCCACACAATTGGGATACAATGACATCCATCAGGCAAGTCAGCAAGTCTAACCACCCGATCCGATTAGTCGCCTCTTACGACAAGCATAGTCGTCTTTTAGGGAAGTCATGGTAGAACTGAATGAAAAATAGGAGAGCTCTGCGCAATTGCCAGTTTACTTCTCTGTTATCACCATGTGGAGCAATATTCCAGCTATATCACTGTAAATAACCATGTTTTGGCCAAACAAAACAGTGGTTGAGCATGATCCCTGTCTTGAAACTATTTCGTCCTTCTAATGCACTATTCTATAATATTTCACCAAAGAGATTGATCCCTACCTTCAACTGTATCGTAAACCTTTCCATGTTTGATCGTGAAGTCCTTGAAGTGTCCTCCATGACAGAGGTCATGACCATCTCCACCTAGGTTGCCACGTCCATGTTTCTGAAAGTCGTGGTCGCCTCCTCCAATCAGAGGCTTTGTCTTTCCATGTTTCTGAAAGTCGTGGTCGCCTCCTCCAATCAGAGGCTTTGTCTTTCCATGTTTCTGAAAGTCGTGGTCTCCTCCTCCAATCAGAGGCTTTGTCTCCCCGTGTTTCTGAAAGTCGTGGTCTCCTCCTCCAATCAGAGGCTTTGTCTCCCCGTGTTTCTGAAAGTCGTGGTCTCCTCCTCCAATCAGAGGCTTTGTCTCCCCATGTTTCTGAAAGTCGTGGTCTCCTCCTCCAATCAGAGGCTTTGTCTCCCCATGTTTCTGAAAGTCGTGGTCGCCTCCTCCAATCAAAGGCTTCGTTTCACCATGTTTCTGAAAGTCGTGGTTGTCTCCTCCAATTACATGTTTAAATGCTCCCAGCAGTCCAGTCCCAATATGCTCCAGTAGAGGGTGAAGGTTATCAGGTATAAAATCTTTCTTCTGACGCTTCAGCAAAGGCTCAACCTTATTGGTCAACAGCTGTGCCTTGTTCTGCTGGTTGGGGAGACCAAACAGTGGGAGTGTCTTGTCAGGTCCAAGAAGTTCCTCTAGCCGTGGCGTCTTGTGCTTACTAAGGAGGTCCTTCAGCTTACTGGCCAGGTCATCCTTGAGTTCTGGTAGAGAGTCGCCCACCTTGACACCGGCCAACATTGGTTTCAGGAGCTCTTCAATCTTTGGAATTTGGTTAGAAACAGGAGCAGCTGGTTGATCATTCTGTTGATAGAAATCTACATTGGGACTGCGGCCAACTGGTTACACTGAACAAGGGACAAGAGGTCTACTTCCAGAGAACAAATAAATGTCAATTAATTACTCAACGATATCAAAATCTCATTAGAAAAGGGCAACAAAACAACATGAAAGAGCCTGAATCAGTCTTCCATTCGACATCTCTGACTGGTCTCTGTAACATTACATAATGACCCAGAGGGCAGGCTGCACCTCGTCAGGACGGTCAGCATCTCATCTACAACCTGCTGAACTACTGACAGGAAAGCAAGATTTGGCGAATTCATGAACTCAACAACTTTCAGGCATTCTGTTCTAAAATTTTGCTTTTTCTATTTTTTTTTTTGGGGGGGGGGGGGGGGGGGGGGGAGAGAGACTGTTCTAGGTGACAAAAAAACAAGAAGACTTAAAGTAAACTATGAACAACGGCTTGCCACATACTGGTTGTAAACACAGCGACGCTAATACTGGTTGTAAACACAGCGACGTTAATACTGGTTGTAAACACAGTGACGTTAATACTGGTTGTAAACACAGTGACGTTAATACTGGTTCTAAACACAGTGACGTTAATACTGGTTGTAAACACAGCGACGTTAATACTGGTTGTAAACACAGCGACGCTAATACTGGTTGTAAACACAGCGACGTTAATACTGGTTGTAAACACAGCGACGTTAATACTGGTTGTAAACACAGCGACGTTAATACTGGTTGTAAACACAGCGACGTTAATACTGGTTGTAAACACAGCGACGTTAATACTGGTTGTAAACACAGTGACGTTAATACTGGTTGTAAACACAGTGACGTTAATACTGGTTGTAAACACAGTGACGTTAATACTGGTTGTAAACACAGTGACGTTAATACTGGTTGTAAACACAGTGACGTTAATACTGGTTGTAAAAACAGTGACGTTAATACTGGTTGTAAACACAGTGACGTTAATACTGGTTGTAAAAACAGCGACGCTAATACTGGTTGTAAACACAGTGACGTTAATACTGGTTGTAAACACAGCGACGTTAATACTGGTTGTAAACACAGTGATGTTAATACTGGTTGTTAACACAGTGACGTTAATACTGGTTGTAAACACTGTGATGTTAATACTGGTTGTTAACACAGTGACGTTAATACTGGTTGTAAACACTGTGACGTTAATACTGGTTGTAAACACAGTGACGTTAATACTGGTTGTAAACACAGTGATGTTAATACTGGTTGTTAACACAGTGACGTTAATACTGGTTGTAAACACTGTGACGTTAATACTGGTTGTAAACACAGTGATGTTAATACTGGTTGTAAACACAGTGACGTTAATACTGGTTGTAAACATAGTAAATGGCTCCCACGTGGAGGTCATCTAAACTTCAATGCCACTTCCTTTACTTGCCTGTTGGCCACATTTCTCCGACTCCAAAGTGAAATTGGGTGTCTTCCAGGCTTGGTACAATACCTTGTAGCTGCACGCAGTTGTCTGAATGTTAAAAAACATTGTGTGAAACCATACATAATTTATTAATGTTTTCATTCCTTTTCAAGACATAATTTCAAACAGCTAAAAGAAGGGTAACAGGATCCCTAATTTTCTAAACTCCTGGTAAAGAAGGACCATTATACAGGCGACTGCTGACTACTATGTTACAACATAGCAGCAACCAGGCCCTGTGGCAAGCATTGAATACTCATATGCTTTCTTAAGCATTGCAGTACTAGTTTCAAATTAATGACTTCCATTCCACATGTTCCAGACTATGCTTTAAAAATCAGTCAATTTTGAATCAGTCATACAGTCCGTTACAGTAGTTTTCTGTTAAACTTTATTGGTTGCATGATTAGAAAACATATTCCGCTGACAAATGTAACACGACAATATTAATATTTCCTTTTTCCTTTTCCTTTTCGTTATCTATCGTGTAGTTGTCCAATTTTCGACCACGAACGTTTATACTACCCAATTTCGTTTATCCGACATACTCGTTAATCCGACATATTCATATGCAACCAACAATGTCGGATTAACGGGACTTGACTGTATACTAAAACACTTTGAAAACACATATGCGATTTATTTGTAAATATTTGGCATAAGACAATCAAACATGATAATGTCGTCATACAGGTTCAAATCTCATTTGATGTGCGTGAAGATGGGCTTGAGCAAAAAAACCCATCTTTTCTGATTTCGAGTTAAAGTTGATTGAGCGTTTTCATTTCGTTTCAGTGTATTACTGTTCTGTTGAGCAATGTGTATATCCTACCACAGGCTTGTCAGCCACAGCACAGTCCTCCAGTCCCTTGCCCTTGTTGGCTGGACTGTTTCCGCACGTTGTGTCCACCATACTCACAGAGAAGGTGTACAAGGTTCCGGCAACTAGCTGAAAACAAACAGTTTGGGTATACATAACAATGTTCATTGTACTACTGACAACATCCTGGTGAGGACTATATCTGGATCATTAATCCTTTGGTCAACTAAAGAGACAAGAAATTGTCGTAATGAACTACATCCGTTTTTGGAAGAAGCAACCTTACAGGTGATGTGATGCCCTATTTTCAGCAATATGACCCCATGACCATTTTGAAACCGTCAGGACAAATATACTACCCAAGGAAGTTAAAGAACACCTAACTTTTCATATGACTAGTTAATCACAATGTGAACAAAATACCATGAACAAGGGAGATGGTTCTATTGATATACATCTTCTTTATTACAATGAATGCAATGTAGATACTAGCACCGCTATCAAGCAAGTGATGTACAGAAATGTGATGTTGGAAGGCTACATACAAGTGAATAACTGATGCTTTCACAAGATTGAATGATGATAGATTGATGTTTACACAACCGACAAGGTTGAGGTATGAAGCCTGATGATGAATACTATGCCACATGTGGTATCAAACTCTGTACTGTGTCAATATTGACAGTAGACCTGGTAGACAAATCACCTGTTTGGCCACTTAAGAAGTTAAAATACCATGCCACATGCAGTATCAAACTCTGTACTGTGTCAATATTGACAGTAGACCTGGTAGACAAATCACCTGTTTGGCCACTTAAGAAGTTAAAATACCATGCCACATGTGGTATCAAACTGTGTACTGTGTCAATATTGACAGTAGACCTGGTAGACAAATCACCTGCTTGGCCACTTAAGAAGTTAAAATACCATGCCACATGTGGTATCAAACTGTGTACTGTGTCAATATTGACAGTAGACCTGGTAGACAAATCACCTGCTTGGCCACTTAAGAAGTTAAAATACCATGCCACATGTAGTATCAAACTGTGTACTGTGTCAATATTGACAGTAGACCTGGTAGACAAATCACCTGTTTGGCCACTTAAGAAGTTAAAATACCATGCCACATGCAGTATCAAACTGTGTACTGTGTCAATATTGACAGTAGACCTGGTAGACAAATCACCTGTTTGGCCACTTAAGAAGTTAAAATACCATGCCACATGTGGTATCAAACTGTGTACTGTGTCAATATTGACAGTAGACCTGGTAGACAAATCACCTGCTTGGCCACTTAAGAAGTTAAAATACCATGCCACATGTAGTATCAAACTGTGTACTGTGTCAATATTGACAGTAGACCTGGTAGACAAATCACCTGTTTGGCCACTTAAGAAGTTAAAATACCATGCCACATGCAGTATCAAACTGTGTACTGTGTCAATATTGACAGTAGACCTGGTAGACAAATCACCTGTTTGGCCACTTAAGAAGTTAAAATATCATGCCACATGTAGTATCAAACTGTGTACTGTGTCAATATTGACAGTAGACCTGGTAGACAAATCACCTGTTTGGCCACTTAAGAAGTTAAAATATCATGCCACATGTAGTATCAAACTGTGTACTGTGTCAATATTGACAGTAGACCTGGTAGACAAATCACCTGTTTGGCCACTTAAGAAGTTAAAATATCATGCCACATGTAGTATCAAACTGTGTACTGTGTCAATATTGACAGTAGACCTGGTAGACAAATCACCTGTTTGGCCACTTAAGAAGTTAAAATATCATGCCACATGTAGTATCAAACTGTGTACTGTGTCAATATTGACAGTAGACCTGGTAGACAAATCACCTGTTTGGCCACTTAAGAAGTTAAAATACCATGCCACATGTGGTATCAAACTGTGTACTGTGTCAATATTGACAGTAGACCTGGTAGACAAATCATCTGTTTGGCCACTTAAGAAGTTAAAATACCATGCCACATGTAGTATCAAACTCTGTACTGTGTCAATATCGACAGTAGACCTGGTAGAGAACCCACCTGTTCAGTGACATGCTCCACAGATTGTGCCACTGCTCTGTACATGCTGTTGACCCTGGAGTTGTGGTATTCCACTGCAAACATGACCGCAGCCTGAACATCTTTGTCCAGACTGGCTGGCTTCACACCACCCAGGACGGTCGTAGGCTTGCAGGAGTAGTCAGTTAGAGTCCTGGTTCTGGTCCAGGATTGGTCGTACACGGTCATATGACACAACTCATCCTGTCAGGAGGATAATAAAGAGAGTGAGTACGGAACACCCCTTTCTTAGGCAATGTATTTATAATTCCTTGATTTCTGATTCCAGCAACAATGAAAATGAAAAGTAAATATAAAATTAAATTGATTATTTTCAGCTTTTGGGTATTGCAGGTGACTTATTTTTTCCAGTGTCCATGAGTGTTCCAATATTCTCCCATATAGCCAGTTAGCTATATTGCAGCTACATCAAAGATGGAGGCCAACCACGATGTCAACATGGCCGACTACCTCAAAAGATTGCACCTAAAGAAGCTATCACGAGAACAGGAGTTAAGTGTACACAGATGCCAGCATGTGCAATAAAGACTACTCAGATCCGAAAATTAGTTAATGATTATTATGTCAGTTGAGATTTTCAAGAAATTTTTAAACCAAGAATCCCAAGTCATTACACCTTGGGGGCAATGAGTTTCAGGAACAATCCCCTTTTCCATGCATGTTGATGGCCACAAAGTGAGAATGGACAACAACGTATTGTGTCTACCAAGATAAGAACATGGTCAGGAAGCCTCCTACTGCAGAGGTAACCTTTGATGGTTTACATTCCTGAGGAACCACAGCCCTGGTTTAATATACTTACTGTCCCTCCATTTGTAACACGAAGAACAATCTTATAGTTGATCCCAGACACAACCTGCAACATATACAAATCACTGTTGGTAATGATGTACAACAGAAGAACAAATTGAAACAGATGCATGTGTACAATAGACACATGTAATAGTGCTGGACGGGCAACTCGGGTCGGGTGGGTACTGAGTAGGACCTAGGTAACCACAGGACTAACATGACCTGTGGTTAGTCACGTTATATATTGTTTAATGACAAAAAATATCTGGAACTCCATGGTAACATCACAAGCCGCCAACGTTCAATTTCTTTCTGACCATGCGATCCATGAAAATCTGGGGTAGAATAGGTCTTCAGCAACCCATGCTTGCTGTAAAAGGCAACTATGCTTGTCGTAAGAGGCGACTAACAGGATCAGGTGGTCAGGCTCGCTGACTTGGTTGATGCATGTCATTGTATCCCAATTGCGTGGATGGATGCTTATAATGTCAATAACTGGATTGTCTGGTCCAGACTCGATTACTTACAGACTAACGTCATACAGCTGGAATATTGCATAGTGCGGCGTTAAACAACAAACAAACAAAATCTGACCATACACCCACTTCTTCTGACCTTTATAGGTTTGAATAAAGATAAAGCTTCAGTCAACTTCAGTGTATGCATGACCAGATCACTTTATACGTGTATCTAAATACATTTTGCCAGGGCTACAGTCAAACTATATTCCCAATTGGACATTATGTATCCAACTCTTGAGACCTACAGTAGGTACCCGGGTAGGGTCGGGTAATTGGAGGTCAGAAACCGAGGTAGTAAATTTGGACTCGTCTCAGCCCTAACATGTATCCAAGGTTATACATACAAAGGTAAAAGTAGTCTCCTTGTAAAAGTATATGAAAAACCACGCCACCAGACATGGTTCAATAAACATGAAACAGAAAGCTATCTCAGATCATGTAGATCTGAGAATTTATTACTACATGTATTATTTTGAAAACCATGAAGTAATATTATTGCTTATCAACAGTGGCTATTGATTATGTAGACACCTGTTAGTGCTATCCTCAGTTTAAATTGTATTGATGGTACCCTTCATATATCACTGTATGATCTGAAACTGTATAAAGTGAGTATTTTAGCAATATTTCAGCAATATTACAGTGGGGGACACCAGAAATAAACTTCACACTTTGTACCCATGTGGGGAATCAAACCCGGATCTTCAGCGTCACGAGCGAAACTTAAACCACTAGGTTACCCCACCGCCCTGTAAAAAGTGAATTTAAGTTGAGTTAATCATGTAGACATGAGGCCACACTGCCATGAACAAGTGTCCGTACATCTTATGGGTTTCCAATGAGTTACATGTGAGCTAATCAGCTGTTTGGATGAAAATTTGATTCAAATCAACCGGGGGCGAGTGATTTCAAATTGCTTTACATGGCACCTGCAATGATGCACTTGCAGCCATTTACTGTTAGCAACACCATGAAATATCCATAAAAGAGGTTAAGTTCTGTGGTATCAGATACATTGATCATTAATAATGGTGATACAAAAGTTTGGTTAAGAATGACTACACAGAAAGATGAGCAAGGATTTATATGGACCTGCTCAGACGCTGATATTCGTCTCCATGTCTGCAAACAATGCCAGTACAAATTCCCAAATTTGAATTAAATATTTTCAAATTCATGTTGTAATAATTATAACTAAGACATAATTATCATTCCTTATATATATAATGTGGAAACACACGAGGATATAAACCTGATAAAGTCTTGAATAATCAATGTACAAGGTGTAAAGCCACTCAATGAAGTAACTTTAGAAACCGTGTGTGAATTAATATAGTGTTTGAGTGAACCACACTCATTTATCATAAAGCGCCAAATCATTTGCAGTGATGTATGTCTACAGAGCTACCCACATGGAAAACCCCTGCCAAAACTTATTGGGAACCTAAGTTAATATTTTATTGAACATGCAAACATTGCATCGAGGAATCATGCTGTGTATGCAGCTTACAATAGTTCTTGTAAGATGAGCTCATTTGCATATTTAAAGGATAGTGATACCTAGCTTACAGGATTGGTTTACAGCATCGATAATACTTATATGATAATTATTATTACTCAATACTGCGTGGTATGCATGGTATAAGAGAACAGGTTTCAAATATGAAATGAGCACATTCAGTGGTAACAGTGTAAGATAGCATTTGTGAAAAGTTACTTGAGACATATACAATGATATAGTACATATAGTATCAATGTCATGAGTTATCAGGAAATCTTTGTGCATATGGTCCTTCTCTTGATCAGGTCAACACAAGGTCACCGAGCTAGGCAGTGACAGACTGCCTGTCACGTGCCCCAGGGCAACCATAAAATATAGTTTGTTGATGTGTCTTGTACTTGTTGTACCAGTAAAAGGGTTATAGAAAATTCAAAATAAAAAGTTTGATGTAATCAAACATGTTAATTTGTCCTGATTGATTTTCAGTGAAGTACTGACAAAGCTAAACTATCAGCACTAACCAAGCTAATACCATTCTACATATTAAAATTAATGATTAAATGTACCTGACAAAACAAACGTCTAAACTGAATTAACTCTAAGGCTGAATAAATAGGGCGGTGGGGTAGCCTAGTCATTTGCTAGTGGTTAAAGTAGCATTTGCTCGTCACGCCGAAGTCCCGGGCTCAAATCCCCATATGTGTAGCTCATTTCTTGTGTCTTTGCTGTGATATTGCTGGAATATTGCTCAAAGCGGTGTAAAACCATACTCACTCACTAAACTAAAGATGGTTTTTTTTTTTACATGGGATAGGAGAGTGATGAAAATAAACATTTGTTAAACATTAAAAAAAATCATTTAACATTAAAGAACATGAATTAAATATTATAATTAACATATTATAGCTAAAACGGTACCTCAGCAAATGTCACTGAGCAAAAACAGCACCTCGTCTAAAGTGGAAACGGCTAACTATTTATTTATTTATTTGTTTTGCCTTATTACTGAAATAAAGTAAATTCAACTCACATGGTCAGTTGCCAACACAAATAATTGTGAAATGTTAATCACATTAAAACAAGTTGACACTAGAAATTGGTCTCTACTTCAATTTACTCACTGACACTGATTGGGAGGCGCAACTACACTTATTATGAAAACATCAAATGCGTTGAAGTTTTAAGTAGTTTTACTCAAACTAACTGAATGTCAAGCTGAAACTATATTTAAGATGAATAACAGGGTGCTGTCAGATCACAATTATTCACAATGTCCTTTCAATGTGTTGTATGCGAGAAGAATGTCAGGCAAACTCAACATGCTGTATCATGTGACAACTGTGACCAGTGGACCCATCGTGTTTGTGGTACCAGACTTTCTGAAGCCCATTATAGAGAAATTGGCTGGACTAGAGAAGACTTCCCTTTCCGCTGTTTAAGATGCATAGATCCTGTTATAGAAGAGGTGACTGGTTACATGAACTTTGGTATCAGTTTACAATCAGAAGATTCAGAAGAAAGGAGGGTACCAGACATCAACATTTCGGCACATTGAAGATGACAATGATATTTGTTGAAAGAAACAAGAAAACGATAAAGAGTAACTGTGAGTAAAGCATATATACTACTACATAAATAGTTCTTATCATTATTAAAAGTAGGGGTGCCGTTATCCCCCAGACAATCAATTAGTAGCGGTTTTCACCAAAAGGTGTGCTGTTTTCGCCAGAGAAATCAGTGACATCTTGGTGAGGCGCCGTTTTAGCCTGCACCCTTTACAACCCCCCAACACCCCCCCCACAACACGCACACACTTATTTTCAACGGGTTATAGCGAAAACGGCACCTCAGCAAAACGTCACCGGGCGAAAACGGCACCTCGACTCAAGCGAAAACGGCACCTCGTCTCGAGCGAAAACGGCACCTTATTTTTTTTACCTTGGTCAAATAAATGATATTAAACTGACATTGTAACTTGCAAAGGCCAATAATTGTGAGATGTTAAAACAAGTTTACATTAGAAATTAGCCTCGGCTCCAACTATAATCCAACTTAGCTTATACGCAACTCAACTTATGGTGAAAACATAACATGCTTTGACGAAAGATAATAGAAATTAAACTCACATCGTCTCTTACAAACACAAATAATTGTGAAATAAAACAAATAAGAAATTAGCCCCCTACTCCAATTTACTCACCGACTTTTATTCACTATACGCTTTGAAGTTTTAAGTACCTTTACTCAATTTAAACTGAAACTGTATTTGAGAGGCCTAACATGGTGCTGTCAGATCACAATTATTCACAGTGGCCTTTCGATGTGTTGCATGCGAGAAGAATGTCAGAAAAAAAATCAACACGCTGTATCATGTGATAACTGTGACCAGTGGACCCATCGTGTATGTGGAACCGGACTTTCTATGGCCCGTTATAGAGAAATTTGCCGGACTGACTTCCCTTTCCGCTGTGTGAAATGCGAAGCTACCGTCATTGAAGAGGTGATCGGTAACTTTGATGTCAGTTTCCAGTCAGAAGATGCTGAAGAAATGAGAGTACCAAACCTATCGGAAATTCACACTACGGCTTCAGATGTACTCTATACATCAAATACCATGTAAATAAACCATATATATTACCACAAAAATCGTTGTTATCGTTATTAAAAATAGAGGTGCCGTTTTCGCCCGACACATAGTAGCCGTTTTCGCCAAATGCGGTGCCGTTTTGCTGAGGTGCCGTTTTAGCCTGCACCCATTTTCAACTACCTGACAGGAGTGACAAGTAATTTTTATTCATGTCAAACAGTAATCACAATGTCAAAACAAACAAACATAACCATACGAACAAACATAAGGTTTCATGTTGAGTACTGCAAGGAGACCCATCACATGCAGTCAGATTTAGTGAGTGAGTTGGGCTACATCAGTTTCGTTTTCCTTATGATGTGACACAACCACACTAATAATTGAAGATCACAGTTTCACGTTCATGAACGATTAACTTCCGTAAGTGACTCGTCTACACTACAGCTGTTCTAAACTAAAAACAAAAAAAGGTCGGTTACCGACGGGTTTGTTTTTTTTTAATTTGCATGTCACATAAACGATGAAACGAATTTATTTACTGTCTGATTTGTTGAAAACAGCTATTTGCACTAAACGGTAGATTTTAACTTCCGCCCTAACCAACTGCCTCGATGTTTTTGATATATCATCCTGGAAGTAACATTATAGGCTAGGCTACCATAAATAATATTCTACTTATATTAAAAATCATTTATGTCAGGTTAGGTTAGGGTTAGGCCGCCCTAAGCCACGCAAAATCTGAAGCAGGGGTTACGGATGGAACTAGTCACATTAAAGTAAAAGGTAAACAAATGACACTTACCTGCGTTGTTGCTGACTCAATCGTAACCATTTGTCTCTGAGAGTTTTCCTTTGCATTCACCGTGTCAAGAGCAAATTCGGCCATATTTTGGACGTCATCCTTACTGATATCCGCATTTTCCCAGCCTCCTACTAGCTTCAGGTTACCATACGATCCATGACCGTATATCAGAGGCAGAAACGACAACAAGATGCAAAGCTTCATCTTGCTACACAACAGCGTAGCTTACTTTGATGACACCGTTTCGTCTCGTTCAACCTACTTTTGATCACGAGTTTACCAACAAACACGCCATCTGACGGATCGAGTTGTAAAGGGACATAATTCTTCACTTAGCATGCTCCGTGTTGTGGAATCCGTCTTGACTTGAGTTCGAATCTGATGTTATTCGAACATGCTATATGTTACATGTCTTATTCTGTTTACACGAGTCTGTAGAAAACGTTTTGTCAGCTGAGTTAGTGTAAGCCCAAAGGCTATGTAAAATCGTCTTACCTGTTCTAAGATATTACTGTTTGAAACCAAGGCATGTAACTGCATACATACGAGTTTTAAACTGTATAAAGAACATTGCTACGACCAAATATACTGAACAACAAACGTTCCTGTGATACTGATTAAATGTAATGCAAAGTTATGTTTTTTACCAAATCTGAAACAATTTCGGTTTGCAACAGATAAAAGACTCCTGTAAGTGTTCAAATGGTTTAATCTCATAGAAAAACATGAACATGCCAAAATGTCAATTTACAAATCAAACGCGTGTGTGTCCACCTCTGGTTGCGATGCAAGCAACACATCTTCGTCTCATGGAATGGACCAGGCGTCGCACAAAGTCCTGTGGGTTATCTGTCCATATCTGCTGGAGCATGTTTCGAAGTTCCATGAGTGTCTGTGGAACACTTACGTGGTTGACGTCAAAGGCGCCGATCAATCTCATCCCACATGTGCTCGATTGGTGAGAGATCAGGGGAGCGAGCCGACCAGGGGATGACATTCACGTTGTTTTGTAGAAGAGAATCCTGAACAAGTCGAGCAATATGAGGCCGTGCATTGTCATGTTGAAAGGTAATGCCTGGGCCATGACGACGCAAAAACGGTAGAACAACAGGGCCGATGATCTCGTCGCGGGAGTGCTGTCCATTGAGATTTCCCTCTACCACTATCAAACGGGTCCTCTGTCTTGCTGTAATCCCACCCCATACCATAACGCTGCCGCCCCCGAACCGATCTTCTTCCATGACACAATGATTGACGCTACGTTCACCTCGACGTCGGTACACTCGAATCCGTCCATCACTGTGGCTGAAGTGAAAACGAGACTCGTCAGTGAATAGAACTTGTGCCCCACTGAATGGCCGTCCGGCGTAGACGCTGTCCGCACCACTCTAGACGTGCTTGACGGTGGTTTCCTGTCAAAATGGGACGTCTGGCGGGTCTTCTGGCGACAATCCCTGCACATCTGAGGCGACGACGTACGGTTTGTGAAGATATTCGTCGAAGGCCAGGGATGCTTCTTGCAGTCACTGTTGCTGGCTGGAATCGATTTCGTAGGTGTGTTGTTCGAATCCAGTTGTCGTGTCGATTATTGGTTACGCGTGGCCTGCCACTCAGGGGATGGTCTCTGACTGCATTCGTCTGTTGCCAACGTTGCCATAAACACCAAATGATGTTTCTGTGGACGTTAAACTGTCTTGCAACATCCCGTTGACTCGATCCTGCTTCAAGCATACCAATGGTTCGCAGACGCTCATTTTCGGACGGGCGTGGCATTTCATGTTGAATAATTGCGTAATTTTGTTGTTTTTCTGAGTGGTTGTTGTCAGCACGATACTAAACAATGCATATGGAATCCAGTTAACGCACGTTTTTATACCCATTCTTGGGTAGTGAAATGCATGAGGCTTGCATAAAAGTCGATTTTTGCATGGAATGCATGCTTTTCTGTAGCAGTTGCGTTTTTATGACTTGATTCCATACATGTACTACAATATTGAAAACCAAACTTAACGTGTTTGAAAAATACACTAAATATTGGTATCACATTAACTTTTGTTGTTGAGTATATGTTTGACAGATTAAATATCACTTTGTATTCATGAATCACTTGTGTATATATCAACTTGGTCTCGTCGCTATACGGCTGAAATAATGCCGATGCGACGTTAAATTTTAACTCACTCACTCCTTTGATATGTCTTCGTATTGGACACGTGTCCTGTATTCTGTTAGCAATTTGTCATCACTAATGGTCCACCAAATGCGTGTAACTGGTAATGCATGTCTTTGAGGAGTACACATTTAACTGACAAAACAATTTCGATCAAAAACTTTTTGAGCACCTTGTTTATTAATTTAAAACACTCAAACCTTAGATTTTCCCTCCTAATGTGTACCCAGAGCGTGAAATCAGCTTGGAATTCCTGGCTCAATTCCTCCAAACGTATTGTGACTACTGTTTTTGCACAAATACAGTGCCCCTGTGTTTTTGTTAGTATCATGATTACAATCTCAAAAACGGGATAAACGTTTATGTTTTCTTATTGTCAAGGTGTCTTCTTGCAAACCACATTCATTTTTCCGAGTTTATGTTATAAAAGTTTCAATGCAAACGCTCGTACGACCAGTCATTGTAAAATATACAGGTTTCTTTATGTGTATTTAATTAGCAATGCATCAGGAACTGATTGAAGTGTGTAACTGAAGATGTTCTAGTTTTGTTCTTTACTAAATACTAGCTTCTTTGTCACCCATGCAAAACCTGCACCATACCATATATTCAAGAAGTTTCTAATTGGACACATTGAGAGAGCTTTCATTAACTTATGGTTTATCACATTGAATAATCTCAGTAACCGTCTTAATAAGCCATCCCTTTCCAGCTGTGAAATGACGCGACATATTTTCACTTCCGAATGAGTGAGTGAGTGAGTAGTTGGGTTAACGCCGCTTTTAAAATTATTCCAGTTATATCACGGCGTGTCAGCTTAATGTGGAAGGAAAGCACGAAGTAATGCAGGTCTCAGACGTTTACCACTTCGGTGAAACTCACGAGCACGGGTATGATGCTGTGGTTTGTTGTTTAACGCCGCACTCAGCAATATTCCAGCAATTTGACGGCGGTCTGTAAATAATCGAGTCTGGACCAGACAATCCAGTGATTAAAATCATGAGCATCGATCCACGCAATTGGGATCGATGACATGCATCAACCAAGCCAGCGAGCCTGACCACCCGATCCCGTTAGTCGCCTTTTACGACAAGCATAGTCGCCTTTTACGGCAAGCATGGGTTGCTGAAGACCTATTCTATCCTAGAAACATAATCGGGGCGAACCGGGATTCGAACCCACAATTATAGGTTTCTGGTGTGCCCAAGGGACGCAACTATGCACTGCGAATCGCAGCGCCTTAAGACGACTGGGACACCCGTGCCCCTCCCCCTTTTCACTTCCGAAATAGAATTAATTTATGATATATGCTACTCAAAGTTTGCTACATCTGCAGCTTGTTTCTATCGTGTTCGATAGGGTTGAGGTCTGGTGACCGGGCTAGCCACTCCATGCGGACAATGGTGTCCTGCATCAACGACCCTGGCACGATGAGGTCGTGTTTTATCGTCCATGAGGATTAAGTCCGGTCCTATTGCACAAGCATACGGTCTCACGAACACATCTAGAATGTCATCCCTGTAGCGCACAACGGTCATCGTTCCCCGCTAAAGGACATTGAGATCGGTTCTTACTGATCCCACCCCAATCGTGGCGGTCATGTTAGGCTACTTTGGGCCCGTGAAGTGTAGACAATATCTCGAACTTGAACCCAGAGTTGGTCTGTCAAATTGACATGATCTTCAGCCAAATCCAAATGTGCCTGCCTGTGATGTCGGGTCAGTGGGAAGTGACCGGAGACCAGCTTCACGAAGACGTTTCCCAACTGAGTAGAAACGTTAATGCCTTTGGCGTTATGCAGGTCAATTCTGAGTGTGGTGGCAGTCACGAACTTTAGCTGCGATCAGTAGGAACCTGCCTTCCCACTGTGTGGTGGAACGCTGTCGACCACCTGTATGTCGATGATCCAAACGTCTGGTATCGACTCTATGATCTACTCATCACACTTTGGCTGGAACCAAAGACGTTTGCAATGTGACGTTGTGTTGATCCTGTTTCAAGCATGCCTTTGGATCTGCCTAATTCTGGGGCCTTCAAACAGTGTCTTTGACGATGAGGGAGGGGGGGGGGGGGGAAGAAAATAAGTGCATTCGGTTGTTGCAATCCTCAGTAGCAAATGCCATTGTGCTCTCTGATAATGATGTGCAACGACTCGGTCACGATATATACTCAACAACAAAAGTTCCCGTGACACCCCTTTCCAAACGGTTGTATACAAGAAAAACCTTTCTGGTGTTCAAATCTGATATGAAAACATGTAGCACAAACGCAACCTCAGCAGAAAATCATGATCTGATGGCAAAAAGTGTCTTTTATGCAGCGTGATAAAATTGAAATTGATTAATGGCATGTTTGAACACCACCCAAATGTGGAGGTGTTTCCGGGTTCCTAATATATCATGATCAGAGACATAATATTAATATTATCCCCGCACGAGGGCATACTCCAAGCATTATTATTGCCACAGTTAATGGATCAGTGTGCACTCAGCTCCCTTGGGAGTAGTAGATTAACAGTCCCATTACCTTCTAATCCTACCATGTACCTATCCGCTGGTGGGTGAACAGAGGCATATTTCAGACAAAGGCACCAATGTGCTCCAGTGCAGGGCAGGGCCAAAGCCAAAGAAACTTTCTGGAGTCAAGCTGCCCAACATGGTTACCCATTTAGCTATCATACGCGAACCATGCTGCTCAACTTCACCTGATTTGTGACCTGTGCGCTGTTCACAGGACCAGATGCCAATACCATATATATTGTTGACATCCATTCAGGAAGCGTTTGTGTTGTGATGTGAAACTTAATGATAGTAACTGATATGAGCAGGTGTCAGTGTTCCGAGGGAATACAGCAATACCATATACAGTCAAACGCTGTTATCTCCAACCTTGCGGGACCAGGTTGTAACTTCGAGATCCAAGGCATGAACAAATATAAAGTAAGGTGATCAGGACCGGAGAACAGGTTCAGGATATCTGTACATTCAAGATGAGGTTCGACTGTATCTATTCCACCTGTCCACCTGGGACCACATGATTATTAGAGTTAATCTGTCATGGCAAGACAAATTAAAATGAATGGGGAGTTCCTTAACTTATTTTGAGTAGTATATTAATCAGTAAGCAGCTCCCAGGCATGATGTAGTGCCCTGTGAACCATGACGGCCACACCTGGTGGATCTAACTATCAGCAGAGACATGAACTTTGCATCCAAGAAGTGTCCCTGCACCAGAATGAAGCGAAATGTCATATCATATTTCTAACAGCCATTAAAAAAAACCCATACTGACAGACAATTTGGTTTATTTGCTGTTGAATACATGAACTTAAAAACTGTACAACAGTATGAGATATCTTGGTACACAAGCTGTGGTGGCTTGGCGATGCCCATGTTCACCTCAATGAACACACACTGTGCAAAGATGGCATTGGTATGATCCTTCAGTGAAAGTCAACAGTTTTCTAAAATTGATAATATTTACCAGCTATCATATTTGAAAAATGCTCCAAGACTGGAGTTGCCTTGTTTAAAGAATCTTCCTATGTCCTGCCGAGATGGGATAGGGCCTCTAATGTTCACATTCTGCTCTTTGTACACGATGTGGTATATAGTCTTATAGCAAGATCAACCTACAACACAAACACCTACCAAGCAAAGTGAAACACATCATTACAAACACATGGTATGATCATCTGACATTCAATGGACACAATTTAACGACCTATGTGAAATAACATGAGGTGCGAGAAGTACAAAATTCAGAACATGACTACCTGTATTTACTTCATGAATTACATACAATTTACTTCAAACTCAACACTGTGTGACCTAAGAACTTTTTCTAACAATCGCATTAAAAATCCACTGAAACTGAGATTCCTTACAACTGTACTAAACACAACTTTAAAAAGAAACGAATGCTCAAATAAATCGTTACATCTACAAATACAACAATACAGATTAGCAATTAAACCGAACAGTCTTTACTAGAGTCTTCGTTTTTTCATAATTGACAAAGTGATTGACCTGGTACAAATCCTGCTATGTTCACTGACAATTGAAAGGTAACCATGGTAACATGATTTAGAATAGCTGCCATGATTGTTGAGGCCAGCAGATATGACATCACCGGACAGTCAGTGTGCGCATGGGTTTAACCCTATCCCCACCATACACACCGGACAGTCAGTGTGCACATGGGTTTAACCCTATCCCCACCATACACACCGGACAGTCAGTGTGCACATGGGTTTAACCCTATCCCCACCATACACACTGCTATGGTAGACAAAGCGTCAAACATGAAGATGTGAACTGCTTACATTTCTAATCTAATCACAATCGTAATAGAAAAAAAGATTATGTACATTCAACCATAAGCCCTACTTGTCGGTAAAGGCACACATTTTGATAACTAGTTACGAGTATCAGAAGAGAAATGTGGTCAACAAGTGACAAGTTAATGCTTGTGTATGAATTTCATGTCTAACACCCACCACAAAAAAGGAAGCACTATGAACGCTAGCTGATTAAGTACATGTGTTGGGGGATGAATTTGTGTGCTGCATTTGAATACAAAAACAGTGGCAGTTGAACGATGTTCATGGAAATGGTCATGAAAAAATATTCTTGTTAAACATTTACGCACATGGGAGTACCATTCATCTCTATCACACCATTCAACATGTGGATGCCATGGGTCAGATCAAGTGTAATCAGAGATAAACTGAGTATTCCAATAATGAAGAACGTGCCTAGGTCATGTTAGGATCACTAAATCACCTACAAGATCACCCCTGGGACAAGATGAACACTCAAATGAGGTAATAATTAAATGGCGGATGTTTACAAAGTTTCACATAAGCTAGAACACATTTTCTTTTAACAAGGTAAGATGCTAACAGAACATTTAAGCAAGAGAGACAATATTGTATGGTAGAATGCATATTTCAAACTGATAAGGTATATATACACACAGATGAAAAAGTAACAATTCATAAAGACTTCATGAGGTACCTAACAAACTCAATTTGAGAACACTTGTCAGAGAACATAGACAGGGAAACTACCATGAGCTGAAAACTGAACTTGACATTGCATAACCAATAGTTGGCGGGCCCATTAAAACTCGGATCACCTATACTTGTTCTTAACATTTGTTCATACAATGCCACAAGGATGGCGGCTAAGCAGTGCAACATTCAATCTTACAAAGTTAATCTTGTAAAAACTTTTGTCTGACATGTCATGAAAATAGTGGATGATATGAACAAAACAATGACAATGGGAACATGAAATCTCTTGACACGATGCATCCTCACAGGTACAATGTATATTATTGATCAGGACAGGTGATACACGAGCCGCATAGTCCAGCCGTCATGGAGGAACTATGCAGCTAGTCCACTTACAAAATACTGAGAAAAAGGTCATTTCCAAGGAACTGAACACTGAATGGGTGAGTGAGGTTTCATGCCGCTTTAAGCAATATTCCAGCAATATCACGGGATGGGCACAAGAGATGGGCTTCACCTAGTGTACCCATTTGGGAATCGACCCGAGCCTTTGGCATGAAGAGTGAATGCTTAACCACTCGGCTACCCAACAGCCCCAGAAAACCCAATGGAGCTGAAGAATATTCTTATCAGTACAACTGATTTACCAGATATTTAATTACAAACACCATGTCATCATGATAATATTTCTAAGACTGGTTTAGAAACCATCACGGACGTCACGGTAATTACGACTGAATGAGGTGGGAGACAGCATAAGAATGTGTGTGTAACCATATCAACAGTCCTGATCATGTCCTACTCAAAAGTTTACTATATCATAACATATCTTAAAAGAATATTGGTCCTGTTTGTAACAGTGACTGGCTATCGTAAGGATTCTTCTGTGCAGAGGTGCTCCCTGCCCCTGACATCCTGGGCTGCTGGTACTGGGGAGCGGAGTGACTGCTCACGACCGGTCTCTCCAGGTCTCGATAGTCAGGTCGCTTGCTGTAATAGTCATAACCATTAGGGTACCCTTGGCCATTTTCCTGAGCTGGGCGTCGTGCAGGAGGGGGATAGTCTGCCAATCTGTAACACATTTCAAATGATCTAACAGTGGAACAGACACTGCCTTGTCTAACTCAATCACTAGCCCTAACGATAATTTATAATATACTACTCAAAAGAAGTTAAAGAACACGATAGTTAATCTGTTATGGCTGGTGGATATTGCAACAGTCTTCCAATTGTGGGTATTCTTTAACTTGTTTTGAGTAGTATATATGGAAACACCATTCTCCTCCTAGTCCTATGGATGCCTAACAACCGACAATGTTCATTCTGACTAATTGATTAGTACCTGTGTCTAATGCTGCTATCAGATCTTGACAAAGAATGTTAAAGCCATGATGTACTCATAACTTGGACAAGACACAGTATCAGGTCCATTCACATGTTATGTGAAAAATAAAGTTACTTCAACATACTGAAATATTTGTGGAAGTGAAACGCTTTAATCCCAAACAAGGAAACAAGTGCACACATAACTTAGTTGTTTTTAATGATGCTGTGCAAATTAAGAAAAGACTTACTTACGGTCGTTCATAGTATTCTGGGGGTGGTCTCGCCACTGGGCTACGTTCTCTATAATAGGGGTCTGAAGGTACATCCAGAGGCCGAGCTCTCTCATAGGGACTTCGTTCATATGGACTTCTTTCCTCTGGATACCCATATCTATCTCTAGGGGGTGGAAGCATTCGATCCCGGGGATCAGGATATGCTGCTCGTCTGTCTGGTGGAGGTAGTGGCCTTTCCCCTGCAGGCAATCTATCTCTAGGAGGATAACGATCACCTGGGGGTGGGGGTGGGGGCATCCTTGGGGGGTACCTGTCACTGGGAGGAGGGGGTCTGTAGTAAGGATCCCGCTCTGGGTAAGGATATCTGTAATAGGGATCATATCTATCGTACGGATGGGGTGGAGGGTACCGGCTTCCGTAAGAATCTCTGATTCCTCCGCCACCTCCTCGGGGAGACCCCCTGCCGGAACCCCTGCCTATACCTCCTCTTCCCCTGCCCCTGCCACCACCTCGAGCTCTGGAGACAAAGAGAAATGCACCGTTACTACTTAGAGGAAACATCGTCATTCTGAAGTCGAGTATCATACAAAGTAATGACAAACATAATTCAAAAGGGTTATTATTTGTTTGTTTGTTTGTTGTTTAATGCCGCACTCAGCAATATTCAAGTCTGTAAATAATCGAGCCTGGACCAGACAATCCAGTGATTGACATCATAAGCATTGATCCACCCAATTATGTTAGTCGCCTCTTACAACAAGCATAGTCGACTCTTACAACAAGCATAGTTGCCGGTTATTATTTGCTTAAGCCTTTTCAGCTACTTTGCATAATTCATATTCAGAATCATACACATGGGCTTAAACATGTTGAATTGTAAACACAGGACTAGCCTAGACTAGAAATCAAATAATAATGGCATCAGATGAATATTATGAAACTGTTTAAACAACAAATAATTAACAACATAATGGTTCATTATTCACTTGGAAGACATATTTTCAGGTGATATACATGATATAAACCATATATTATAACACATTGATAGCCCTCCCCTTCGTACAGCCAATGAAATTGCAGGAAGTCCTTAACTTGAGTGAGTGAGTGAGTGAGTGAGTTGGGTTTAACGCTGCTTTTAACAGTATTCCAGTTATATCGCGGCGTGTCAGCTTAATGTGGGAGGAAAGCCCGAAGCGATGCAGGTCTCAGACGTTTACCATTTCGGTGAAACCCACGAGCACGGGTATGGTGCTGACAAACCTAGAAACATAATCGATTCGAACCCACAATCATAGGTTTCTGGCGTGCCGAAGGAATGCAACTCTGCACAGCGAATCGCGGCGCCTTGGACGACTGGGCCACCCGTGCCCCCTCCTTAACTTGAATAGTGTCGTAGCATAAGTCATGACCAATATGTCAACATACCTGTCTTTTCCACCGCCTTCACCTCTCTTCCCTGTGGATCGCTAAAAAGGAGACAAAACAATGAGACCACAATTGATAAGACCACAATGTGTTTTAGACCACAAGCTCAGGATTATACTCAGTAGACTTTAATACAAATATTAGCCGAGCTAACTACATTCAGAAGATTTAAAGAAATTGTACTAGACATGGGCTGAACTTGCCGTTTCAGATGAATGTGATAAATAAAATAATTAAACTTCCATTTCAAGGTCCTATGCTAAAAGAGCTTATATACAGCTCTTGATGTGATAAGTGAGAGAGTGAGCATAGATCCTTTGCAATACAGGCTTTAGTGTAACACACTTACATTTGGTCTCCTGACAAGCAGATCAAACATTGTTCCAAACCATCTAAATATCAATTTTATTTCTCCCTGAATACTAACTATTTTTATTGATGAAAATTAAATCAGTGTATGAGTAGAAGAGAAGTAAGCCTTATCTATGTTATCAACCTGAAGTGTACCAGTACTGGCCCAACAGGATGTGTGTAAACTAGAATTTGGTCAAATATAATACCTCAACTCTCATTCTGTGTCCATGGATGGAATATCCATCAAGTTCTGTTATAGCAACCTGTGCTTCATTGTCGTCACTCATGTGCTGAAAAACATAGCAGATACATCTGGTGTTACAGAGGAAAAGTAGCATGTACAAGTATCATTAGGTTAGAAATATACTATCAACAATCCCACAAAACATCTTCAAATGGCCCAGGAAGCATGACATGCATAAGCGTGTTTGTTGTTAACGCCGCACTCTGCAATATTCCATCCATATGATGATGGTCTTTAAATAATCGAGTCTGGACCAGACAATCCCGTGATTGACATTAAATCTAAACAAACCCTAACCTTTTTTAACCGAGGTGGAACTTTTCATGGAAATTGTAAAAAAAAGATGAGTTTGGAACCTCAGTCCATCTTGTTGCAATGGAAACGTAAAAAAATAAATATTTCTAAAATTTCTAAATAGCAAAAGGCACCAGTTCAGCATGTACCTGACAGACCTGCAAAGTTTGATGAAAAAATATTGAACGGTTTATGAGTTATGCTCCGGAAACGAACCCCACCCTCACAGAACCTAAGTCCATCTTGTTGCCATGGAAACGTAAAAAATAAAAATTTCTAAAATTTCTCAATAGCAAAAGGCACCAGTTCAGCATGTACCTGACAGACCTGCAAAGTTTGATGAAAAAATATTGAACGGTTTATGAGTTATGCTCCGGAAACGAAACTGACAGATGGACGGAGCCAGTTTCTATATCCCCCGCCAACTTCGTTGGGCGGGGGATAATTAGGAATCATGTACAGGGATGCCAAACCTTATTGAAGCTTTGGAGTCATCAGTAAGGTAAAAAAGCGTAATTTCATGTGAAAAAGAGTAATGTTAAGAGTACCATGCCATGAGTCTGGTTTTCATTTCGACATTTTTATTAGGCCTATATGTAAGTGAGTGAGTGAGTACGGTTTTACGCCGCTTTTAGCAATATTCCAGCAATATCACAGCGGGGGACACCAGAAATGGGCTTCACACATTGTACCCATGTCGGGATTCGAACCCGGGTCTTCGGCGTGACGAGCGAACGTCTATATGTAAGTGAAGCATGGGTACACATGCATTGACGCTAGTAATGAAGCCGCACATGCAAGTTGCACTATTTTAAAAACAGGGTGATAAAGCTCAAAATAAGCATAAAAAAATGACTGCTTGCGCTTGTATGGTTAAATATGACTAAACCTCAAAATTGATTAGCAATCCATTAACAAAAAAAATGGACATCAACATCGAAAAGATCTCTCGAAAATAGAAGTTCCATAACGACATGTGACAACCTCATCATTGACATACATCAGGGGCACATTTCAAATAAACATGTCATATTTTGAATAACTTGGTAATTATAGATGATAAATCACTAACTGTTTTGTTTGTTGTTTAACGCTGCACTCAGCAATATTCCAGCTATATGATGGCGGTCTGGACCAGACAATCTAGTGATTAATATCATGAGCATCGATCCACGCAATTGGGATCGATGACATGCATCAACCAAGTCAGCGAGCCTGACCACCTGATCCCATTAGTTGCCTCTTACGACAAGCATAGTTGCCTTTTACGGTAAGCATGGGTTGCTGAAGACCTATTCTACCCCGGATTTTCACGGGTCATAAAAGCATTTAATTCAAGCTGTTGTGCAGAATGTTCATGGGATGAACTTAATGCTTTCATAAATGTTATTTTCGGACATGTTATTTTTACAAAACAAGACAGGAGTCCAGTATTCACAAATGTTGAGATTGGACGCAGAAAAACAAATACTGCGTCCCAAGGGATACACAATAATATTCACTGTACCAACAGTGCATCAAGAGCAGTTATGGGTATTTGTCATTTCATCCATTAACCTTGACCACCGTCAACATGATAATTGATTCATTCCAGGCCCTACAGTAATTATGAAAACATACACCTTTTCATTACTTAACAGGACCCCCATATTGCCTGCAAGGACCCTTAAAATTAATTAATTATGTCCATTGCTTATTACCAATCAGTGCTTATTTAACTACTGGCTTTCTTTGTCCATTGCTAATTACCAATCATTGCCAATTAACTGTTGGCTTCCCTTGTTAAGTTTCCACCTTTGTTATTGTATTACTTTTGTTGTTTTAACATGTACATAGATATGCTCTCTGCATCCTTGCATTCATTTATCTGATGAATGAGTAGGCATAATGGCATATACTCGGAAACACTGTGTTCCTCATAATAAACAAGTTGACATATAAAGAAATGGTGGTCCGGTGCTCTAGTGTTATTTTGGGGATGAACAAAGCAGTTTAAGACTTTTGAAACCAGCAAGAAGTCAAATCTAAACTCTAAGCACCATTGTGTCTAGTAGAGATCCAAAAGGACCAGTAGATTTTGGACCACTAACAAATTTTGGTCAGTGTCAAGCACTGACTGCACCTGTCACGGCTTCAAGCAAAATGAACTCACTCAAAATGAAAGCACTCACCACAAAGCCATAGTTCCTGAGTACATCACATTCTGAGACATGTCCATACTTTTCGAACAATGGACGCAAATCCTGTGCTTGTGTATCTGGTCCCAAATTTCCAATAAATATTTTTGTTGGCATATTGGCACTACAAGAGAAAAGATGATTGTTAAGAATTGACAAAACCAACATGTCAATGCATGGTATGCAAAGCCAGTATTAAGAGGCTACAAAAATCAAGTTACACAGAAATTAAATATGATGATTTTCCATTAAAATGGATGAAACTAGGGCATATACATGATATAGATCTACTTGAACTAAAATTAGAATTTTGGAATAATTCTATTTTCCACCTGCACATCATTACACCACTAAATGACAATTTTCACACAATATCAAATTACCTTGTTCTGATAAGGCTTCTATGATATTGATAATTAGCATTTGACACAAATGTTGTTCCAAACTAGTCACTGATGAAACCAATGCTTCTTATCCCTCATGGTGATATCCTTTTGTTTAAGCAATTTGTGTTATGTTTGGTTAATTGAACTCTTTTCTAACAGCTAATTGATATTCCTTGATATTCATACGGGCAAGTCATCGTTCTTTGCCATGCACTGAAATAATTACCTATGCGTTACGAGTTGAAATGAATAAAGTGAAAATTGGGGGCCGAAAATTGAGTTAATCATTCCGAACTTGACCACACGAAAATAGGGTACTTAATGGTGAATACACATGACACCGCATCGATGTGGGGAACGCAGTATATATATATATATATATTGCGTATTGCAAAACATTCATTCGTGAGTGATTATGTTTCTAAAAATACACAATGTTTTGATTCTTAAGAGGGAGAGATGAGACCTTAAATTTGACACATTCCACAAAGAAAACCGGCATTTCGCATATCTCATTTTAACAAATAACATACTCGTAGCAGGTTCAATACTACCCGCATAAATCCACTTAAACATATAACAACATATTGTTTAACTCATAGTAGACAGCATACTTACATTTGCCTTCAATTACTACTAAAATGCATTAAAACGACTAAAAGCCAACAAGCATGCTCCAGTGTAATGGCGGCAGGTCCAGGAGACTCAAACTCTAAGGTACGCGATCTTTCATTGGCTGTACACGAACATTCGTCCAATCACTGAAGTTGTTACTTCGGAAACGCTTCAGCGAAAAGCATGGCTCACAAGCGGCATGGCCGAGGAGGCCATCGAAAGAAACGCAACAAATCGGCACCAAGGCTAACCGATGGTCAAAAACACTTTCTAAAAGAAACAGGAGAACTCCATCCTTCCGAGTTAAAGTAAATAGTTAGCTACTTTGTTTTTTTCCGTTAAGATCATATTATTATGTTTGTTGAGGAAAACACTCCTTCATTTTGTGATAGCAAAAGTAATCTCCCTTGAAGTGTTTACAAACACAACAGCATTAATGATATTGTTCAAGCAAGTATGGTGACAATATTTTATATATATGTTATTGATCAATTCGAATTGATTTGGATATGATTGACATAAGCTAGTGAGATTTATTTACGTTTCCAGTAAGTAAATTGCATTTTTTGCAACGAAATTTTGTTATTGCCAAAGCCAACATGTTATGACCTACATATCTTTAAGAATATATTATTGTTCCCCATTTTCAATGATCCTAGCTGTGAAGTCATGTCGTTTTCTTAAATCTGTTTGCATGTATGTAAATATTGCCTAAATTCTAAGATATGGTAAACATGTTAGATTGATTTAGTCTTATACTTAAATTGAAAATTTCATTTTAATGATGCACATTTGCAAGATAGAATTTGAGAAGGTTTGTCTCATCCTCTCAATAGAGGTAGACACCGGTTATCGGCTATTGTTTACAAGCAACGCTTCAGAACGGTGAACGTCCTGTCCCTTTGAGCTCCTGTAGATTTGAGTACTGGTATTTACCTGGAAACTGGACTTGACATTTTCATGTTTAGGTTTTGATATATTCAACCTTTGTCTTTTCTGCTAGAGACAGTGTCAGGCAGTATACCAAAGTCAAAGATGAACCCATTAGTAAAAAGCATGTGAGTATATGCACATAGTCGATTTATCATGCGGATATAAATTCCCTACTGATTAACACCAACATAATTAGGGCAATACGGATTCTTCTCTTTTATGTAAACCATGTTTCGTTTTTTAGCTCACCTGACAAGAAGCCAAATGAGCGTATGTCGTCGCCTGCTAGTTTGGGAAATGTTCATTTTTATTGACATTTGCTGCAGACTTGGGGCCGAATATCGGCCTTTACACAGGTCTAGATAAATCCCTGCATGGCACTTTTTTTCTGGCTTTTCTCTCTTTTTCTGGCTTTTCTCTCTTTTTGAACACACCTTGTACACTACTCTGCTGATTTAAACATTGTACCTTTAAGTAGAAAAAAATTCTCTTTTGTAGTAATTTTGTTATATTCATGAAACATGAGATATTTATAGAAATATAAAAGCTTTTTCCTTAGAAAACTGTGTGAATTTCAAAATCTTTTTAAAACTTTAATACGATAGTAGACACATCAATCTGGAAATTTTCAGGTCTTGTATTATTGAACCCTGTGTAACACCATGGTTACATGACAATGAAGAACTATGTTGTTGTCCTCCAGGTACCAGTTGAGGAATCATCAGAGAGTGAGGAAGAGGAGAATGCATTTCAACAGCTGATGTCATCCATTGGCCAGGGTGCATCTGCTAATGCCTACAAGTGTAAGCATTTTAAGACTAAGTCCATCATGCAAGAAAGTCTTTTCATAGCCCCAATGTTTGTTTGTTTATTTAACACCCAACTCAGCATTATTCCAGCTATCCGGCAGTCTGTAAATAATCAAGTCTGGACCAAACAATCCAGTGATTGACATCATGAGCATCGATCTAGGAAATTTGGATACAATGACATGCATCAACCAAGTCAGCGAGCCTGACCACCCGATCCTGTCAGATGCCTTTTACGACAAACACAGTCGCCATTACGGCAAGCATGGGTTGCTGAAGACCTAATCTACCCCGGAACTGTCATGTACATATTTGGCCTTAGTAGGGGTGCTTATTAAAATTTCAAGAGATTTATCTAGACCTGCTGAGAGGCCGAGAATGGACCTTAAGTCTACAGGAGGGGTGGTGAAAAAGACCCAGGTTCGATTCACCACATGGGTTCAATGTGTGAAGCCCATTTCTGGTGTCCCTCACCGTGATTATTGCTGGAACATTGATAAATGCGGCCTCAAACCATACTCACTCACTCACTCACTCCCTATGTCTACAGCAAATTTCAGTAAAAATTCCCCATGTGAAATTACAAATTTTCCCATTGATGTAATATGGTAGTAACTAATGTCATGGCTTTGGAGAAGTGACTTATATTTCACTGACCAATCTTTCCCGAATTGGCTCCCAAGGGCACTTAGCTTGGAACCCTGGGTGGAACTCTGGATAAATCTGGAAGTTGGTAATATGTTCGGACCTAATAGTGGATGATGATACCCAAGTTGATATCATTACATCAACTCTGTTGGCTATGGAACACATTTCAGTAAAGAAGATGAAACATCATCGCAACTCCTAATTATGGAGGTGGTCTAGTGGTAGAGCGTCCGCCCGGAGAGCGGAAGATCCAGGGTTCGATCCCCGGCTGCTTCATACCAAAAGACGTTAAAAGATGGTACTTGTTGTTACTCTGCCTGGCTTTAGGGGCTACAACAAGGACTGGTCGGCTCGGAGTCCATATACTGTGTCTAATACAAGCAGCATACACACACACACACATGCATGCACATCACTATATAAGTGCAATTATCTTGGACGCAACGTTAAACCCTATGTCACCTCACCTAATCTGATTATGAAGTGTGTGTAGTAAAGTGTCGAAACATACTATAAGAGACACCCACCAAACCTTTATGTATAGTCTGCATGAGGAATACGTCCTGCCTAGTATAATACTAAGGAGATCATGAGTGGGACAGTGGTATAATGTGCTGCAATTAGTTGTGCAGAGCCAGTCATGTCATCGTCTGTGTTTGGTTGTTCAAGTGCGAATGTTAACCTGATTTGGTTATTTGTCACACAATAGCAACGATTCCGCCTTTCACTGGTGTGGTAAATGTCACTCCTACATGCCAGTGTGACAAATTGGGACTCCACTCAGAACTTCTATGTCATAGTTAGTCAGTACTTCATTTAGGTTTTTTTATTAAACACTCCACTCCAGCTTAATAACGGTGGAAGAATCTACATCGAAACATCCTTATATGCAATAAACCAGACGTTATCCATAAAGTTGTATGTTTTTCTTACGTCATTTAACATGATTACATGCCATCAATGTCCAACTTGCAGCCTCTGAGGAAGAGGATGAGGAAGATAGTGATGACGCTGAGGATGATGGGGGAAGCAAAATGAATGACAAAGCTTCCGATGATGATGATGATGATGATGATGATGAAACTGAGGAGGATGGTAAAGATGAGAACGACAGTGATGACATTGAGGATGATGAGGAGAGCAAGATAGGTGATGACAGTTCTGTTGTTGATGATGATGATGATGATGATGATAACAATGGCCACTGTGACATAGACATACTCAAAGATGATGCAGCTGGCACTGATGATGATGATGGTGGTGATGATGATGATGATGATGAAGATATTGATGATGAGTCTTCTGACTCACAAGATATGGTTCAACAAAAGAATCATAAAAATCTCTGTGCAAAAGATAAAGAGAAGAAAGGTGTTTCTGTAGATAAACAACAGAAAGGAAAGAAACGAAAGCTTGAGACAGCACTTGCTGAAGATGAAGTAGAGCTGAATGAAGATGAAGAAGACGTGAGCAGAGATTCGGGTATGTTTCCATCTGATAATGTTCCTTACATTTTGTCACCTGGTGTTGTATAACATGAACCTGCTGGACTTGTTAAAGAATTAGCTCATAATGATGATCTTGAATGCAATGTTGTACCCCATTTCACCCCACCTCCAATTTTTGATGTAATGCCTCGAATCTGCAACTTTATTTTGCAAGATTAGAATCTGTATTGTGATGGCTATATGTTTCATTGTTCTATGGTTTTGTTTCCTAAAGATCCATTTGCTATCCATTTTGAGAGAGATCTGAGTGACACGGATGCAGAAACTTTGAGTCCAGACTGTGCCTGGGATAAGCGAGAACTGAAGGTGGGGTATTTGTGAATGTGGCAAGGACCCTGATATTACTAAGTGTATATAAATAATAACATAGGCCATTTCTACTGTGGCTTGGAGGAGATAAGCAAGACTATGTATACTGCATTTTGGAGGCAGTATAAAGTGGTACTATTTCTACCATGGTTTGGAGACGGAGCGATGGGGTTGGGAAAGTCTAAGAGTCTCGAACATGTACCATACAAAATGTCATTGAATGTTATTTGTGAAGTGTTGTTTCATCCATCAACGGAGATAAGTTTGTTCTTGTGCCACTATAGATGCAGAGATGACATTCTGCATGCATCATTAAGGGGCAAATTGTGTGTGTGTGTGTGGGGCAGATGTCCTGATACCGCTCAGGGATAAATATTAGCAATATAAATAGTCTGTTGTTATTTCCACTCCGGCATGCTCAAAGCACTATCATTACCCCAGTCACTGGACCAGTATGCACTTTAGAATCATTTTCAGCTCCCTGGGGAGTATACAACCCAAGTTTGAAATCCAGCATGGAGATTTAATATTTAACAGAGTTATGGCCCTTGTTTCTATTTAAACTCTATATAACTGGATTATAATTATGCCAGGATGGTGTGGATAGGGATCACTGTGTCTTGTTTTTAGTTCAGATTAATTCATTCACCAAGTGGTAAATGTCGAAGACCTGCATCAATTCAGGCTTTCCTCCCACATTAAGCTGGCATGCCGTGATATAACTGGAATACTGTTAAAAGCGGCATTAAACACAACACACTCACTCACTCAGATTAATTCAAATGTCTTTCTTGTCTCTTGCAGTATTAAAACGAGAAACACTTTTCTGATTCAGGTTGCAAATGTGGGTAAGGCTATCCTTCTCTCAAAGAACTGGAACCTACTTTCAAAAATGGAAACAACAAATTTCAAAGATCTTAGAAAACTTAAGGTGAGAGATTTTGTACAAATTTGAGATATTACTGAAAGTCCAGGATAAAGTGTACATGGTATAGATAATGTGATATAACATGGTGTAGATGATATGATATAACATGGTATAGATGATGTGATATAACCTGGTATAGATGATGTGATATAATATGTCATAGATAATATGATATAACATGGTATGGATGATGTGATATATAGAGAATACTACACTCATTCTCAATAGATACCATTTTTACGAAACGAGTGGACTTTCTATGGTATCTGACCGAGCATAGTTCACGAGTTTCATAAAAATGGTATTTAACGAAAATGAGTGTGGCCTTTTATTTATTACCCATGTTAAATATATATTTAGGTGTAAATACATAACAACAACAAACTGAAACCGGTTGCAAAATCTGGTTGCGCAGATATTGATATATGCCCAAATATGGGCATTGTTGACATTTCTGTGCATACGCATTAACAACATGTTCCTGCTGTTGTGTTTGCAAACATAACAGCACCGGCGCTCAAAATCCTTTTGGAAGAAAGTCTTCAACGTATGGTAATTCAAGCACAATGTTGTTAGTACGCAGAACACCTATAAGAAAATTTGAAAAGTCACATTTGTGCTGTGCTTTCAATATCGGACCAACAGTCTGTCACTCGCACTGCCATTTCCCGGCTGTGCAATCAAAATGGTTTGGTTTCCTTGATCTATCAGCTGAATTAATATCATGTCCGTACCATTTTGGAAGAGGGATTAATCAGGAATTCCTGTATCATTTTTCACTGGTCAGGTTTAACAGTTTCACTGTTTAAATATTAAAATTGTACAAATTTGATGAATGCTAACTTTGACATATTTTACAAAGCAAAAACCTGTTTGCTTATAGGTGAAGCAAACCCTCTGTAACCAGGTAGGGGAGACAAACCGCACCATGGTCCAGCCACCCACCCTCAAGGCTGCAGGTACACATGCTGGAGAACCAACCCTACTGTGGGAAGCAGACATAAAATCACTGTTGATGCTGTCAACACATATGACCTTCCTTTTTCATTATGTTTTAAGAGGCGATTAATAAGATTGGGTGGTCAGACTTTCTGACTTGGTTGATGCATGTCATCGTATCCCAATTGCGTTGATCGATGTTCATGATGTCAATCACTAGATTGTCTGGTCCAGATTCAATTATTTACAGACCGCCGTCATCTGGCTGGAATACTGCTCAGTGAGACGTTAAAACAAAAACGCCCAAAACCTTAGGGTCTTTTTCTATCATTTTCCACTACCAGGAAGTAGGACAAGGATGTAGGTTAGGGCTCCATCCTTCAGTACATGAATGAAACTTTGCATACATCACCAAGGGATAATATGTACAGGGTGCCTTACAGGCAGGGTCATTTTATGGACGGCGATATCCGGTAGATCAAGTTCGTAACCCCGCATCAAGAATTAATATTTTACAGAGTTATAGCCCTTGCCTTATATTTTTGGTTTCTGCTCCCAGAAGATCTGTCACCCCTCCAACAAGGGCTGTTCTCCCTGCTAAATGCTTACCAGGTATGTATCCATTATTGGCGTTCTAAGACCTGCATCACTTTTAGGCTTTGCTCCCACAAGATGACACGCTATGATATTGATATAACTGAAATACTGTTCAAAGTGGCATTACCGTATTCGACGTAATAAGCGCCCAGGGCGCTCTCAAAATTAGAAATAGAATATTACTTTGGTTGAAAAAACAGAGTTGAAAGATAAATTTTGTGGTTTATGCTATATACGACAGATGCATTTTTCCAGAATTTAATTGCCCATCATTAAGGGTGCATATAACCAACCCACGAGTGCGTATTATACACGAATAAATAAGTCTTGTGTACATTGATAAATCGGAAGGGGGGCTAATTGGGATTGTTCACTTGCCAATATATTAGCAAATATCGCCGTGGACGCTTATTAGAGCGGGGCGCTTATTATGTCGAATACGGTAATTCAAACTGACCAACACACTCACTCAGTGAGTTATTTCAGTTGACTCAAAGGTACTGTTTTGCTTTTGCCTGTATTCCTTCCCCTCGTCCTCTGAAACCCTGGTCCACAATAGGTCCTTGGCTGTGTGGAGTGGGTGGTCAGACTGGGTGACTTTGTCAATGCTCAAAACAATAGCAGAAGTATCCCGGGCTGTAGATCAGTGTGCATTCAGTTTTCATTCTCTTCTCCCTGGGGAGTATACAACCCAGGTTGTCTTGTGAGGTGGTAGAAGGTTAACAGTCATTACAATCTCATCCTACCGGGTACCCATTTCTACTGCTGGGTGAACAGGCATATTTCGAGCGAAGTCTCTTTGCTCCTGTTTTCAGTCACTGGTTTGTCTGTCCCAGACTTGCTGTATTACAGGCCTCGTTGCCATAGCTGGAACATTGGCTACTGCTGCATGAAACAAACATTCACAATCTGATGGGGGCGGTCGGGTAGCCTAGTGGTTAAAGCTTTCCCTCGTCATGCCGAAGACCCCTGTTCGAATCCAAATATGTGAAGCCCATTTCTGGTCTCCCCCGTTGTGATATTGCTGAAATATTGCTAAAAGCGGTGTAAAACCATATTCACTCACTCACTCACTCACTCACTCACTCACAGACTGATGGTGTAAAATGCCTCATGTGATGCATGTCATTGTATCCCAATTGTTAGATAGATGCTCATGATGTCAATCATTGGATTGCCTGGTCCAGATTTGATTTGACTGCCGCCATATAGCTGAAATATTGCTGAGTGCAGTGTTAAACAATAAACAAATAAATAATATCCAAACTGGCATTAATTGCTGGAGCCAAATTATTTTTTTTTCAAATCAAAAACTTTTCTTGACTGATTTCCAGACTGTATAATAGACCTGGAAACATAGTGTTGAGTCTGTTGACAGTGGCACATTAATCAGTATCATATGCAAAAAGAATTATACAAGGAAGGTTTTTTAGATATGAATATTTATTCTTTAGGATGTCTCCTTCTCTGAGCGGACACACAGTAACGGAGAGGAGGTTCGTCTTGTGTACTGCCTCCATGCCCTCAACCATGCCTTGAAGTGAGTTCCATTCTGCTCATCAGGTCAACTTTGGTTAGTGGCTGTTATTAAGATGCGGTCCTTAATGTGACACTTAATGGCACCACATTGTATACAATGTTGTCCTCTTTCATTGCAGACCCGTAAAGATCCGGGTTAGAATAGGTCTTCAGCAACCCATGGTTGCCGTAAAAGGCGTCCATGCTTGTTGTAAGAGACGAGTAACATGATTGGGTGGTCAGGCTTGCTGACTTGGTTGATGCATGTCATCATATCCCAATTGCTTAGATCGATGCTCATGATGTCAATCACTGGATTGTCTGGTCTAGACTCGATTACTTACAGACCGCCGTCATATAGCTGGAATATTGCTGAGTGTAGCGTTAAACAACAACAAAAAAACAAAATCTTTCATTTCAAGCCTAAGCCAATCCTGAATACACTGGTTTCGAATTCAGATCTGTTTCAAATATACTCGTTCATCTGTGGTGCTTGTGGGTCATACCAAAGCTGTAATTATCTACGACGTGTCCTCTTGGAGGCCTCCCTAATTAAGCTGACATTCTTTGATATTACAGAAATACTGTTCAAAGTGATGCTGAAGCCAATTTACTCTCTTATCAAATTGTTTTTGAAAAAAACCAAACAAACAAAGTCGACAGACAGCTTTGTAAGTCTGGTCCCCATTCCAAAAGACCGTAAAGCCTAACAGATGTTTCCCCTCAAGTGGAGGAGGTAAACTGGTGGTTGTGCTGAGGTTGCTGCTCAGAGAGAGCAGCATTCTTTCATGTAACCGAAACCCAGAGAGCCATCAATGTAATGAATTTTTGTATTTTTCTTCAGTTTAATCATTTCTGTCATGACTTGTGCTATTTACCTTTAGTGTTCTCCTGAGATCATGTACAAGCAAGCGTTGTCTTTTCCAGGACTCGAACACGAGTGGTCAGTCATAATACCAAGATGAAGTCGAAACAGAAAATTGATACTGAGTAAGTACAATATTGACTGGGTGATAACTGAAAATTAGCAGATAACAAATAATAATAAGAACTATGGAATTCAGGATATCTTTTTATTCGACTGGTATTTTTTGTGTTTGGTTTAAACACTCTTGTGTAAAACAATTTAAAGCAATAGAATTTTTCCGTAAAACATGTACAACAACAATCACTCACACTTCACTCAAGATCGTGAACTAATGAGCCAACAATGTAATTTGAGTAGTGGTAAGATAGCCTAGTGGTTTCAGCGTTAGAAATTAGCGCTAGTCCTATAGTCCTTGCCAAACTGCCCCATAATTAGGGTATCATAAGGACTAGTAGACATTTGCCATGTTTGAGGGTTTTGATATATGTTATCATTATAAGGACTCGTGGACTAATACTGTTAGTTTCTCACGCTGTGGTTTATGCTTTCAATATTGCTGTGAAGACACAGGCTCTATTCCCCAAATGGTGCATTATGGAATGTGTGTCCCCTGCTGTGATATAGCAGGAATATTGTAAGAAGATGTCTAAAACCATCCCCTTGAATAAAGATTTTCTGTGATTCATTAAGAGGTGTGGTGAAATTTGGTTAACATGGCGTTCAAGATTATTGCACTTAATAACGGTTCATGGTGTGTGTGAGTGGCTGCTTGTACTAGTCCGGACTATTGCCGGTTGTATAGTGCTAGCCCACTGAGATAACATGCCGCTGTTTTAACATGAATACCCCACTCAGGCACAGTATGCTGACTCCGAGCCAACCAGTCCTTGTTTTATTCCCTTAATGCCAAACACAAGGCAGGTTAACAATAAGTACTATCATTTAATATCTTTTGGTATGATGTGGCCGGGTATTGAACCACCAACCTTTCAGTCACTGGGCAGACACTCTGTCCGCTAGACCATGGGAGTGGTTGATTCATAAAAACCCTGACACTAGCATCTAAATATTGTAACTTTCTCAAAACTGCTTACATTAAACAGTACTATATTCCTGACAACTAATCACTGTCCAAATACAATGCCGTGAACTTCTACCGAATTCAACAGAAACCATGTAATATAGTTACTATCATTGTTTAACAATAAAATACGCTGCCATGTAACAATTGCTTCTTCTCCATCTCCAGCGACTACCGCGACCAGGGTCTGACCAGGCCCAAGGTGCTGATGGTGCTGCCGTTCCGCGAGTCGGCCCTCCGAGTGGTCAACATCATGTCCAGCTTGTTGGCTCCCGCAGAACAGGTAATGTGCTGCCCGGTGGACTGGCAACATTTTACCCAGCAAAATACATTGTTTCAGATTTTATGGAAGTTGATAATTACAGAAGATAACAAGTACTAATGTTATCTTATTGCTGTGTGTTGTAGGACAGTATTATTTTAATGGCACTGTTCCTTTTCATTTTTGAAAAATTATAGGATGACTTATGGCTGTAATTATTAGATAAGATCTTCATTGTTACAATGAGTATCTGTTGGGGAAAAATGTTCTTCTGTCAGAGATTAAACTATGTCTATAACGCACATGCTTTTGTCAAACTTACGGATATGACAAACATATGTTTTAGTCTGTTTTCAGTCGTACAAATGGGTATCTCTCATACCCTCACGTCTAGTCGCACGTTTAAGAGGAAGCCAGAAGCTGGAATGTAAACATTAAACTTGTTTCCGTCCGGTTGCGCACGCACCTCCCTATGACATGTCACAAATCTCTCAGCGCGCCTCTGAGCTGGTCGCTCGAGAAAGTCTTTCGCGGTAGATTATCGCTTATCTACAGTCGGTCCGTATCTCGTTCTTCCAACGACGATAGGGACGTCGTGCAGGACGACAGTGGACACAGAAGTCGTTCCCGATTACGTCGGGACGACAGGTCGAGTGCCTCGTCGAGAGACAGTACACGACACGTGGGCGTTTATCGCCATCGTGGTCGTCGTAGGTACGATTCGGACGATAACTACGATGGGGATCGTAGTACTTCTACAGTTAGAGATCGTAGCCCTCGTCCCCACGGGGACGTGGGACGTTCTCGCAGGGAGAGTTTGGGGGTTCAGCGTCGTAGTGAAGATAGTGACAGAACGACGACCTCGTCTCACTTTCATATCGACCCGGCTTTGATAGCCCAGATCACGGCGGCGGTTCTCGCCTCGACGGCGTCGACCAAGAAGGACACGACTACGTCGGGGGTCCATGGCCCGTCAACTAGTACACCAGCTCCTTCATCTACGCCTCCACAATCGACGTCGACGATGGATTGTGACGACAGCCCTCCTAGGCCTCCCAAAGACATTGAGTTGTTTGCTTGGCTATCTAACTTTCTACCTGAGTTATCACAAGACGATGACAAACCGACGCGTGCGGGCTTTAAGGTCGGAGATACACCACAGTCTCTTCAGTTTTCTCCTCCCGATATCTTCAGAGCCATGGCTCACGATATGGACCAGAACTTTGCCTCTGCTCTGCCTGGACAGAGCTTCTGCAAGCCGCCTGGTCGATTTCGTTACCCGATCTATGGCATGCCGTTTTCGTCACCCATGACTAGGGATTTGGATTGGGGGCTACTCTTCAAGAAACCAGCGCCCTCCAAAATTCTTGTTGAAGACAGGCATTTGGAATCCATGGACTCTGCTGTTCGTCACCAGCTACAACCGCTTGCTATCCCTCAGCTCTCTGCGTCGGATGATATTACCGAACGACTTCCTCGTCTCGATAGACCTTCAGGACGCGTATCTACATGTACCAATAGCTTCCGAGTTCCAGAAGTACCTCCGATTCGAATACCAAGGTATTCATTACCAGTGGGCGGCCCTCCCGTTTGGAATTTCTACGGCCCCGTGCATTTTCACACGGATCATGAAGACGGTCGTAGAATGGCTCCATCGGCAGGCGATCAGGGTGGCCTTCTACCTAGACGACGGGCTCCAAGCTCACCAATTCACAGAAGCCCTTCAAGAAGAGTTGGCGACCACCCTGAGTCTACTACGGTACCTCGGGTGGATCGTCAACTTTCAAAAGTCGGACTTGGTACCAACTCGGGATCTACAGTACATTGGGATACGCTTCCAGACGGGAGTCAATCTGGTCATGGTACCTCAAGACCGTTGGGACAAGATTGTCAGCAGCGTTCCGAGACTTCTACATGCCCCGGCGTCGGTGCACACGTGGCAGGAAGTCCTCGGTCTGTTGACATCGGCCCAAGACCTGACTCGTCGAGGTCGTCTTCAACTTCGTCCGCTGCAGAGATTGCTGTACCCCCACCTGGAGTTTCCCAATCTCCTGGTTCCACTTCCGGCGCAGCTACGTTGTCATCTGGAGTGGTGGCTCCAGCCGTCGAACGTTTGCGAAGGCGTCTTTATGAGCGAGCCTCCGTTCATACTACACCTATTCGTAGACGCGTCATTGGAAGGCTGGGGAGCACACTTCGGGGACGACCAAGCGGCCGGGCTGTGGTCGCCAGTAGAAAAGGTCCTCCACATCAACTGCCTCGAGATGGAAGCAGTGATTCGGGCGGTCGAGTTCTGGAAACTTCGACTCCGTCGGAAACGGCTGATGATACAGTCGGACAACTCCACAGTCGTCCACTGCGTCAACAAACAGGGAACGACTCGGTCGGCGGCCCTTCTGGACTGGACATTCAGGTTCTTCGCCCTCGTCGACGACTTGGACATGGGCGTACGCACCCGTCACATCCCGGGGGCCAAGAATGTGATAGCCGACGCCCTGTCGAGACCATCGAGGCCGTCTCCCACGGAGTGGATGATCCATCCGACAGTCTTTCATCCGCTGACAGATCGACTCTGGTTGCCCCAAGTAGATCTCTTTGCAACTCGGTACAACAACCACCTCCCTCGATTCGTGTCGCCGGTTCCAGACCCACGGGCATGGGACCACGACTCTCTAGCGATATCGTGGGAGGGTCTAGACGCTTACGCGTTTCCGCCAACGGTGCTGTTACCATCGATACTGGTGAAAGTTCGTCAAACGGCCAACCTACGTCTGCTTTTGGTCGCGCCTTATTGGCCGGCCAGAACGTGGTTCCCGGAACTTCTTCAGATAATCGATCAACCACCGTTCCTGTTGCCAGATCGAGACGACCTCCTTCTTCATCCTCACACCGACAACTTGCATCCGGGGATAAAGAACTTCCAGCTTCACGCCTGGGTTTGCTTAAGACCTCGTTAATGAAGAAAGGCTATTCGGCTAAAGCGGCAGCGCTTGTCTCGTCGGCACATCGAGTTACGACTCCTAAGCTGTACGATGACAAGTGGACCACTTTCTCCATTTTCGCCAGGTCTCATGGCTTCAACCCGGCGGTAGCGACCCCACCACAGGTGGCGGAGTTCCTAGTCTCTCTTCGGTCATCTCGATGTCTGAAAGGATCGACGATCTCGACATATCTGGCAGCTTTGGCTTCGGTGGTGCCGTCTCCTACGGGCGACAAGCTCACTAAAGTACCGGAGTTGCAGAAGATTCTACGTGCCTTCTTGGTTGAAGATCAGTCACGTAAATTCCGACCGCCGGCCTGGGACCTCGATGTCGTTCTGCGCAACCTGTCTAGTCATGCTTACGAGCCTCTCGATCAGGTCGCGTTCGACTTATTGTCTCAGAAAACGGCTTTCCTTCTCTCGCTGGCTACGGCTGCGAGAATTTCGGAAATACATGCCATTGACGTCGGTCGGATTACGTTCGATCAGCGTAACCATGGCAACGTCCATCTTGGTCTCAGATGGGACTTTTTAGCGAAAAATCAACTTCCTGGGCAAGATCCGAGAATATTCCACATTCCTTCCTTGTCTGCCATTATGGGCCCTCATGATCACGCTGATCTCACCTTGTGCCCAGTTTGTGCGCTTCGTATTTACCTGCAGCGTTCTGAACAGCGACGACAACATTTTCGACGGCTGTTCATACCGCTCTCAACCAATGCAAAGAAAGAGATTACACGTAATACTCTCTCATTTTGGTTGAGAGCGGTAATTCTCAGAGCTTACGAGGCGCAAGGACTCGCACCTCCCACCTCCTCTCATCCGCACGAAGTTCGAGCCATCGCTTCAACATTAGCACTCCACAGTAATTGTTCGCTACAAGCTATTATGGAGGGCTGCTTTTGGAGATCTACTTCAGTGTTTGCTTCGCATTATCTTAGAGATATCTCCACAGAAGATGTTGAAGGACTCAAACAGTTTGGTCCACTCGTGGTGGCACAACAGATCTCTCAGAAAAGACAGTGAATTTGTGTTTTATTCACTTTGGAGTTTTTGCTCGACACTTCGTGACATATAACAGGTTACAATAAAAGCTGTTGGTGAATGTACGCATTCTTATGTTTTTTTGTTGCGTGTAGTACTTCTGTTTTTTATTATGGTTATTCGGTGTATGCATCGTCTTCCCATACATTGTAATACTGCTCGTATTTTTTAGTTACCTTGTCTACGGCGAGTTGTTCTGTAACTAAATTATACGCCGACCACACTTCGATCGCAATTCAACTGACGTGTGCAGTTGTCCTGTCGCTTCGATAATTAGTTGTGAGTCGAAGAGCATTAAACATGCTGTTTTAGTTACCTTGTATACTGCGAGTTGCTCTGTAACTAAACTATTCGTCAACCACACTTCGATCGCTGTTCAACTGACGCGTGCAGTTGACCTATCGCATCGATAATTAGTTGTGTGTCGAAGAGCATTAACCATGCTGTGCGTTCGTGATAAACAACTTGTCTCGTCCGTGCATCTGGTCGAATGTTCTATTGTCACTACAGGGGTGAGGAACTTGGTACATTCGACGTGAAAGTGGTCACTGCCTGATTACTTTCCCGACCCTCCTTCCAGTGTTCCGTCGAATTCTACCCATTTGTACGACTGAAACAGACTAAAACATGGGTTTTTCAGATTAAAAACGATGTTTTATTGGTCTGTTTTCAGTCGTACGTTCCCACCCAGCCATCCCCACAGGGAAGTAATCCAGTCCAGTCCTGCTTGATGGCTTATTCTTCGAGATTTGTGACATGTCATAGGGAGGTGCGTGCGCAACCGGACGGAAACAAGTTTAATGTTTACATTCCAGCTTCTGGCTTCCTCTTAAACGTGCGACTAGACGTGAGGGTATGAGAGATACCCATTTGTACGACTGAAAACAGACCAATAAAACATCGTTTTTAATCTGAAAAACCCATTTTTTTGTCCTGTCCATTTGTGTATATATGCTGTATATATGCTTATAGCAAATTACGGTTTTAACAAACTAAAATTAGTGGTCCCTTTGAGTCCGTTATAACCATAATTTACAGTGCTTCTGTCTCGTTCATCAAATAACAGGCACAGAGTTCATATCCCCAAATCACTGAATATCCCTTACAAAACTTAAGTGGTATATTTATTTCTGCAGTTATTGAGTGTTTGAGTTTGCGTTAGAGTGTGCATCCTGATGTCCCAGCCGGAAGCATCTCTGATAGAACAGCAGTGGCTGATCATTGGAATGTCTCAATAGCAGTGGGGTAGCTCAGTGGTGTTGTGTTGAGGGGTTGTGTTGTGGGTGGCCAGTGTTAGCCCTGTGCTGTTGTGTTGTGTGAGGTCAGTGTTAGCTCACTGGTGTTGTGTTGTGTTGTGGGAGGCAAGTGTTAGCTCAGTGGTGTTGTGTTGTGTGAGGTCAGTGTTAGCCCTGTGGTGTTGTGTTGTGTGAGGTCAGTGTTAGCCCTGTGGTGTTGTGTTGTGTGAGGTCAGTGTTAGCCCTGTGGTGTTGTGTTGTGTGAGGCCAGTGTTAGCCCTGTGGTGTTGTGTTGTGTGAGGTCAGTGTTAGCCCTGTGGTGTTGTGTTGTGGGAGGCCAGTGTTAGCTCAGTGGTGTTGTGTTGTGTTGTGGGAGGCCAGTGTTAGCTCAGTGGTGTTGTGTTGTGTTGTGGGAGGCAAGTGTTAGCTCAGTGGTGTTGTGTTGTGTGAGGTCAGTGTTAGCCCTGTGGTGTTGTGTTGTGTGAGGTCAGTGTTAGCCCTGTGGTGTTGTGTTGTGTGAGGTCAGTGTTAGCCCTGTGGTGTTGTGTGAGGTCAGTGTTAGCCCTGTAGTGTTGTGTTATGTGAGGTCATAGTTAGCCCTGTGGTGTTGTGTTGTGGGAGGCCAGTGTTAGCTCAGTGGTGTTGTGTTGTGGGAGGCAAGTCTTAGCTCAGTGGTGTTGTGTTGTGTGAGGTCAGTGTTAGCCCTGTGGTGTTGTGTTGTGTGAGGTCAGTGTTAGCCCTGTGGTGTTGTGTTGTGTGAGGTCAGTGTTAGCCCTGTGGTGTTGTGTTGTGTGAGGTCAGTGTTAGCCCTTTGGTGTTGTGTTGTGTGAGGTCAGTGTTAGCCCTGTGGTGTTGTGTGAGGTCAGTGTTAGCCCTGTGGTGTTGTGTTATGTGAGGTCATAGTTAGCCCTGTGGTGTTGTGTTGTGTGAGGCCAGTGTGAGACCTATGGTGTTGTGTTGTGTGGGGTTGATAATAGATAGCCCTGTGGTGTTACGTTGTATGGGGTTAATATTGGCTCAGTGGTGTTGTGTAGGGTTAATATCAGCCCTGTGGTGTTGTGTTGTGTAGGGTTAAAATTGGTCCAGTTGTTTTGTATTGTGTAGGGTTAGCCTATGGGGCGGTGTAGCGTTCTGTATCATCCCCGTGGTGTTGTGTTGTCAGGTGATGGTGAGCAGCAAGAAGAGGTTCAAGTCTGAGTATGGGGCAGAAGATGAAGACAACTACAGAAAGGGCCTTAAACCAGGTAGGATTCCCTTCACAGGACATTCACCTGCAACACCATCCCAGGACACCCTGGAACACCAGGACACCATACTCCGTGACACTGGTTATTCCCGGAAATAGAGATAGATAGGTCATTGGACCCTGGTCATGTATGAACACCCTAGAATTACTACTCTATTAAGTGTATTGTGTGCTTTATGAAGGCAGTAATGTAAGTGTTTTATGTTGTCAGATAATTATTGACTTTTTCTCTGGAACAAAGTACTGTAGGTTTGTAATATTGTTTGCAGAGGACTTTGAGTCATTGTTCACCGGAAACAATGATGACCATTTTCGCCTGGGAATATCAGTGTCCAAGCGGTCCCTCAAGCTCTACATGCCATTCTACCAGTCCGACATCATCCTGGCGTCACCACTTGGTCTTCGGACCATCATCGGAGCAGAGGGGTAGGTATTCTTCATCCTTGCTGCTCTCTCGGGTCGCCAAACAATCACAGTATCTACCACCCCTGCATCAACTCTGTCCCTCTCCTGGGGCTGAGGGGTAACATCACCATTCCCCCTCCCCTTGACCCCAACACAACTCATGAGCTGCCCTCACCCTGTCCCTCCCTTGGACCCCCACACATCTCATGAGCTGCCATCACCCTGTCCTGCCCCTTGACCCCCACACATCTCATGAGCTGCCCTTACCCTGTCCCTCCCCTTGACCCCCATAAATCTCATGAGCTGCCCTCACCCTGTCCCTCCCTTGGACCCCCACACATCTCATGAGCTGCCCTCACTCTTTCCCTCCCCTTGACCCCCATAAATCTCATGAGCTGCCCTCACCCTGTCCCTCCCTTGGACCCCAACACAACTCATGAGCTGCCCTCACCCTGTCCCTCCCCTTGACCCCCACACATCTTATGAGCTGCCCTCACCCTGTCCTTCCCCTTGACCCCCACACATCTCATGAGCTGCCCTCACCCTGTCCCTCCCCTTGACCCCCACACATCTCATGAGCTGCCCTCACCCTGTCCCTCCCCTTGACCCCCACACATCTCATGAGCTGCCCTCACCCTGTCCTTCCCCTTGACCCCCACACATCTCATGAGCTGCCCTCACCCTGTCCCTCCCCTTGACCCCCACACATCTCATGAGCTGCCCTCACCCTGTCCCTCCCCTTGACCCCCACACATCTCATGAGCTGCCCTCACCCTGTCCCTCCCCTTGACCCCCACACATCTCATGAGCTGCCCTCACCCTGTCCCTCCCCTTGACCCCCACACATCTCATGAGCTGCCCTCACCCTGTCCTTCCCCTTGGCCCCCACACATCTCATGAGCTGCCCTCACCCTGTCCTGCCCCTTGACCCCCACACATCTCATGAGCTGCCCTCACCCTGTCCCTCCCCTTGACCCCCACACATCTCATGAGCTACCCTCACCCTGTCCCTCCCCTTGACCCCCACACATCTCATGAGCTACCCTCACCCTGTCCCTCTCCTGGGACTGAGGGTTACACCACCATTTCTCTCCTCCTCCATCCCCCCCATGATGTACCCTCTCTTCCGCTCCCCTGGGGCTGAGGGGTACCATCACCATTTCCCCTCCCCTTGGCCCCCACACATCTCATGAGCCGCCCTCACCCTTCCTCTTCCCTGGGGCTGAGGGGTGACTTCAACCTTGCCTCTGCATTGTGTCTTGGTGGGGATACATACTTGACCTCATTGTCTCACCTTACCTCATTGTCTCAACGCTCCCTGTTTGCTTGACCTTCGTGAGAACTGAAAGTAAAATGATGCTCTCAGTAGTTGTCAGTGTTACTCTCACTATTCATGATAATACATGAAGGTTTTCCATCTTTCAGAGAGAAAGACCGTGACTATGACTTCTTGTCCTCCATTGAGCTACTCATCCTGGACCAGGCAGATGTCTTCCTCATGCAGAACTGGGACCATATCTTGGTAGGCTATATACAGGATATAGAATGTCTTCCTCATGCAGAACTGGGACCATATCTTGGTAGGCTATATACAGGATATAGAATGTCTTCCTCATGCAGAACTGGGACCATATCTTGGTAGGCTATATACAGGATATAGAATGTCTTCCTCATGCAGAACTGGGACCATATCTTGGTAGGCTATATACAGGATATAGAATGTCTTCCTCATGCAGAACTGGGACCATATCTTGGTAGGTCTATATATAGGTTATACCATGCCATTCTCATTCAGAACTGGAACCATATCTTGGTAGGTCTATATATAGGTTATACCATGCCATTCTCATTCAGAACTGGAACCATATCTTGGTAGGCACATATAGGTTATACCATGCCATTCTCATGCTTTGTTACCCTAAAAACTGTTGGAATTCTTTAATCCCAACAAACAAATATACGATTATTTGTTCATATATTTTGGGGGAGAATTGTTCTATGGAATATTATCATGTAATTCATATTGGGTACCATAAAGAATTCTTGTAGGAACTAGACAGTTTTCCTGTACTGGTCCTGATGATGTGTACGTTGTTTGGTCACAGCACCTGTTCAAGCACCTGCACCTGCAGCCCAAGGAGAGCCATGACGTGGACTTCTCCCGAGTTCGGATGTGGACTCTCAGTGGATGGTATGTAGCCCCTGTATAGAAATGACAATCATCATCCTCATGTCATAACCCAGTGTTATGGAGTCCAAGCCCAGCCCAGGTTCTCAGTGCCTCGGCTTGTCAGAAAACCAGGCGGTTACCTTTTTGACCCTCCTTCTTTTCTGGCAAATTGTTGCGAGTACTGCCTACCACTCGTTACCTGACCCGAACTATATTCAGCCTTCCAAAATTTGCACCAGTCTGCTAGCCAAAGACTACCACTTTGTGCCAAGGACAAGTATAAATACAATGATGGTAGTCTGCATTGACTAGTAGCATTTGAGAGCTATAATTCTTAACCAGCTCTCAAGTCTTCAATTTAGCTAATGAATATGAAATTGGAATTGAATAGAAGTGACAGAAAATGTAAAGATTGTAAACATTTTTTTCTTGTTCAAGTAGGACTAGCTACAAACTCAAAATATACAAAATTATGGTTTCCACTAGTCCACTGGACTAAACTTAAAAATAGAAGAATTAATATTAAAGGTTTTATGAATATTTCCATGCTGAATAGAGCCATAGAAGTTTACCTTGTCTCATGGCTAATATTGGAAATCAAATGGTGGCAATAGTTCTTGGAGCATCTTCCTGAGGCACGGGTATTAACTGACTACTAAAGTCCAGTTTCCACTTTTGCCGAAACTATGCTGGACTTTCATGGCTTGATCATAGCGCCACCAGTGGCAATTACGAGTTATGTCCCTTCTATTGACCTATCAGATTCCACCTCTCACATCACTTGCATTTGCTTCAAACAAAATACGGCTCCCAGTCAAGACAATCTGATCAATAATCAAGATCAGTATTGTTGGTAACATTCCTTACCTGGCGAAGTGCATCAAATCATATGAGCACCCCGATTAAAAACATGGAGGATTTGGAAAATATCTGTTGACGCCCAATTGAGGGTACACATGATTTGCAAATCCTGCAGTCGATCAAAATCTGTATTTTGAAATCCATGTTGTTTATGCACTTGATGTTTAGTTCATTGCACAATTTTTATTGGACAATGCATAGACTCGTCGAGCCAAAATGTCACTCTGGAATTCCAGCCTAGTTTGGCAAGGGTAGAAACATTACAGTCAGTTAACTCCCTTGCCTCTGAAAGATGCTGCTGGGAGCGGATAGTGCCAATCATGCCTGCTGCCATGATAAAATCATGATAAAATCATTGTGACTGAAGCTGAAGGGAGCCTTGGTGATTCTTCATCTCTGCTATTCTCGGCCATGACGGAACTGTTTTATTGTATTCCAGGTCTCACCTGTACCGACAGTCTCTCATCTTCAGTGCAGCGCCCACTCCAGAGATCAATGCCGTCTTCAACAAATATTGTCATAGTATCCTTGTTTAAAATGCACACATGATTTTCTTGACGGAAGGACCTGGATCTTAGAGTGCCATATCCTTAGAGCAGTAGATAAATATTTTTCAAGGAATGGCCAGTTTGTATTTAAATTTTTCATTGTTAAGGATTTTAAGAACCTGTATCATTTTTATGAGGGCACCCAGACCAGGATTAAGAGGCTCAAATTACCTACCTTTTCACCAGCTGATATTTTACACTGTCTTCCATGTTTTGTGATGGGGACTATTTTCTAATATTTAATATTTTTTTAAATATTTTGAATGATCATTTTGATATCCTGTGAATCCTTGTTTGGAAAAAACGTATGTTCCTTGTACTGACAACGTTGAATATGTGTGTCACTTTTAGAGCAAAACAGGATAAGCATTTTTAAGGCTTTTTCAAGGGCTACAAATCTAATATGTATGTTTTAGTCTGTTTTCAGTCGTACAAATGGGTATCTCTCATACCCTTTAAGAGGAAGCCAGAAGCTGGAATGTAAACATTAAACTTGTTTCCGTCCGTTTGCGCACACACCTCCCTATGACATGTCACAAATCTCTCAGTGCGCCTCTGCGCTGGTCGCTCGAGAAAGTCTTTCGCGGTAGACTGCTAGTTTGTATTCTACTAGTACTTATCGCTTATCTACAGTTGTTCTAATAAAGTAATAATATGTCTTACCTGTAGACTCCTGGAATGTAATCCTTGGTAATCCATTGTTTGTGTTCAACGCGTGTTTCGCTGTTTGACAGTGATTCTACACGTGGAAAACTGTCTAAAGTAGACCCTCACAAGAATTGTCCTTCCTGCATCATTAAGGACGGGTTTTCAACGTGTTCGTGGAATAAACCTTGTAAAGAATGTGAGAACTTCTCTTCAATAAACTTTAACTTGTATCTTCGTGCGTTGGCGAAGCGGGCCGCTGACCAGCACTACAAGCAGAGAAGGTCATCGGTTGGATCCTTGGACTCTGCACCTCCACATCAGGCCCTGGGGGTGGCGAGTCGACCACACCTCAGAAATCAGTTGATAAAGACCCGCCTCAGTCAACTTCAGTTTTCGACAAGACACGTGACCGTTCGCCTGCTGATGGTACTACCCGCACGACTGATCTTCGTCATTCGGTTGATCGAGAGCGTCACTCAGCCTCCCCCGTTACGACGGGACCGGGTGGTGACGAGGACCATGAGGGGACTACGGTCCCCAGTCGGTCCGTATCTCGTTCTACCAACGACGATAGGGACGTCGTGCGGGACGACAGTGGACACAGAAGTCGTTCCCGTTCAAGTCGGGACAACAGGTCGAGTGCCTCGTCGAGAGACAGTACACGACACGAGGGCGTTCATCGTCATCATGGTCGTCGAATGTACGATTCGGACGATAACTACGATGGGGATCGTAGTACTTCTACAGTTAGAGATCGTAGCCCTCGTCCCCACGGGGACGTGCGACGTTCTCGAAGGGAGTTTCGGGGAGTTCAGCGTCGTAGTGAAGATAGTGACAGAACGACGACCTCGTCTCACTTTCATATCGACACGGCTTTGATAGCCTAGATCACGGCAGCGGTCCTCGCCTCGACGGCGTCGACCAAGAAGGATACGACTACGTCGGGGGTCCATGGCCCGTCAACTAGTACAGCAGCTCCTTCATCTACGCCTCCACAATCGACGTCGACGATGGATTGTGACGACAGCCCTCCTAGGCCTCCCAAAGAACGATGACAACCCGACGCGTGCGGGCTTTAAGGTCGGAGATACACCGCAGTCTCTTCAGTTTTCTCCTCCCGATGTCTTCAGAGCCATGGCTCACGATATGGACCAGAACTTTGCCTCTGCTCTGCCTGGGCAGAGCTTCTGCAAGCCGCCTGGTCGATCTCGTTACCCGATCTATGGCATGCCGTTTTCGTCACCCATGACTAGGGATTTGGACTGGGGGCTACTCTTCAAGAAACCAGCGCCCTCCAAAATTCTTGTAGAAGACAGACATTTGGAATCCATGGACACTGCTGTTCGTCACCAGCTGCAAACGCTTGCTATGCTGTCGACAGCGATCGAGGCCCTCTCAGTGTACTTTGAGGAGAAAGAACCCCAGGACAAGGACGACAGGACGGTGCCATCGGTCCTCACCTGTATGCAACGGTGGATCTCGGACATCCTCGCCCAGTCCCGATATGTATCGGGCCAGATTACTAGGGCGCGTCGCCATGGTTACATCGACTGCACTGACCTACCTGATCGTCATGGCAGGTCACTCTTACGGGCCCCGTGGACATCGCAACAGTTGTTCGACGGTCGTACCAACGACGTTCTGGACAAGTACTCCAGGGAAGCCGAGCGTGACATCATCATTTCGGCTTCACACAACCTGTCCAGACGGCCACCGGTTTCGAACGCCCCACGACAACGTTACCAAAACGAGAATGTGCAACGGGCTTTCCGTAGGGACGTGCCTCGACAGCCGTCCCGCAAGAGAGATTCCGACAGGAAAGGTCGCCAGGTCTCCTTTTCCAAGTTTCCCAGAGGGGGAAAGTGCCAGCGGGGGAGGAAGTGAGGTCCCTTCCCCCGCCGTCGCCGTGGTTGGAGTCTCCCCCGGTGACACTACCTTTAGACGAGCTACCGGTAGGGGGGCGACTTCGTCACTATGCCCACAAGTGGGTTTTCCTCAACGACCCTTACGTTCAGAACATTTTGACAACAGGCTACGCCCCACGCCTGAGATCGACGCCACCACTGACGTCATCCCCGACATTCCACATTCCACCAACGGATCGGCTGACGGAGGCCATCGATTTGTTGGTGGAAAAGGCGGCCGTACTTCGCCTAGGGACATCGGCACCATCGCCGGGGTACTACTCGCCCATCTTTCTAGTACCCAAGAAAAACTCCACAAAGATGCGGCTTATTTTCAATCTCAAAAAGTTCAACGCAACATACCTCCAACCACCCGACACATTCACCTTGATATCCCTCAGCTCTCTGCGTCGGATGATATTACCGAACGACTTCCTCGCCTCGTTAGACCTTCAGGACGCGTTATACATGTACCAATAGCTTCCGCTTTCCAGAAGTACCTCCGATTCGAATACCAAGGTATTCATTACCAGTGGGAGGCCCTCCCGTTTGGAATTTCTACGGCCCCGTGCATTTTCACACGGATCATGAAGACGGTCGTAGAATGGCTCCATCGGCAGGCGATCAGGGTCGCCTTCTACCTAGACGACGGGCTCCAAGCTCACCAGTTTACAGAAGCCCTTCAAGGAGAGTTGGCGACCACCATGAGTCTACTACGGTACCTCGGGTGGATCGTCAACTTTCAAAAGTCGGACTTGGTACCAACTCGGGATCTACAGTACATTAGCATACGCTTCCAGACGGGAGTCAATCTGGTCAAGGTACCTCAAGACCGTTGGGACAAGATTGTCAGCAGCGTTCCGAGACTTCTACATGCCTCGGCGTCGGTGCACACGTGGCAGGAAGTCCTCGGTCTGTTGACATCGGCCCAAGACTTGACTCGTCGAGGTCGTCTTCAACTTTGTCCGCTGCAGAGATTGCTGTACCCCCACCTGGAGTTTCCCAATCTCCTGGTTCCACTTCCGGCGCAGCTACGTTGTCATCTGGAGTGGTGGCTCCAGCCGTCGAACGTTTGCGAAGGCGTCTTTATGAGCGAGCCTCCGTTCATACTACACCTATTCGTAGACGCGTCATTGGAAGGCTGGGGAGCGCACTTCGGGGACGACCAAGCGGCCGGGCTGTGGTCGCCAGTAGAAAAGGTCCTCCACATCAACTGCCTCGAGATGGAAGCAGTGATTCGGGGGGTCGAGTTTTGGAAACTTCGACTCCGTCGGAAACGGCTGATGATACAGTCGGACAACTCCACAGTCGTCCACTGCGTCAACAAACAGGGAACAACTCAGTCGGCGGCCCTTCTGGACCGGACATTCAGGTTCTTCGCCCTCGTCGACGACTTGGACATTGGCTTACGCGCCCGTCACATCCCGGGGGCCAAGAATGTGATTGCCGACGCCCTGTCGAGACCATCGATGCCGTCTCCCACGGAGTGGATGATCCATCCGACAGTCTTTCATCTGCTGACAGATCGACTCTGGTTGCCCCAAGTAGATCTCTTTGCAGCCCCGTACAACAACCGCCTCCCTCGATTCGTGTCGCCGGTTCCAGACCCACGGGCATGGGACCACGACGCTCTAGCGATATCGTGGGAGGGTCTAGACGCTTATGCGTTTCCACCAACGGTGCTGTTACCATCGAAACTGGTGAAGGTTCGTCAAACGGCCAACCTACGTCTGCTTTTGGTCGCGCCTTATTGGCCGGCCAGAACATGGTTCCCGGAGCTTCTTGAGATCATCGATCAACCACCGTTCCCGTTGCCAGATCGAGACGCCCCCCTTCTTCATCCTCACACCGACGACTTGCATCCGGGGATAAAGAACTTCCAGCTTCACGCCTGGGTTTGCTTAAGACCTCGTTAATGAAGAAAGGCTATTCGGCTAAAGCGGCAGCGCTTGTCTCGTCGGCACATCGAGTTACGACTCGTAAGCTGTAAGATGACAAGTGGACCACTTTCTCCATTTTCGCCAGGTCTCATGGCTTCAATCCGGCGGTAGCGACCCCACCACAGGTGGCGGAGTTCCTAGTCTCTCTCCGGTCATCTCGGCGTCTGAAAGGGTCGACGATCTCGACATATCTGGCAGCTTTGGCTTCAGTAGTGCCGTCTCCTACGGGCGACAAGCTCACTTAAGTACCGGAGTTGCAGAAGATTCTACGTGCCTTCTTGGTTGAAGATCAGTCACGTAAATTCCGACCGCCGGCCTGGGACCTCGATGTCGTTCTGCGCAACCTGTCTAGTCATGCTTACGAGCCTCTCGATCAGGTCGCGTTCGACTTATTGTCTCAGAAAACGGTTTTCCTTCTCTCGCTGGCTACGGCTGCGAGAATTTCGGAAATACATGCCATTGACGTCGGTCGGATAACGTTCGATCAGCGTAACCATGGCAACGTCCATCTTGGTCTCAGATGGGATTTTTTAGCGAAAAATCAACTTCCTGGCCAAGATCCGAGAATGTTCCACATTCCTTCCTTGTCTGCCATTATGGGCCCTCATGATCACGCTGATCTCACCTTGTGCCCAGTTCGTGCGCTTCGTATTTACCTGCAGCGTTCTGAACAGCGACGACAACATTTTCGACGGCTGTTCCTCCCGCTCTCAACCAATGCAAAGAAAGAGATTATACGTAATACTCTCTCATTTTGGTTGAGAGCGGTAATTCTCAGAGCTTACGAGGCGCAAGGACTCGCACCTCCCACCTCCTCTCATCCGCACGAAGTTCGAGCCATCGCTTCAACATTAGCACTCCACAGTAATTGTTTGCTACAAGTTATTATGGAGGGCTGCTTTTGGAGATCTACTTCAGTGTTTGCTTCGCATTATCTTAGAGATATCTCCACAGAAGATGTTGAAGGACTCAAACAGTTTGGTCCACTCGTGGTGGCACAACAGATCTCTCAGAAAAGACAGTGAATTTGTGTTTTATTCACTTTGGAGTTTTTGCTCGACACTTCGTGACATATAACAGGTTACAATAAAAGCTGTCGGTGAATGTACGCATTCTTATGTTTTTTTGTTGCGTGCAGTACTTCTGCTTTTTATTATGGTTATTCGGTGTATGCATCGTCTTCCCATACATTATAGTACTGCTTGTATTTTTTAGTTACTTTGTATACTGTGAGTGAGTTGCTCTGTAACTAAGGGGCGGTCGGGTAGCCTAGTGGTTAAAGCGTTGGCTCGTCACGCCGAAGACCCGGGTTCGATTCCCGACATGGGTACAATGTGTGAAGCCCATTTCTGGTGTCCCCCGCCGTGATATTGCTGGAATATTGCTAAAAGCGGCGTAAAACCATACTCACTCACTCACTCTGTAACTAAATTATGCGCCGACCTCACTTCGATCCGGGTTCAACTGACGTGTGCAGTTGTACTGTCGCATCGATAATTAGTTGTGTGTCGAAAAGCATTAACCATGCTATTTTAGTTACCTTGTCTACGGCGAGTTGTTCTGTAACTAAATTATACGCCGACCACATTTCGATCGCAATTCAACTGACGTGTGCAGTTGTCCTGTCGCTTCGATAATTAGTTGTGAGTCGAAGAGCATTAAACATGCTGTTTTAGTTACCTTGTATACTGCGAGTTGCTCTGTAACTAAACTATTCGTCGACCACACTTCGATCGCAGTTCAACCGACGCGTGCAGTTGGCCTGTCGCATCGATAATTAGTTGTGTGTCGAAGAGCATTAACCATGCTGTGCGTTCGTGATAAACAACTTGTCTCGTCCGTGCATCTGGTCGAATGTTCTATTGTCACTACAGGGGTGAGGAACTTGGTACATTCGACGTGAAAGTGGTCACTGCCTGATTACTTTCCCAACCCTCCTTCCAGTGTTCCGTCGAATTCTACCCATTTGTACGACTGAAAACAGACTAAAACATGGGTTTTTCAGATTAAAAACGATGTTTTATTGGTCTGTTTTCAGTCATACGTTCCCACCCAGCCATCCCCACAGGGAAGTAATCCAGTCCAGTCCTGCTTGATGGCTTATTCTTCGAGATTTGTGACATGTCATAGGGAGGTGCGTGCGCAACCGGACGGAAACAAGTTTAATGTTTACATTCCAGCTTTGGCTTCCTCTTAAACGTGTGACTAGACGTGAGGGTATGAGAGATACCCATTTGTACGACTGAAAACAGACCAATAAAACATCGTTTTTAATCTGAAAAACCCATAATTCGAGTTTAGTCATTGAGAATATAAGTGCTACAGCTGTCATTAATCAAGTAACATGTAATTGTAGTTATTGGGTAACTGTCATGTCCCCCACTTACGATGAACAATGGTGTTAGTGGTACAGTCCTTTTACATGGGTCACCTAAGGGTGCAATGGTTGATAGAAGTATCAATGCATTGCCATTGTCCATGGTCTGATTGCCATACATTATCAACAAGTCATTATGTTGATATCGATTATAGATTAGGCTGTCAATTGTGTAAATTGATGTGTGAAATGAATAAGTACACATTTTACTTATTCCTCAGATACTTTGACGTTTACTTCATGAGAACGCATTCACAACTTTATCATGAGAACATGCTCAACATTAAACTCGGCTATGGGGCTCTTGTCCATGTGGTGTCACTGTTTTCCTTCATGCTGTGTTAGACTATGCAGGGAAGGTACAGCTTCAGCGGGAGCCAGGAGATGGAGTCATCTGCCAGATCATAACTCAGACTCCACAGGTCAGTCCTAGCAGAGGAGCAGAGGACATTGAAGGACAGAGACAGATAGACACCCACACTATATAAACACATTAGCCTCAGTAGCAGAGGACATTGAAGGACAAAGACAGATGGACACCCACACTATATAAACACATTAGCCTCAGTAGCAGAGGACATTGAAAGACAAAGACAGATAGACACCCACACTATATAAACACATAAGCCTCAGGAGCAGAGGACATTGAAAGACAAGGACAGATAGACACCCACACTATATAAACACATTAGCCTCAGTAGCAGAGGACATTGAAAGACAAAGACAGATAGACACCCACACTATATAAACACATTAGCCTCAGGAGCAGAGGACATTGAAGGACAAAGACAGATAGACACCCACACTATATAAACACATAAGCCTCAGGAGCAGAGGACATTGAAGGACAAAGACAGATAGACACCCACACTATATAAACACATAAGCACACTCATGACACTATATAAGTTGCAATCTTGCCTCACCTTGCTTGAGCCTAGTTTCATGGAGAAGTAGCATGCTGTGACATCACCAAGTACTGGGAAAGCTTGCACATAATATGTTCCAAAACATTTAATATATTGCTTGAGGACACATTGCCCCCAAGTGAGTGAGTGAGTGAAAGAGAGAGAGAGAGCGAGTGGGTAATACCGGGAATGCTTGCACATAACATGTTCCCCATCTTTTTAATATATTACTTCAGGACACATTAGGGGCGGTCGGGTAGCCAAGTGGTTAAAGCGTTAGCTCGTCACGCCGAAGACCCGGGTTTGATTCCCGACATGGGTACAATGTGTGAAGCCCATTTCTGGTGTACCCCGCCCTGATATTGCTGGAATATTGCTAAAAGCGGCGTAAAACCATACTTACTCACTCACTCACTCACTCAGGACACATTAAGCCCAGTTTAAGGGTGAGTGAGTAAGTGTTGTTTAGTGCTGAGTCCGCAGTGTTACAGCTCTATCACAGCAGTGTGTAAATATTAAGCCTGGTCCACACTACAAGTGTAAGTAATGGTCACAACTGTCATGGCACAGTGAAACACCATCAGCCAAAACCTTACCTCCCAATCTTGTTCAGCTTGGAATACCGGAGACCTATACTTCCCCTGAATACCCACAGGGTCCAATGTTAAGAAAATGGAAAGGGAGATTGACGGAGAAATAAGATCAATAATTTATTTTCAATTTTTCTTCAAAATTATGTCAACACAGGAGCTGATGTCAACGTTACAAACAGCTGTTACTTTTTGGACTTGGTTTTTGTTGTTCATTGATTTGGCAAAGGCCTATTTCAATTGGCAGGAATAAGACATTTTTCATTGTGTAAGTCAACATGGATGTGGAAGTCAGGAACTGTATATGGGCTCCAGCAGTGTGACATTCAGCCAGTGCTTGAACTGTTTCTGTGCATTGTGTTCCCAGACATTCCAGAAGATCAGCTGCACGTCCTTCACCCAGCTGGCTGACTCAAGGTTTGACTTCTTCATAAAGAAGGTGAGTGCTGACACCTGTCATACATATATTTTGTTGTCATTAGTGGCAAATTCGAAGAAGTCATGTTTGGGCATTTACCACTGTTTAAAGCCAACTTTGAAAACCAAATCCCCATGAGAATTCTGGGCAGAAATAAACCAGTTATTCTTGGTAGAACTCAGCCTCTGTTTGGATTCTCTGTTGAACTAAACCCCTGTTATTCTTGGTAGAACTCAGCCTCTGTTTAAATGCTCTGTTAAACTAAACTGCTGTTATTCTTAGTAGAACTCAGCCTCTGTTTGGATTCTCAGCTTCTGTTTAAATGCTCTGTTAAACTAAACTGCTGTTATTCTTAGTAGAACTCAGCCTCTGTTTGGATTCTCAGCTTCTGTTTAAATGCTCTGTTAAACTAAACTGCTGTTATTCTTAGTACAACTCAGCCTCTGTTTGGATTCTCAGCTTCTGTTTAAATGCTCTGTTAAACTAAACTGCTGTTATTCTTAGTAGAACTCAGCCTCTGTTTGGATTCTCAGCTTCTGTTTGGATGCTCTGTTAAACTAAACTGCTGTTATTCTTAGTAGAACTCAGCCTCTGTTTGGATTCTCAGCTTCTGTTTAAATGCTCTGTTAAACTAAACTGCTGTTATTCTTAGTAGAACTCAGCTTCTGTTTGGATTCTCAGCTTCTGTTTGGATGCTCTGTTGAACTAAACTGCTGTTATTCTTGGTAGAACTCAGCCTCTGTTTGGATTCTCAGCTTCTGTTTAAATGCTCTGTTAAACTAAACTGCTGTTATTCTTAGTAGAACTCAGCCTCTGTTTGGATTCTCAGCTTCTGTTTAAATGCTCTGTTAAACTAAACTGCTGTTATTCTTAGTAGAACTCAGCCTCTGTTTGGATTCTCAGCTTCTGTTTAAATGCTCTGTTAAACTAAACTGCTGTTATTCTTGGTAGAACTCAGCCTCTGTTTGGATTCTCAGCTTCTGTTTAAATGCTCTGTTAAACTAAACTGCTGTTATTCTTAGTAGAACTCAGCCTCTGTTTGGATTCTCAGCTTCTGTTTAAATGCTCTGTTAAACTAAACTGCTGTTATTCTTAGTAGAACTCAGCCTCTGTTTGGATTCTCAGCTTCTGTTTAAATGCTCTGTTAAACTAAACTGCTGTTATTCTTAGTAGAACTCAGCCTCTGTTTGGATTCTCAGCTTCTGTTTAAATGCTCTGTTAAACTAAACTGCTGTTATTCTTAGTAGAACTCAGCCTCTGTTTGGATTCTCAGCTTCTGTTTAAATGCTCTGTTAAACTAAACTGCTGTTATTCTTGGTAGAACTCAGCCTCTGTTTGGATTCTCAGCTTCTGTTTAAATGCTCTGTTAAACTAAACTGCTGTTATTCTTGGTAGAACTCAGCCTCTGTTTGGATTCTCAGCTTCTGTTTAAATGCTCTGTTAAACTAAACTGCTGTTATTCTTGGTAGAACTCAGCCTCTGTTTGGATTCTCAGCTTCTGTTTAAATGCTCTGTTAAACTAAACTGCTGTTATTCTTAGTAGAACTCAGCCTCTGTTTGGATTCTCAGCTTCTGTTTAAATGCTCTGTTAAACTAAACTGCTGTTATTCTTAGTAGAACTCAGCCTCTGTTTGGATTCTCAGCTTCTGTTTAAATGCTCTGTTAAACTAAACTGCTGTTATTCTTAGTAGAACTCAGCCTCTGTTTGGATTCTCAGCTTCTGTTTAAATGCTCTGTTAAACTAAACTGCTGTTATTCTTAGTAGAACTCAGCCTCTGTTTGGATTCTCAGCTTCTGTTTAAATGCTCTGTTAAACTAAACTGCTGTTATTCTTAGTAGAACTCAGCCTCTGTTTGGATTCTCAGCTTCTGTTTAAATGCTCTGTTAAACTAAACTGCTGTTATTCTTAGTAGAACTCAGCCTCTGTTTGGATTCTCAGCTTCTGTTTAAATGCTCTGTTAAACTAAACTGCTGTTATTCTTAGTAGAACTCAGCCTCTGTTTGGATTCTCAGCTTCTGTTTAAATGCTCTGTTAAACTAAACTGCTGTTATTCTTAGTAGAACTCAGCCTCTGTTTGGATTCTCAGCTTCTGTTTAAATGCTCTGTTAAACTAAACTGCTGTTATTCTTAGTACAACTCAGCCTCTGTTTGGATTCTCAGCTTCTGTTTAAATGCTCTGTTAAACTAAACTGCTGTTATTCTTGGTAGAACTCAGCCTCTGTTTGGATTCTCAGCTTCTGTTTAAATGCTCTGTTAAACTAAACTGCTGTTATTCTTAGTACAACTCAGCCTCTGTTTGGATTCTCAGCTTCTGTTTAAATGCTCTGTTAAACTAAACTGCTGTTATTCTTAGTACAACTCAGCCTCTGTTTGGATTCTCAGCTTCTGTTTAAATGCTCTGTTAAACTAAACTGCTGTTATTCTTGGTAGAACTCAGCCTCTGTTTGGATTCTCAGCTTCTGTTTAAATGCTCTGTTAAACTAAACTGCTGTTATTCTTAGTAGAACTCAGCCTCTGTTTGGATTCTCAGCTTCTGTTTGGATGCTCTGTTAAACTAAACTGCTGTTATTCTTAGTACAACTCAGCCTCTGTTTGGATGCTCTGTTGAACTAAACCCCTGTTATTCTTGGTAGAACTCAACTTCTGTTTGGATGCTCTGTTGAACCAAACCGCTGTTATTCTTGGTATAACTCAACTTCTGTTTGGATGCTCTGTTGAACTAAACCCCTGTTATTCTTGGTAGAACTCAACTTCTGTTTGGATGCTCTGTTGAACCAAACCGCTGTTATTCTTGGTATAACTCAGCTTCCGTTTGGATGCTCTGTTGAACTAAACCCCTGTTATTCTTGGTAGAACTCAACTTCTGTTTGGATGCTCTGTTGAACTAAACCCCTGTGCAAATTTCTGTTGGTACTGGGCCTCTGTGTTGTTTCTGGGGCAATCTAGTAACGAGCAACTTCACTAAACTCCACTATCATTAGTCTCTGACCTAGCTTCGTCACAGGGTCAGGGGGATAGTCTTGTGGTTAAAGCATTTGATTGTCATGCTGAAGACCCGAGCTTGATTCCTCACATGGGTACAATGTGTGAAGACAATTGATGACAAGGCTTGATGCTGAGTTTTGGTATTTGGTTTGTCTGCACCAAAGCCATTATAGCATGACTCTCTGGCTGAAGTGTTTCGATGTTGTGTTTCAGCTTGTGCCCCACCATCGGGATCCTGTGATGAATCGAACCCTGGTCTACATCCCATCCTACTTTGACTTCGTTCGCGTAAGGAACCACTTCAGGAAAGAGGGCATCAACTTCGTGCACATGAGCGAGTAAGATCCCTTCATGTCATTCCCTCCAGCTTCAGACAATTAGGAAGAATTCTCACCTCACCTGTTTTTGTAGATATAAACAAGCATTTAATTTTGAAGTTTTTGATATCAAGAAAGTCTTGACATGCTATGATCTGCATTTTTTTTGCCCATTTTTTTGGTCAAAAATACAAATCTGCAGTGTCATATCAGTTGCCTTTCATCTTTTGAATTGTAACGTCATAATAGCGGGATAACTCTAACTATTGTCAGTGTCCCAGTAACGTTAGGCCCAGGTATCAAATTGGTGTGGTTGTGATTCATTTTGTGTTAATTGCATAGTATTGGGGTTTGACATTTTTCATGCGTACTTGTACACATGTAACTCAAAATTAATTGGATGATGGCGATATATCTTGCATATTTGACACAAGTAGACTGCTTATCTGGAGCCCAGATTGCAATTGATTGTGTAGGCATGTTAATCTCTCCACCCCAGGTGTGTCCTTACATACATAGTCCAGTACATATAACCCCTCCCCTTCTGTCCCATCCCGACCCCGCCTCTCCCCTCCCAACCCATCCCCTCTTCCCTCCCCTCCCCAGGTGTGACCTTCCACACCCAGTCCAGTAATCTACACACATCCCTCCTCTCCGCAGGTATGCGACAGACAAGGGCATATCGAGAGTAAGGTGTGACTTCTTCCACGGCAAGGCCCAGTTTCTGCTGTACACTGAGCGGCTGCATTTCTACAGAAGGCAAGTCCTGCAGCATGACCATTCACATAGCCCAAGTACAAACTCAGATATAGGCTTTGTTTTTGCAGCTCCTGAAACGCTGGCACATGTTTCTGAGAGGGTTTATGTTTTCATTTTTGTAGCTGTCTAAATACTGATCCTAAATACAATATTTTAATTTTCTGAAACTGAAAATACTTATCCTCAGAGCTGACTATTATGGACAAGGCTGATTGTGCCCAGACTATCAACCACTGGTTTAGCTGGAACAATTATTTCCAGCTAGCTGTGATATAACTTGATGAAACAGCATTCCTCTCTCTCAAACCTGTGCGTGTGGGGTTCACCAAAGTTGTTAACGTCTGGGACCTCCATCACTTCAAGCTCTCCTTCCACATTAAGCTGACATGCCGACATATAACTGGAATACTGTGGAAAGCCTTGTTAAACCCCACTCACTCACTCACTCACTCACTCACTCACTCACTCACTCACTCACTCACTCACTCACTCACTCACTCACTCACTCACTCACTCACTCACTCAAACTACTAAGGAGAACATGAGTGACCCAATGGTATGTTTTGAAGTTAATTGAGCAGAGTTGTGTCCCTTGTCATGTCATCATCTCACTCTCTCTCCAGGTTCAGAGTACGAGGGATCAAACACATAATATTTTATGAGCTGCCTACTTACCCCCACTTCTACACGGAAATGTGCAATATGATCAAAGACCCCAAACGGGGGATAGAGAACAAGGCAGCAACGTGTACAACCATCTACTCCAAGTATGACGCTCAGAAGCTAGCGGAGGTCGTGGGTGCAGAGAGAACTGCCATCATGCTCAACTCAGAGAAGTCTGTCCACATGTTTATCACTGGAGAAACTAGCTGATCTTCAGTGATAGTTCTGGAGAAACTAGCTGATCTTCAGTGTTATTTCTGGAGAAACTAGCTGATCTTCAGCGTACGAACTGTAGTGGTGGGACTATACACCGATGCATAGGTGGATCAAGATATTTTACTTCCCCATACAAATACCGGGTATCGATCACAGTCAAGTAAACAAAAGTAAAAAATATCGATTCATACCTTAAATGTTTACTTCATGGCTGTTACACTTAACACTAATTAGTTGTGAAAAAGTAAATATTTTCATCAATTGAGCAATACTTGACACTGCCAACTGTAAATCATCAGTGTGCCAGGTATTTGACTATCCTGTCTATGAAAAAGATTACAAACGCACCACAGGTGAGAGCACATACAAGTATCGTGATACGTACCCGATCACACAGTTTCTGTATTGTCCAAGCCCTAGTACGAAGCATAACTCTTGGACAATTGTCAATATGGCTGTGAAAAATGGGGCTCTTGTCAGTGACACTTGGAGGAGCTTTGGAAAAAGGTTGATATGAAGGGACATAACTCTTGTAGGACCAAGTGTCAATTACCACAGGAAGGAGGCCTACAAACTTCCCTGCCAGGAGCTACAAAGTAACAAGTCCAGGGCAGGTGAGGTGCTTCTAGTACTGTAACTACAGTATGAATATTACCTAGGTGGTGGCTGTGGGTTCTCTGCTGTCAAGGGGCCGGAGAATATCCATGAGGTTAAAGCACTGAATCATCCATCTTCCTGAGGCAAGGGAGATAACTGACTGTAAAAGTCAAGTTTCCATCCTTGCCGAGCTTGGCTGGGGTTTTGGCTGGGCTAATCCCGTTAGTCGCCTCTTATGACAAGCATGGGTTGTTGAAGACCGATTCTAACCTGGATCTTCACGGGTCTTGACGTGGTAAATGTCGGATATAGGAAATGTCCTTTAATTCTGTTCACCTTGTGTGTGAAGAATGGTATCATATGTATATGGAGAGGACTTTAATGTAAATATGTACATGTATAAAGTTCAACACTTTCTACAGGTGCTTGTGTTGTTTTTCTTGACTATAGAGTATAAACTTCAGTTTCAAGGCTTGTTTTAGTTTGTCAGAGGGGTCAGATGGTATATATTGTTTATGGATTAAAGTTGAAAGTGAAATGGCGATGAATGATGGTTTGTCAGTAACAGAAAGAAAGTATGTGTATTAGCACTACAAAGAGTGAGTGAGTGAGTTGGGTTAAACGCTTTTAACAGCATTCAGTTATATCATGGCGTGTCAGCTTAGTGTGGGGAGGAAAGCCCGATTTATGCAGGTCTCAGACGTTTACCACTTTTGTGAAACCCACGAGCTTGGATATGGTGCTGACAAACCTAGAAACATAATCAGGGCGAACCGGGATTCGAACCAACAATCATATGTTTCTCAACTCTGCACAGCGAATCGTGACGCCTTAAACGATTGGGCCACCCGTGCCCCAGCACTACAAAGATGCGATTGAGTGAGTATAGCACTGATGCTTTCAGCAGTGTTCCAGCAGTGTTCCAGCCACATTCATTGTGCTGAATCAGTGTCCACCAGGGAGAGCCCCATTCCTTGCTGTGCCCAGCCCAGGGTGTTATCTATGATTCCAGTCTGAGTGCCCTTGACAGGCAAATTGGGAAAACATTGTTATTTTATTCACATTGGGGATATTGCTTCAAAATCTGATTTTCCTTAATTCAGAGGTATGTTAACTTTGCATACAATAATGTAGGACCAAGCATTACATCATCTTTCTCTTTATTGGTCCACAATACAAGTCGGGGCGGTCGGGCAGGCTAGTGGTTAAAGCGTTCGTTCATCATGCCAAAGACTTGGGTTCGATTCCTGACATGGGTACAATGTGTGAAGCCCATTTCTGGTGTCTCCCGCCATTATATTGCTGGAATATTGCTAAAAGCGGTGCAAAATCAAACTCACTCACTCACTCACTCACTCACTAAATACAAGTCACCTTGACCACAACATATACATTAATTACTAATTAACTTTGATTCAGAGGTTCAACACCTACCTATTGATGCAAGTACCTATAATTATTATTTATTGTTTATTAACCTGTTTACATGAGAGTAGCAATGCTGTGGTGCATATCAAAAATGAAATAAAAGATGAACCCATTAAAGTCCTAATTCAGTACTCCAAATGTTCTCTTTGGTTTCGCCAGTACTCCTATATTGAAATAATGAGTACACTCTTCTAATACTGAAGACTTACTTGAAGCCCTGCCTTGACTGTCATAAAGTGCACATATGTAACCCAGAATATAAAACAAATTGTAATCTGCATGTGATTCCTTCAGAATCAGGAGGAGAACATGAAAGTAGAAAACAAACATATTATGAAAACAAAACTAGTAATATGTTTTCGCAACATTGACTTCCTGAAACAGTTAATTGTTTTCAAGGAACATGGGGTATTAAGTTGTCACAATCCTAGTGGTATACAGGATACTGTTGACAATGATAGATCTACACGGGTAAAGATATTACTATCTTTTTCAAAGTAATAGCTACATTAATGTAATGTTATCTTATGATGAAGTAGATTTTTTGAGACATGCAGATATTGTCAGAATTGAAACTGACAAGGTTGTGAGAGCGTTTGTTATTTTTCACCATAAACCATACTTCTCTATGAGAGTTATCTCGGTAATGGTAATATGTTTATTTCCGTAGCCTTGCACGTCAATTATTCACACTTGTCCAAAAGTGCTAATATCTCGCTACAAGGAAATTGGGTCAGTGTTTCCCCCACAGTGATATGCTATAGGCCTGTCCAGATAGTCTCTGGACAGACATATCCGCTTCATGGAAATGATTCAAAGTTTCACCAAAGTGAAATGCTGCATGGTGAAATAGGTCGGATGAGCTAGACTGGTACCCTGCCCTAAGCCTCCTAGCGGCTGTAGGCGAGGAGGGCAAGCGCTCTAGGACAGGGCGTGCCTTCCTCATATGATTGTTGCTAAATGACATAAACATGTTTAGTGTAATAATTTAAATTTCGAAATATTTTCATAATTATTTATGTATTTCGTATGTACGCATATCATTATACATATGTGAGACGAAGATAAAGTTTCTTTTAAAAGTTTAGTTATATCTTTCCAACTATTACTCATCTCCGTATAACTTTCCTAATGTAACTTTCACAAACCAAAAACAAATAAGGCACAGTGCCTAGCGACCTGCAATAACTTTACTTAACAGCAGGAAGTGGGAAATTTATAATTTTAATTTGGGAATTTTTGTCGACATTTTCTACAGACAGGGGGCTGACTATCGACCTCTGAGCATGTACAGACATTTCTCTGCAGGCTGTTTGTCAGTGCTACCCCAAATCAGCCATCTGGGGTGTCTTTTCGCCATGGAACACTTACAGACAGAAGTGACATCGTCTCGCCCCTCATGCTGGCTACACACACACGCAATACCTTTCAAGCTATTTCCGTTCAGTTATAGTGCCCATGAATGGTATTTAATGACTGTCATTTTCAACTACCTGGTTACCCAATATAGAAGGTGATTTACACCTCCAAAATGCAGTAAGTGCACAGATTTGTCTTATGGAACAACAGCTGTCAAAAATCCATTTGGTTAAAAGGAGATGTAAAATACTTTTAGGCGACCGTATTTGCGGTTGCTGAAAACTGAAAACGTTATTCCACCATAGATCAACGGGAATGGATTCTACGTCAATTAACCTCTTGGCATAAGAGGTATAAGCGTCACGCAGAAACTCCGACAAGCCTTGGCGGTTCTGACGTGATTTTGTTCGAGTATTGCTATAAATAGGCGTAAAAACACTTTCCTCCCTCTCTACCCAATAGCGTGGACACGGGTAGTTCATTTGCCAAAGTCGCCGCAATTCGCTGTTCAGAGTTGCGTCCCTTGGATCCACCAGAAGCCTATGATCGTGGGTTCGAATCCGATTTATCTTTGTTTATTTGTTTATTCTTTAATGCCGCACTCTGCAATATTCCAGCTATATGACGACGGTCTGAATAATCGAGTGATTGACATCATGAGCATCGATCAACACAATTGGGATATGATATGCATCAAACAAGTCAGCGAGCCTGACCTACCGTTCCCATTAGTCGCCACTTACGACAACAATAGTCGTCTTGGTTATCGTTTTAGGTTCGTCAGCACCATACCCGTGGTCGTGGGTTTCGTGGGACTTTCCACATTAAGCTGACACGCCGTGATATAACTCGGATACTGTTCAAAGCGGCATTAAACACAACTCACTCACTCTTCCGAATAGCATCACACGCACAAAACAGTTCTGACAATGAATTTATTGACATGGTATGGTATGTATGACACTATTATGAAAACAAGATAAAAAGTATTGCACATATTCAGAGTATTTCAGCACATATGAAAATATAAAAAAGTATTAAAGACAAAATAAACAGTCTGAAATAAATACGTACAAAATGGACGGAAGGAAAATTTACACCTGCTTTCACCCAGTCTCCCAGACACACACATAATTTACAAATATAATATCTATGATAATTCACATCATAAACAAGGCAGTATGGAATGTATTGACAAGACTGACCAATCACCGATAACAGCAGCAGCAGCAGCAACAACAGTAATTGATAGAGATTCGTACATTCCGTCAAATGTTCGCAATATCAACAACATTCTTCTAGATGTCATTAAAAAGCATGAACAAAAGTTCTTGTACAGGGTAACGGCAGTGCAAAGCAGTTTGAATTAAATTTTAGGACGTTTAGGATATTGTTTGATTTTCAGTCGGAAACTAAAGCCAAACAATGCTTCCTGTGCTCTTTGTACACTTGAGGAAAGCCTTCAATGATACAGGATGGTCCAGAACATGGTTCAGAACCTTGATTTGAGTATGGTATTACCCAAGGGAACGTTTGAAACTGGGACCTCAATTTGGTGTCATGAACTTTGGTCAAAGGATCAAAGCTCTAACGGCCTTGTGCACAAATCAGTCTGTTTAGTGTTGGCGGAAGTTAGCTGTTCTGCGCACTGTTGTTAGAGAATGCCTAGCAACTGGAAACCTGTCTTGTTCTGTTGTTGGACTTCCGGTCCACGAGCCATACCCTCGAAACGAATGAAAGCAAGACTCATTTTGTTCCTTATCGCGTATCCTAGCAGATTTCCTAATGACATTTTTACGTTATACGAGCTAGCAAACATGTTCAGATATCATTAATAGCACTATTGTGCATTGATTGGTTGTTATGCGCAATGGCGTTTCGAGAATTTGGTCTGTATGGAAAGCACTCATCATAACACCCTGCTTCTCGTCTCTAAAGCCTCCGTCGCCTGAAAACGCATGTGCGGCAACAGTACTTCCTCACGGCTCTGCGACGACACACACGGGGGTTTACTTTTATTAACCCCTCGCAGTATTTTTCGTTTTGGTCGGCAAGGCATTGTCCTGCAAAGAAACGTATATACCATTAAACAGGAGAACATGAATTTCTGTAGCATCCTACTCAGCATCTTACTTAGTCAGCATTCCACATAGTTGATGTATTTAACAAGTCATTACTCATGAATAAATATTAAATGTTCATATCTTTTTTGGTCGTATTTTTATTTTTATCGTATTTTGCTGGAATTGTTATTGTATTTTGGTCCAATTTTTTTTTCTTATTTTGGTAGCATTTTTATCTTATTTTGGTCATATTTCTTTTTATCTCAACTTGGCAGTGCTTTATCCTTAAATCATCATTCCAAATGCACATTCTGAAACACAGGAACACGGAAGCAGTATTTCCGCCGAGCACACTCGTGTTTGTTTGAATACAGAATTGATAACAAGAGCCGACAACAATCGGATTCGAGTGTCACAAGGTGTGAACTGGTTAATTGTGTGTCTCCGTACCCCGGGGTACGATCATGCTATCGGCTACTGGTCACCCTGTCCTGTCGTGGTATTGCGCTCTATAGTTGACTGTGGTGTTGAGCAACTCTGACACTAACGAACATTGAAAGAAGTGGTACATACACCACTGCGGCAATTATTCTGCTCCAGATTATGATGTTTTATGCTGCAAGATTAAATTGATCTTTTTGATATAAATGAATCCTTCACGTACCCGCCTTACCCCTCTGTCTTGACGACCGTCCCTTGTTGCGACTCCTCCTTCCGCCGGAAGTCCTACTGACTTGTCGTCTGCTGCTGTTCTGACGTCTGCGACCCTGACGTCTGCCATTTGGCCTCGTTCTCAATCTGGATGTTCGCCGGTCGGTGCTCTGACGACGGTTCGTCTGTGACGGTGTTCTAGATATCTGCATTCTGCCAGTGGGACGTAGTCCGTACGGATTTGTTTGGCAAACACCTAGATGACACACCTGCAAATAGGCAAGAAACACCGATTACCATCACTGTTGGTTCGCTGTGATCATCATCGATCTAGGCGCAATTAGGATTGTCTGCTATGTATCCTATTATCCTACATTTCCCTCCCCATCTCGGCTACCCCCCGCCTGGGGAACGATCCCAGTATAGCTGTCCACATTACCCTCCCCATCTTTACATTTGACCCCTTTGGACACTCTTATCTCTACTCCTGACCCATACGGTCACTCCGCTAGCTATCCACAACATATCTACCCATAACCCCTTATTGCATTCAGATAGCTACCAACCCTGACCTCCCCATTTCCACCTCTGAACCCTTGGGTCACTCTGCTAGCTACCCACCCCATCTCTACCCCTAACCCCTTGATACACTCCGATAGCTACCCAAGACCTCCCCATCTCCACCTCTGAACCCTGGGGTCACTCTGCTAGCTACCCACCCCATCTCTACCCCTAACCCCTTGATGCACTCAGATAGCTACTCACCCTGACCTCCCCATCTCCACCTCTGAACCCTGGGGTCGCTCCGGTAGCTGCCCACCCATCTCTACCCCTCACCCCTTAATACACTCCGATAGCTACTCACTTTGCCCTCCCGACAAGTGGTCCCGGGCAGCGCCGTGAGGTAGGAGTGTGTGCGGCAGGTGAGTCCATTCTCTGGGTCCTTGCACCACAGTTGACCGCACATGACCATCTTCAAGTTCTTGGTCTGTGGAGAACAAAGGTAATCTATGACCACGTGATTTCATTAAGTGAATGTCAGTAAATGTTTCAACACAGTAAGACTTTAACTTAAATATTTCTTCGTAGATTCGTAGGTGAGATCCAAAGAAGAGAGATGGGGGACGATGTTATGACAGCACATTCCTTATGGAGGGTCCGACGGTCAGCAATCCCCCGAGTTGATATATTTAATGTAATTAACAAATCATTATTCATGAATAAACATTATTGGTTCAAAGTTTACCTTTCTTCACATCTTTTTTTTCATTTTTGTCGTATTTTGGTGGAATGTTTATCATATTTTGATTTAAAAGATTGATCGTATTTTGGTAGAATTTTTATCTTATTTTGGTCATATTTTTATTTTTATGTTATTTTGGTAGTATTTTTATTTTTATCTTATTTCAGCAGTGCTTTATACGAAAATCACAATCCCAAAAGTATATTCTGAAACAAGGAAACACGGAAGTAGTGATTCCGCCGAACACACTCGTCAATTCGTTGTATACTAAATAGAGATGAACGTTCAGGGCTGGGTATTGAAGGAAAGAACTTATTGACAGGGTCGAGCTATAATATTTCTTGAGTCGGACATAGGTCTGTTTTGAACATTTTAAGTCCCACCTATGCCTTGAAACATGATATCGGAGTATACACCCACGTTGAGGCTGAGACCTTTCCTTATTGAACGTACATGCTTGTTGGCATAACAGGCAGGCTACCAACACACGTGCGGAATCTATACAAGATACACGATCTTTGTGGAGGGCGCTGATATACTCAACCAGATAAACGGTGCAATATTTTGACAAGATTTAAAACACCTAGCCAGAGAACCCAAATCTGCAATCATGTAAATTTCAAGTTTTTGCGGAGTTAGCTAACAGCCTTTTCAGGGCTACTGGCATAACATATGTTTTTGTGCCGAGACGAGTTTGGCTCTTGACACAAGTGTTTGCTTGCTTGATACAGATTGAGCAAAGATTTGCACATTTTATCCCGACGCGTGTTCTGTGTAAACAAACTGGTTTGTCAAGCTGTACATTGCTGTGCTTGAATAAATAAATCATACCAATTTGCAGCTATAGAGTTTCGATTAATACAGTTATTTCTCCCGCAACCAGTCCAACTAACACGGTCATCTCGTCCCATGGAAATAGACAGGTTATCGTTATAAAAAGCTATTCCGGTTCGACATCACATCAAACGGCCATGACATTCCACGTGTTCCTTGTGCCAATAATCGAGCAAAATAATTCAGGTTTATCAAGCATAACTTACCCCGCAGAATTCTGATTTCTTGCCAAATATAAGTTTACACTGTTGGTGAGCTGTGTATTTTTGTCCGGGGGGCAGTCGCTGTATGTTGTACTCATAGTAGACACTGGGGGTGTCCCGCACACAAGACGCCTGGTCGGATCTGCAACAGAGTCATTGACGTGCAACTCAGGGAAGACCTCATCAGGGGTATGTACACCAAGGGCGGATTCATCATTTTCAAAAGGGAGGGGTCCAAAATAGCAAGTTTTACTGTCAACAACATACTACATTTTGGGTTTTACAACAACAACAACAACAACAACAACAACAACAACAACAACAAAAAAAGGGGGGGGGGGGGGGGGGGGGGGGGGGGGGGGGGGGGGGGGGGGGGAGTCCGTAACCCCTGGACCCACCACTGGATCCGCCTCTATGTACACCATGTATAAACATGGGATATATGCATACATAGGCCAGTAGTATATATAATCGCTACCATAATCGTCATTATGGTACATTTTCACGCTTGTGCAGAAAAACCCGTGAAGATTCCGGGGTAGAATAGGTCTTCAGCAACCCATGCTTGTCGTAAAAGGCGACTAACGGGATCGGGTAGACATCGAACGCTTATTACAAGCACTGCTTTATTTAACGAGGAATATGTGATAGTACTATTTTACGTTTTTGACAGAGATTTCTTGTGGAAGGGGTTTTTGTTTACGTTAATAAGTATGAGTTAGCAAAAAGAGTGATGATTAAATTTAACTGCCAGTCACAAGAAAGTTGAAAACTAGATTTGAAAACACAACAATTACATTCGTTATCAAAACGTCACATGGCTGAAAACAGTCGCCGAAAAACTGCAAACCTAAGGTACAAAACACAACTGTGATATCCGTATCAATGCATCACCACTGAATAGCCATTTCTTGTTTGTTTTATTTCAGCCACCATCCAACATGGGTGTATACTTTCTTTTGCCCGTTAGTGTACTCAATATTTGCTAGGAATGGCAAGTGGCCCGATGCGTCTTTAACTAGCGGGTGCAAGCTTGTTGGTTTAAGCTTTGGTTCGTCTCGCCAAAGATCCAAGTTCGATTCCCTACTTGAGTACAATGAAAAACAGGTTTATAGGAGCCATGGCTGGGGTGTAACTAAAGTGGGGTATTATACTATAAACTGCTACTATAAAAAAACTTTAACCCCTTAGATACCGTGCTCGTGGGTTTCACGAAAGTTGGAAATGTACCACTTCCGGTTTACCTCCCACATCAAGCTGACACTTTGTGGAACTGGAATACTGATCAAAGCGATAAACCTGACTCGCTCAATCTGCCGCCATGGACATTCATCAATGAGCACGATTTACCTCAGCAGTTTCTTCATCTGTCGGACGGAACATGGGGAGAAGTAGAACGCATTCTTGAGCTTATCGTGTTCACTGGTAGTCTGGGGCGCCATGATGAAGTTGTCGTCGGGGGGACAGTCCTTGTTCTCCTTGTCGCCGTCGTGGCTCGCTCCCAGACTGGAGGACACAGGAAAGAGTAAGATGAGGACATGTAAACACTTTTCTATGGTGTCTAGGGTTCAATAATTGGATGTTCGAGGTATCATTAGCTTATGTAAATAATAGGAGTAACTACAATCACGGCATCACGAACGATTTTCTGGAATCCGACTCGGGCAAGTATACACTTGATAATTAGATTTGACCAAAACATTACAGTCGCCGACAAAAATGACCCCCCCCCCCCCCCCTTCCCTCTCAAACACTACTATGTTACCCGTATCAAATTCATCACCATCGAATAACAATTTCTTGTTCGTTTTAGCCATCATCAAACTTGGGTGTATACTGTCCTTTGCCCGTCAGTGTATATACTCCTGTGTACATGCCCCATATCGTGTTTTTGCCTGGGACCATTTACACAAAGTGGACCCAGACTATGCCAAGAAAAGAAGTGACGTTCGACCTATGAAGCTAAATCCAATATTCAGTATCCAATATTCCAATGATCATATGCATCCAAAGGCCATACATTAGCAGTGTCATGTGACTGACACGACAATGACGTAACTGACCTATGTGCCAGCTCGTGGGCGGCGACCTTGACGACTTGGAAGTCCCCTGGGTCTGCGACCATGGATGCGGAGTTCCCGCCGCGGGTGTTGCAGACTGAGCTGACGTAGGCCATACCTGAAAGAGGGCGGCATCGTCATCAGTACATATATCCCCATCATCACACACACACGTATTCTTGATGGCGACCCACTGTAAGTACTTATATTGAATTACATGTGTACAGATACACGCTAATGTAGTCTATCCCACAGTCCCTGAACCACCGCATCTGTGGTCTAGTGGTAGAGCGTCCGCCCGGAGAGCGGAAGGTCCGGGGTTCGATCCCCGGCCGCGTCATACCAAAAGACGTTAAAAGATGGTACTTGTTGTAACCCTGTCTGGCGCTCGGCATTAAAGGGCTAAAACAAGGACTGGTCGGCTCGGAGTCAGTATGCTGTGTCTGAGTGGGGTATTCATGTTAAACTGCGGCATGGTATCTCAGTGTGCTAGCACTATTAATCGGCATGAGTCCGGACTAGTACAAGCAGTTCCACACACACACATACACGTCGCTATATAAGTGCAATAATCTTGGACGCGACGTTAAACCCCATTTCACCTCACCACCTCACAGTCCCTGAACCCAATGGTTTTCCTTCCGCCCAGCCCTTACTGTTATGCTACGTCTCTAAATGAAGAACGTCTAGACTTGCCACAGAATCTCCCATCTCACTCAATTTAAATGGAGTTGTTTGTTTTTAGAAAAAATCTATTTTTTTGCAGAGACTATGCGTAAGTTTAACATAACTGCTGCTGAGGCCATCGTGTTTACCTCCATCAATGACAGTAGTATAATTAATTGCTAATTGATATCTGCTTCAGTGAACGGGCTACATGCTATCAGTCTCACCTCCGAGGTCGATGCTGGCTTTGTTAACCAGGTGATACCTAGAAAGACAACAAAAGTCATTGGTAGATGTGCGTAGATGGTGCGTAGAGACACATATAGTACATATAGATATCGTGCTACACTGCACATACATTTAAAAAGAAACAGGGCATCGAGGTCGACATAACGCTACAAACTCATAAAGGTAAAATGCTTTCTGTTTGTTTGTTTGTTTGTTGTTTAACGTCGCACTCAGCAATATTCCAGCTATATGACGGCGGTCTGTAATCGAGTCTGGACCAGACAATCTAGTGATTGACATCATGAGCTTCGATCTTGGGATACGATGACATGCATCAACCAAGTCAGCGAGCCTGACCACCCGATCCTGTTAATCGCCTCTTACGATAAGCATGGGTTGCCTAATATCAATTCTAACCCGGATCTTCACGGTCAAAAATACTTTCTAAATTGGTAACCTCAATGGGGTTTGAATTTCATTTTTTTCTTTCAATGAAGTGGGTGCGTTCACTTGTCATTATACACCATTATTTCACTAAGGTATTGTCTTGTCGATGGGGTCCTTAATCTATATCCCCGGCTCCGCACTTGCAGTAAGAGGCAAAGTCTCACCCTGTGAAGGCCATGGCATGGTCATATTTTGGCAGATACTTCTGGTCCTTCAGCCATTTGATGAAATATTTTAGGCCTTTGTTGGCATCGACTCTTCCCTCATCCCGGCGTCTGGACCACTGGACCAGATACTCAAGCCATGCGGAGTCCTGCCGCGACTGAAACACATCATCATCATCATCATCATCATCATCATCACCAACAATTCTCTTCATCATCATCACCAATCATCACCAATCATCATCACCACCACCAACTATCATCATCATTATCTTCATCACCAATCATCATCATCATTGTCAATAATCATGTCGTACTTCTCATTAATAAAAATCTATCATTGATAATATGATGAAGACTTCGCTGTACAAGGGTTTTGGCCTCGTATTTGTAAACTGTGTCAGCACTTTCAGAACAGACATTGGCCACCTGCCACGATAATAAATACATGGTCTCTGTAAGAAGATTACTTTTACAACATACGGCACTTTGCTACAATATTCGAATGCCGACTCCAGCCGTCATACTATGTGAAATGAGCGATCGAAAAGGTGAAATTAATATCAGTAAATTGTTTTATTATATTTGATCTGGCCGGCGGCGATTTATCGATTATCAATTTGTTAGGTCTTTAAGCGCGGACATTTTTGTCGGGTGGCGTATCGCATGTTGTACAACTCGGAACTACATCAAAGTGAAGGTCATCGTTAGCTTGCTGGAGGCGGCTGTAGTCGCCATTGTTGACAGTATTGATGATGTAATTGATGAGTTTGTCATTTATAGTACCGATATCAGCAGTAAAAGCTACACATAATTTGTTATGCGTGTCACTGGCGCACTTAGTGAAATGTCCCTTTTGAACAATCTGGCTTATTATTTCAATTTGGGCAATTCCAAAGTAAGAGATCTAAGATACGTTTAATGCGCAATCTTAATGTAGCGTTTCTAACGAAGTTCTTCAAGGAATATATTCACGTGCATGTGAACCCTTAGTTTGAAGTTTGTTTAACGCCTCGCTCAGCAATATTCCAGCTATACGACGGCGGTCAGTACACAACCAAGTCCGGACAAGACAATCCAGTGATTGGCATCATGAGCACCGATGTACGCAATTGGGATACGATGGCATGAACCAACCAAGTCAGGGAGCCTGACCACCCGATCCCGTTAGTCGCCTCTTACACGCACTGGTTGCTGAGGACCAATTCTGACCTGATCTACGTTGGCGACGGAACTACTTAGTCATAAAATAGATATGCTCCTATACTAGATTAACATTAAGTCCAACAAATAACGTTATCTTATTTATATCAGTAAAATAAAAAAAATAGTATCCATATTGATCCAAGAACAATACTTAATCTTAGAGTTGAAACAATTCAGAATTGCCTCATCATTCTAGATTAGAGATGGATTCGCATTTACTATATTTTCTAGGATCTAGGAGACAAACTTCTATTCCTAAGGCCAGAGACCATAAAATAGATCTATTGTATGGTCTCTGCTATGGCGCAGTCATGAACTTTGAATGAAACTACCTAGATTTGTAATTGTCAGCTACACTGTACACTCGGAGAAATATCAGTCACCAGGCCAAGGTTAGAAAACTACTATAAATTTACTGCGATGCCACAGTCCAACATTCCGTAGTAGATAGTAGGACGGCAGTAGCCCATTGCATCTTATAACGATGTTCATAATAGAAACTATGTAGCAGCCGTCACAACAAACAGCCGCGTAATGGCCTCGTAGAGGTTTGTAGGTCGAGAGATAAGAGAGCGATAGTATAGGATGCCTTGGGTGAGAGGCAGACCATCACAGCAGGTGCGCGCTCCTAGACTTGGGTACATGCTCCTGGCAATGTGCATCCCTCAACCTGCCACACCTGATTGCTCGCAATGGTCATTATCCGAATGGAGGAATGCGCCGAGAAGTGGGTAAATTGAAACCATCTTGCCTTCGATGAAAACTGATGATGAACAAAGAAGATCCACTCGCACTTGAAGATAACCTGACACCCATCCCCCTTGGGGGTAAGTTAATGACCGGATCTGCCCTCATTGCGGAGCAGCACAAGACGTCGAACAAGCCCGCCATGTTGCTTCCCAAGACGTCATGGCGCGCCATCTAGGGCCGCTCATTGTTTATGGCCGTACAGACGTGGTACCGATTTTTTAGAACTTGGTATACATGTGTTGATGAGTCTTTAATGTCAGAAACCGTTGATAAAATATAATGCAGTCATTATTATTATCATAAAGGTGAACAGGTTCGTACAAATGACAGTGGCACGGGAAGCCCATTCGTATAAGGCGCCGCGATTCGCTGTGTAGAGTTGCGTCCCTTGGGTACGCCAGAAACCAATGATTGTGGGTTCGAATCCCGGTTCGCCCCGATTATGATTCTAGGTTTGTCAGCACCATACCCGTGCTCGTGGGTTTCACCGAAGTGCTAAACGTCTGAGACCTGCATCACTTCGGGCTTTCCTCTCAATTTAAGCTGACACGCCGTGATATAACTGGAATATTTTAAAAGCGGCGTTAAACTCAACTCAGAAGACACAGCGCCATCTGTGTCCACCATCATAATCAGGTACCACGAAGACCGTCTTGCGTTTATATGAAGCTATAGACAGGGGTCACACTCTGAGGTCAAAGTCACAGGCGTTGTAAAGATATGTAATGTGTTGCGTTGTAAGGACATGTAATGTGTTGCGGTGTAAGGACATGTAATGTGTTGCTTTGTAAAGATATCAAATGTGCTGCGTTGTAAAGATATGTAATGTGTTGCGTTGTAAAGATATGTAATGTGCTACGTTGTAAGGACATGTAATGTGCTACGTTGTAAAGATATGTAATGTGTTACGTTGTAAGGACATGTAATGTGCTGCGCTGTAAAGATATGTAATGTGCTACGTTGTAAGGACATGTAATGTGTAACGTTGTAAGGACATGTAATGTGCTGCGTTGTAAGGACATGTAATGTGTTGCGTTGTAAGGACATGTAATGTGTTGCGTTGTAAGGACATGTAATGTGCTGCGTTGTAAAGATGTGTAATTACTACGTTGTAAGGACATTAATGTGTTACGTTGTAAAGACATGTAATGTGTTACGTTGTAAGGACATGTAATGTGTTGCGTTGTAAGGACATGGAATGTGTTGCGTTGTAAGGACATTAATGTGCTGCGTTGTAAGGACATGTAATGTGCTGCGTTGTAAGGACATGTAATGTGCTGCGTTGTAAGGACATGTAATGTGCTGCGTTGTAAGGATATGTAATGTGCTGCGTTGTAAGGACATGTAATTTGTTGCGTTGTAAGGACATGTAATTTGTTGCGTTGTAAGGACATGTAATGTGCTGCGTTGTAAGGACATGTAATGTGCTGCGTTGTAAGGACATGTAATGTGCTACGTTGTAAGGACATGTAATGTGCTGCGTTGAAAGGACATGTAATCTGCTGCGTTGAAAGGACATAAATAGGCTGCGTTGTAAAGACATGTAATGTGTTACGTTGTAAGGACATGTAATCTGCTGCGTTGTTAGGACATGTAATTTGTTGCGTTGTAAGGACATGTAATTTGTTGCGTTGTAAGGACATGTAATGTGTTGCGTTGTAAGGACATTAATGTGCTGCGTTGTAAGGACATGTAATGTGCTGCGTTGAAAGGACATGTAATCTGCTGCGTTGAAAGGACATGTAATCTGCTGAAAGGACATGTAATCTGCTGCGTTGAAAGGACATGTAATGTGCTGCGGTGATAGGGTAGGACATGTGTCGAGTCTAGTTAATAGCAGGTAGTAGTCGTTTAGTGTGATTTGTCAAAGCATGTTACTCGATAGTCTTTAGGGGCCAAACAGAGCCTGTTATGTCGCTGCATGACGTCAGACAAATGTGGAAGAACAGTAGGTGGTGTGTCCTGATGTGACCTCCTTCCTCCCGCTAAGGTGTAAACATTTGTAGCTAGTTACATCTCATGAGTCAGCTCAGTATATAGTCAGGAGGGTGAACGTCCCGTGACCTATAGCAACCGCCATTAACCATTACGTTGACCATAAACTAAGCCGTCAGGTACGCCGGCCTGTGTTGAATTATGCTCGGATTTATTCTCAACGACTGGAACTCGTACCTACCTCTGACACGAGAATTCCTGAGATCTTGACTGTAATGGACAACTCGGGGTCCCCGATGGTTTGAAATCTTTGATCAACCTGTAAAACAGAGCAAGTGTTAAACAAGATGATACATCACTTTGTTCCTATTTCTCATCTTCAAAACAGGGTGAAATACAGTACATAGTGATACACTTCAGGGTGGTATAATGTAGTACATAACGGTACACTACTCTAAAGGGTGGTATAATGAAGTACATAACAGTACACTACACTAAAGGGTGTGGTACAATGTAGTACATTACGGTACACTACACTCATGGGTGTGGTATAATGTAGTACATAACGGTACACTACTCTAAAGGGTGGTATAATGAAGTACATAACAGTACACTACACTAAAGGGTGTGGTACAATGTAGTACATTACGGTACACTACACTCATGGGTGTGGTATAATGTAGTACATAACGGTACACTACTCTAAAGGGTGGTATAATGAAGTACATAACAGTACACTACACTAAAGGGTGTGGTACAATGTAGTACATAACGGTACACTACACTCATGGGTGTGGTATAATGTAGTACATAACGGTACACTACTCTAAAGGGTGGTATAATGAAGTACATAACAGTACACTACACTAAAGGGTGTGGTACAATGTAGTACATAACGGTACACTACACTCATGGGTGTGGTATAATGTAGTACATAACGGTACACTACTCTAAAGGGTGGTATAATGAAGTACATAACAGTACACTACACTAAAGGGTGTGGTACAATGTAGTACATTACGGTACACTACACTCATGGGTGTGGTACAATGTAGTACATAACGGTACACTACACTCATGGGTGTGGTATAATGTAGTACATAACGGTACACTACTCTAAAGGGTGGTATAATGAAGTACATAACAGTACACTACACTAAAGGGTGTGGTACAATGTGGTAGATAACGGTACACTACACTCATGGGTGTGGTATAATGTAGTACATAACGGTACACTACTCTAAAGGGTGGTATAATGAAGTACATAACAGTACACTACACTAAAGGGTGTGGTACAATGTAGTACATTACGGTACACTACACTCATGGGTGTGGTATAATGTAGTACGTAACGGTACACTACTCTAAAGGGTGGTATAATGTTGTACATAACATTACACTACACTAAAGGGTGTGGTACAATGTAGTACATTACGGTACACTACACTCATGGGTGTGGTATAATGTAGTACGTAACGGTACACTACTCTAAAGGGTGGTATAATGTTGTACATAACATTACACTACACTAAAGGGTGTGGTACAATGTAGTACATTACGGTACACTACACTCATGGGTGTGGTATAATGTAGTACGTAACGGTACACTACTCTAAAGGGTGGTATAATGTTGTACATAACATAACACTACACTAAAGGGTGTGGTACAATGTAGTACATTACGGTACACTTCACTCATGGGTGTGGTATAATGTAGTACGTAACGGCACACTACTCTAAAGGGTGGTATAATGTTGTACATAACGGTACACTACACTAAAGGGTGTGGTATAATGTAGTACATAACAGTACACTACACTCATGGGTGTGGTATAATGTAGTACGTAACGGTACACTACTCTAAAGGGTGGTATAATGTTGTACATAACATAACACTACACTAAAGGGTGTGGTACAATGTAGTACATTACGGTACACTTCACTCATGGGTGTGGTATAATGTAGTACGTAACGGCACACTACTCTAAAGGGTGGTATAATGTTGTACATAACGGTACACTACACTCATGGGTGTGGTATAATGTAGTACGTAACGGTACACTACTCTAAAGGGTGGTATAATGTTGTACATAACATTACACTACACTAAAGGGTGTGGTACAATGTAGTACATTACGGTACACTACACTCATGGGTGTGGTATAATGTAGTACATAACGGTACACTACTCTAAAGGGTGGTATAATGAAGTACATAACAGTACACTACACTAAAGGGTGTGGTACAATGTAGTACATTACGGTACACTACACTCATGGGTGTGGTATAATGTAGTACGTAACGGTACACTACTCTAAAGGGTGGTATAATGTTGTACATAACATTACACTACACTAAAGGGTGTGGTACAATGTAGTACATAACGGTACACTACACTCATGGGTGTGGTATAATGTAGTACGTAACGGTGCACTACTCTAAAGGGTGGTATAATGTTGTACATAACATTACACTACACTAAAGGGTGTGGTACAATGTAGTACATTACGCTACACTACACTCATGGGTGTGGTATAATGTAGTACGTAACGGTACACTACTCTAAAGGGTGGTATAATGTTGTACATAACATAACACTACACTAAAGGGTGTGGTACAATGTAGTACATTAAGGTACACTTCACTCATGGGTGTGGTATAATGTAGTACGTAACGGCACACTACTCTAAAGGGTGGTATAATGTTGTACATAACGGTACACTACACTAAAGGGTGTGGTATAATGTAGTACATAACAGTACACTACACTCATGGGTGTGGTATAATGTAGTACGTAACGGTACACTACTCTAAAGGGTGGTATAATGTTGTACATAACATAACACTACACTAAAGGGTGTGGTACAATGTAGTACATTACGGTACACTTCACTCATGGGTGTGGTATAATGTAGTACGTAACGGCACACTACTCTAAAGGGTGGTATAATGTTGTACATAACGGTACACTACACTAAAGGGTGTGGTATAATGTAGTACATAACAGTACACTACACTCATGGGTGTGGTATAATGTTGTACATAACGGTACACTTAAGGGTGGTATAATGTAGTTCATAACGGTACACTAAACTAAAGGGTTTGGTATAATGTTGTACATAACGGTACACTACACTTAAGGGTGTGGTACAATGTAGTACATAACAGTACACTACACTCATGGGTGTGGTATAATGTAGTACGTCACGGTACGCTACACTAAAGGGATGTGGTATAATGTTGTACATAACGGTACACTTAAGGGTGGTATAATGTAGTCCATAACGGTACACTACACTAAAGTGTGTGGTATAATGTTGTACATAACGGTAAACTACACTGAAGGGTGGTGTAATGTAGTACATAACGGTACACGACACTAAGGATGGAATATACTACATAATGATACACTTCAGGTTGGTGTAATGTAGTATATAATGACACACTACACTAAAGAGTGGTATTATGCAGTACATAACAGTACACTTCAGGGTGGTATAATGTACATAACGGTTCACAACAGGGTGACACAATGTACATAACGGTACACTTCAGGGTGGTACTATGATCTGTATGTATATAATCCTATTTCCTCGTTGTTCTGACTCTGTAATCTGTCGGTGCTATACATTTACGCAGGGAGAGGGCGTGGCACAGTTTGTAATCATCAGCCCCACTATCCAGGGAGGTGGAGGAGAAGGTGATGAGAGATCGGTTCATCAACTGATGAGGTATTTGGCTACCTGGAGTTAGTAAGACCAAGGTTACGTGTCGACTGGCGACGGATGGAATAACCTGACGGACAGTAATTGCCAACAACACAACCAAATGTCAGGAAAAATCGCCCTTACTAAGCCCAGCTGGGGCCGATGATAAACCCCCCTCTATGTTTGATAACTTGTCAGAACCCAGATCTCGCCCTGCAATTCATCAACAACCCGCCTACATCTGCGGAACAGGGGGTAATGAAAAACTGATTTATAACTTTTTTTATTTATAATGTATCAAACACGCACATTTCATATTCAAAACCAGCAGACTGAGAAAGAACAGGTGGTGCTATTAACAAGAAACTTTTTAGAAACATAAATAGTCTGATATAAGGTGATGGCCATTTCACAGAATCAGGATTTGTCATTCATTTTGATTATGTTTGATTTATTTTTGCAAAATAAACGCTGAACTTCTAAAAATGATATGCTATCTTTCATGAGATCAACACTTCCGTGCGGATTTGCCAGTTTTGATTACGCATTACATCATTCTTCAAACCCTACGTTCATCTAAACGACTTTCGGGACTTGTCATGGTGTTGAGAATTTATATTCCCGGGGCTTTACACAATGCCTTATATAGCAAAGGGTAGACGTCGCTGCTTATAATGGCGATATATTGTCATGTGAAGGAGAATATGGTCGCGGAAAGTTTCGTTGAAAGAAATACATAATATGACTTAAAAACTTACTTACTAATGGAAATTTATAATCAGAATAACCAAATGCACATAAAAACTAGATGCCCCGCCCCCCCCCCCCCCCCCCCCCCCACACACACACCACCGAATGATTTATATTCACAACAGTTCACCAATCAAACAAAACTGTTGCAGTACCACTTATCAAGTAAATGACGCCAGGTTGCCTAGCAATCGTTAGTTCCGCATTCTCAAAAAGAAGGAAACGCTTTGACCAAAAACATCAACAAAAACGTTTTAGTGAAGGTACCGGAAGCACGATTTAATGGCACACTGTGAAGTCGTCTCACAAAGACTATGAGTAAGTCTTAGGCCAATGTCCTGAAATGATCGTTTCTCTCGGATCTCAACTATACTGAACAAAACAAGTTAGGGATCATGAACTATTTTCATATGTGCTCAGTCTTCACTGCCAAAAATATTCATGATACTCAACTTTCTTTGTTCAGTATGTGTCTACAATCCCTTCCACATTGAGACAGCCGTCAGTAAAAGGGACGTACCGATCCGGGATAGAATAGGTCTTCAGCAACCGTAAAAGGCGACTATGCCTGTCGTAAGAGGCGACTAACGGTATCGGATGGTCAGGCTCGCTGACTTGGTTCATGCTTGTCAACGTATCCCAATTGCGTGGATCGACGCTCATAATATCAATTACTGGATTGTCTGGTCCAGATCGCCGTCATATAGCTGGAATATTGCTGAGTGCGGCGTTAAACAACAAACAAACAAAACAAACAAGGGACGTACCATGGCGAACACCATCCCATAGTAGCGCCTCAGCATGGCCAGGGCTTCCCGCTGGGTACGGGTCTTCTCCACATAATGCTGGTAGATGGCGTTGTCAACCACGACCAAAACTTCCACTTTGGCATCCACATGGTCAACAACAGAGCGTTTCCCACGACGATGTATCGACGTCACTGTACAAAATAAAGTACGATACAGTAAAGGTCGTAGTGGTATCGGGAAACCCTTCTTGCTACTTGATCATTGAAAATTCTGACAAAACTTTAAAACACAATAATAATTCTTCATACACTTGTTTCACTGCACAAGCAGCGGGTGAGATTAAGATTAGACGCCATCATTAACTCTTCCTACCAACTGGGAACGACACTGTACTCTTGTGGAGTGAGTGAGTGAGTGAGTCTAGTTTAACGCCGCTTTGAACATTATTTCAGTTATATCAGCTAAATGTAGGAGGAAACCCTGAATTGGGGCGAACTGTGATTCGAACCCACAATCACAGGCTCCTGTCATGTCGAGGGCACGCAACTCTGCACAGCGAAGTGGGGCGCTTTAACCACAGGACCATCAACGCTCTACCACGTGAGCTGATGGTGTCAAGAAGAATTTGATGAATTTGAGTCGCCTGGTCTAAGTGTATGTTTGTTATCCAGAAGTATGACCGAGTATTTTCTGACAGTCTCAGTCCCTAAACCATACTATTTCCCTTCCGTCCTACCCTTACTGTAATGCTCAAGCCCCCAATGAACAAGTCTAGGCAGGTTCACTTTCCCACCTCACTTTACCTCCTTTTCAATTTCATATGGAGTTATTTGTTTCTATCAAATATTATATCTTTTCAGAGACTAACGCTGTCACTGAAGCGAGACTTACGTGCAGGGGCAACGTTGGCATCGTCGACGTTGTCGTAACCAGCATAACTGTCTGGAAACGCCGGTGCATACTCCGGGGGCTGAAAAGGAACGAGATATTGTAGCACATATTATATGGGTCACGTAGAACACTACTACATCAGTTATAGAAAACTAGACGCGGCTCATGTCTGATGGGAAGGAACTTGGAGCGGTTTCAGTTTTAATTAAAATGATGTTTTTTTTAATTATCCTCGACTAAATTGTGTCGAGTCTGCCCTCCTAATATAACTGACCAGACCTTCAGTCTTATGTTTTGTTTTACGCCGCAGTCAACAATATTCAAGTTTTATCAAGGCGTCCTGTAAACAATCGTGTCTGGGACAGTCAAACTAGTGACTGACGGGTGCATCCTTCTAATTCATATAGTGTTTGGCATCTGCAGCTGGAGTACAGAGCGATTATATCAGGAATATTTTGCTAAAATGTCATTGAATATGATAAAAACTCTATAATATAATAATAAACCTCTTATTCTGCGTTCTTCTTCACGGACTGGTCTACTATTTGTCTGAAGGGGTCAGCTTATAACCCTTTTATTCACTGGTGCATACGTTTGTTTTCATAATACTGTGGACGAAACTTTTTGTTTGTTTGTTGTTTAACGCCGCACTTAGCAATATTACAGCTTTATGACGGCGGTCTGTGAATAATCGAGTCTGGACCAGACAATCCAGTGATTGATATCATGAGCATCGATCCACGCAATTGGGATATGACATGCATCAACCAAGTCAGCGAGCCTGACCACCCGATCCTCGCCTAGTCGCCTCGTACGACAAGCATAGTCGCCTTTTACGACAGGCATGGATTGCTGAAGACCTACTCTACCCCGGATCTTCACGGGTCGTAGACGAAACGAACTGTAGACGAAAGTGGGCGCCTCCCACTGTCCAACGCGCTCGGGGTACGATGACACGAAAAACAGCCAAGTCACAGACCCTTCCAATATATTCACTCACTCACTCAATATATTCGCTTTTACAACAAAGAGGGTCCTGGTGGCATATTCTAACCATGGACCCTTAAGGTGTCCGTAGACACAAAGAAACGACAAAACAACTGTCCAAACAACCATCACTGCAATCAATATGATAAAACAACCAATATGATAAACAATCAATATCATCAAATCAAGACAATCATCTCGAGACTATAGAATATATATGTACAATATTTGACTACCATCTCATTTTTCTCTTGTTACTATGACAACAGTGGTTGCAGGTTTCAAACGAGCATTCCAACTTGGTACGTCTTTTCATCACTGCATCAGATGTGCAAGGTGAAACCAGCGTATAAAAACACGTGTGATAAGGGTTTCCGCCCCCGGCGTATAAATCAAATCAATGTTACCTCATCAGAGAGCATGGGACCCCTACTGACACCCCACAGCGAGGCTATATCTTCATCAACCGTATCAAACTCTGTCTGGTCATGTAGAGCCCATACACTGTCTCAGCGCGTTCGCGTATTAAAGTATTATGCACCATCAAGCTATTCATTCAATTGTAGTAAAAAGTAGATCAAAGGAGAAAAGCGAGTAGTTTTTCTGTTCATCATTTTACTATGTATATATCAAACTATATATTTATCACGTCATTAGAAGCCTTCTTTTCATCCATGTATATTGTAATCATTAAAATGGCGGTAGCCTAAACAACGAAAGTTCACTACTCGCTAACCGAGTTCCTTGTCACGTGTGCCTGCATGCCTGTGTGAACCTCAAACGGAAACTGTCGCCGTGTATATTAAACATGCGCAAACATCACATGCCTTTAATGAAAGACAGTCGTTGTTGTGTCTATGTTTCCGCTGCAACTATGTCGGACAGACGATACTCTATGACGTCCGTCAGACGTTTACAATGGACGATTTCCTTTTACTTCTGTCTGACGTTTGTAGCAGACGATTCCTTTCTGACTTCTGTTAGACGTTTGTGGCACATGATACTCTCTGCCGTCCGTCTGACGTCTGCGGCAGACGATACTCTCTGACGTCCGTCAGACGTCTACGAGGGACGATTCCCTTTTACTTTTGTCTGACGTTTGTGGCAGACGATACTCTCTGACGTCTGTGAGACTTCCACCCCCGGGGAACTCCCCAACTTCCTCGTAGAACAAAGGGTTATGACGGAAGGTTTGGAATATGTAACAATGACAATGGTTGTTAAGGTTTTCTGGAATGTGTGTGTGTGCGCGCGTGCGTGCGCGCGTGCGTGCTTTAACACGGAACAGATTGCATGGTGTGTGCAAAAGTTGTTTATACTACGGAAACCACTACATGTTTGCCAAATATCTCGTGACAGACTAGTCTGCAGTAAGACATACAGGTCTAGGTTGTTCAGTCCCGGTAAAAAACAACCCTAAACATTGAGAGTTCGAAAACCTTTCACACTTAACCAAGCGTCTAATACTTGGTACTGGAACGAAAGTCATTCTACATTTGTTCAACAATTAATATAATAAGCAACCGACAATAAAACACACACTTCTTGCCAAAAACGTTAATTCCCTTCCTAAAGGCGACAAATCTTTGTTTATTCGTAGACTGCATGAGATATTTTCGTTCATGGACATCAACTTCAATTTTCCACAAGTGGTCGTTATTGGCTTCAACTGTTGACCAAGTAGTCTTTAAGTGAGGATGATATCGAAATGGAACTATATAACAGTCTAGCTACTCCAACTCCACAGGCCTCAACATCCACATCAAGCCGACGGAACAACAATTTCCTTAGAGTCAAATACAGACATTCTCCAGCCAGCTTGAACAAAGTGGCCTCGGCAGCTTCAGAAAGCGAGACTCCAACAAATTATTTAAACTGATTGCCCTGTTAATGTATAGGAGATGTACAAGGTAATCACCTCCAGAAAGTATAATTGTTCAGCGCCATCTGATGCCACTTGACCTCGCGAGTTGCGCACGCCTCTACATCACCTCGCGCGTGCCTCATAGGCTCTCTCTAATTGTTCGGCTGTCGACGCCATAGAAGCTTCTCCAGAAGGGAGGTTACATCTACTTTGGTGGCCATTTTCAGAGTGACGTCATAATTCGAAACATTCCTTGCTGGGTCTGACTCAGCATGTTCAATCTGCACGATCATTTTCGAGTCTGCGCATGTTTCCATTGAGCCTGATGGACGGTCGTCTACTTCCGGTACGTTGTTAAACGGGAATTACCATGACCTAGCGTGACTAAACTGACCTTTCCGCGTCACGTATATTGTATTATAAAGTTGATTTGGGCCGGATGTCTGGTCAGAGTGTGAGCATACGTTCAACGTGGTTCTCAAATGAAAACACACTTATTGATACACCCAGCCCTATAACCCACTTTTGTGAAGCATTTCACCCACCGGTTACAGCTGGCGTATTTACAGACATTCATGTTGATAGTCACGTGACCGGAAGTTATACACTTACAATGACGACATGTTATGGAACATTTTGTCTAGTTACCGACGGTTCCGACACATCTCCGCGCACACTACACAATGAACATGATTCGATCTACTCTATGGTATTTGAATTGCTTCCAATAAGTAATAAAGCATGATTTGGAGAACGGCGCCATGTTTGTTTGGTGTTTAACGCCGCACTCAGCAATATTCCAGCTATATGACAGCGGTCGGTAAATAATCTAATCTGGACCATACAATCCAGTGATATACATCATGCGCATCGATCTGCGTAATTGGGATACGATGACATGCATCAACCAAGTCAGCGAGTCTGACCACCCGATCCCGTTAGTCGCCTCTTACGGGCGCCATGTAATCAGACAACCTCATAATCCGTGTTCCCTCAACTAAACCAGGTGTGGTCATTAGCGTGTGTGTCTGTTGACACGTAGTGTCTCCCACCATTACGTCAGGTCATATCCAGTTCAGTAAGACTAGTCATGGTATGCTAAAACTGTCCAGATAAGGGATATTTTATCAAATACGATTAGAGTTTTATCAAACCACGTCTACCTATTTCTTTGAAGATGCCAGAACTGCTTCCTGACAATATTCAATGACGAAGGAAGCAGGCTTTTGTACATTCAATATCACAGGCCAAGAACGGAATGCTGGATCACAAACGTGGTGGCACTGCTCTATATCACGCCTCCTTCTCGAGATGAGGTGCGAGATCTCGTGTGGCACGTGATTCACGCTCACTATGACGTAACAGGAACCTTTGAGATGCTATGTCACCGAACACTTATATCAAGATAGTTGTGACTGCTATCACTCCCTCGCTGAGGTGAACAGGATGGGAAGGTTGGATGTGGGATTGGCACACGCACTTCCTGGTAGAACTAAAAACTCACCGGACAGAAAGTATTTGTTATCCTTGATTTTTAACGTAAAACTTTACAAAAACGTGAAGCGTGTTGTAAAGTACGATTGACATTTTGAAAGGTCGCTTTGGTGCACATAATGTCAGTTAAAAGTGTTTAACGTCATTGTTATGTCAAAATATTTATCATTTGCGCACTCGGAACCAGAGTAAGTTAGTTAAACACCGCTTTGAACACCATTTGAGTTATGTTACATCATGTTTAGGCCCAGTAATGTGGTAGGAATCCTGGAATGCAAAGGGCGGGTAGGATACAGTAACGCACGCAGAGCACATCTAAATTTGGTTTTCCAATGTGGCTATCCATATTCTGAAGACAGAGTGCCATTTGGATCGTGTGGTCATGTTATCGTGAGTATGTGTGCCACCAATCTAACCTCATCTAATATCTGCCACAGTTGTCGTGAGTGTGGTGCCACCAATTTAACCTCATCTAATATCTGCCACAGGTGTCGTGAGTGTGTGTACCACCAATTTAACCTCATCTAATATCTGCCACAGTTGTCGTGAGTGTGTGTGCCACCAATTTAACCTTATCCAATATCTGCCACAGTTGTCGTGAGTGTGTGTGCCACCAATTTAACCTCATCTTATATCTGCCACAGTTGTCGTGAGTGTGTGTGCCACCAATTTAACCTCATCCAATATCTGCCACAGTTGTCGTGAGTGTGTGTGCCACCAATTTGACCTCATCCAATATCTGCCAAAGTTGTCGTGAGTGTGTGTGCCACCAATTTAACCTCATCTAATATCTGCCACAGTTGTCGTGAGTGTGTGTGCCACCAATTTAACCTCATCCAATATCTGCCACAGTTGTCGTGAGTGTGTGTGCCACCAATTTAACCTCATCTAATATCTGCCACAGTTGTCGTGAGTGTGTGTACCACCAATTTAACCTCATCCAATATCTGCCACAGTTGTCGTGAGTGTGTGTGCCACCAATTTGACCTCATCCAATATCTGCTACAGTTGTCGTGAGTGTGTGTGCCACCAATTTGACCTCATCCAATATCTGCCACAGTTGTCGTGAGTGTGTGTGCCACCAATTTGACCTCATCCAATATCTGCTACAGTTGTCGTGAGTGTGTGTGCCACCAATTTGATCTCATCCAATATCTGCTTCAGTTGTCGTGAGTGTGTGTGCCACCAATTTAACCTCATCCAATATCTGCCACAGTTGTCGTGAGTGTGTGTGCCACCAATTTAACCTCATCCAATATCTGCCACAGTTGTCGTGAGTGTGTGTGCCACCAATTTAACCTCATCTAATATCTGCCACAGTTGTCGTGAGTGTGTGTACCACCAATTTAACCTCATCTAATATCTGCCACAGTTGTCGTGAGTGTGTGTGCCACCAATTTGACCTCATCCAATATCTGCTACAGTTGTCGTGAGTGTGTGTGCCACCAATTTGACCTCATCCAATATCTGCCACAGTTGTCGTGAGTGTGTGTGCCACCAATTTGACCTCATCCAATATCTGCTACAGTTGTCGTGAGTGTGTGTGCCACCAATTTGACCTCATCCAATATCTGCTTCAGTTGTCGTGAGTGTGTGTGCCACCAATTTGACCTCATCCAATATCTGCCACAGTTGTCGTGAGTGTGTGTGCCACCAATTTGACCTCATCCAATATCTGCTACAGTTGTCGTGAGTGTGTGTGCCACCAATTTGACCTCATCCAATATCTGCCACAGTTGTCGTGAGTGTGTGTGCCACCAATTTGACCTCATCCAATATCTGCTACAGTTGTCGTGAGTGTGTGTGCCACCAATTTGACCTCATCCAATATCTGCCACAGTTGTTGTGAGTGTGTGTACCACCAATTTAACCTCATCCAATATCTGCCACAAGAGCCTCATTCTCCCCTCATTACTGGTACATTTGTATCGCCAACCTATTGAAGTCAATAACACATTGTTTAACTAACGAAACTCATGGTCGTCTGCTGCGAGTAACCCAAACATTATTGCCTGTGATATTTATTGGGTGTGAGATTGTTGACGTTATCGTTGGGATTGCGCCTCGCGATGAGGCTCATGTATGTGTGCTTTGCCGGCCATATAGCAAAGGGTAGTGTGATTTCGCCTCTTGTGCCACGTATAACCATTGGTTTGCTGTTAACATCTGGTGTCTGAGAAGTTGGTGAGGCTCGGTGCAGCCGATACGGCATCGGGACGGGTCACTGTGATCTATCTTACTGCCAGCTCTCGTAGTGGCGGCCCACTTGAGCGTCGCGTCGCGGCGATAACTGGAGGAACGTTGCTGAGGGCAAGGGAATAACGCGATGCATCAAAGTCTTCTTTGTGGGCTTGAACAAGCATCAGGACTTAAAACACGTATTCTCTCTGTGCAGAACTTGTGATAATGGTTAACAGATAGGCTGAGTAGGGGGTGCAAATACATGTCTGTGAATGGGGTATCAAAAAGGTGTGTGTCTGTGTCTGTCTGTTGTGGGGTGAGTGGGGTGTTTGTGGGGGCGGGGGAGGGGCTGGAGGGGTATCAGTCTCGGTCATGATCGCGCTCAGAGACCCCTCCCTTATTAAACACATTCCGAACCCCTACATCCGATAAATGAAACTATACTATAGTTTTCTTACCGTTATCATCACGTCGCCGTCTTCATAGATGTCGTACTCTTCTTTGTCGTTGTCGTCATAGTATTCGTCATCACTGACATCGTCCTCAGGTTCAAAGGGTCGGATCTGTTGGCGATGTCTGCTTGCTGATAGATCAGCTTTACTCATGTCAATCAGTGTGTCAAATAGTTCCGAATCGGGGAATTCTTCATATTCCAGCAAATCATATTCATTTGGATCTGAAAATATTGATTTTATAAAAGTCAAGTATATATTAGATGTAGTTAAACTATTTATTCAAATTCCACAGTAAAAACGCATTTATTACTGGAACGAGGTGTGCCCCTTTATTCCATATAGTGATGCATTGTGTAAGAAACCCATAAACTGACGCCATCAAACCAAGATACCCTGTTAATTACTGTATATCAAATATTAAGCCGTCAACGTGGGAATGTCCACAGAAGCCCCCGACGAACGCTTCATCAGAATTGAACAATACAGTCTAGCGACTGCCTCAGCCAAGTGTATCTACCCCACATATAATCACATTACCTCCACTCCACGGGGAGGATGAAACGTGCAAGTAATAGACACCATCAGTATTTGTATGCATTATTTACCCCCCTGTACCATCGTTGGTGGTTTATGGAGAATACAGATTTATCTGTAATAGCAGTTTTAATGTCCATCATGTCTATATTTCATCTTTTAAGCCTTGTCTCATCCTTTTTATCATTATATCGTCACCCGTCTCCCTGTTAGTATGATGCTAATGAGCCGTACCCCCGGGGTCAGTGCGCCCTGATTCAATTGCGGGCGTCTTTAAATGTGTCTGCATTCACACTTTTTTTTCTGGTGAATAGATACATTTACAGTTTATCAAAACGTTTGAATAGAATTTTGCTGAATCAGCCTTCTATGCACCACACGGCCAGACAGTATGGTGAAGTACTTGATGATCCCACGTCCCCTTTAGACTGAGTCCTTTCCCCCTTGATAGTATAGATCTCGATACACTTAAACAACTATACTGTTTGGTCCCACGGCACTACCTTGATCCCGCATACAAAACACATGGGAAATGTACGATATGCATTGCAAATACATTACAGGGATATGGAACACATAAAACAACGTCCTTTTCTAACTATCCAAAGTTTTTAGTTTTTCAAATTAAATAAAAATGTACGATGTAAAATCTTACCTGGTTTAAGCAGAATAAGTCCAGTCACACACTGGGATATCATTATAGACACAATAATCAGAGCTGGAGTGGATCCCATTGTGGTCAGCAATGTCCGAGCGCAGGCAGAACGAGCCTTGAGCGTGTATATGGTCAAGAAAAGCGGGATTCGAGGCAGAGATATAGCTGGGTTCTCTATACTGTCTGTGACAAACTACTGAGGCTAGGGGGAAGCCCTCATATTTATACTGGTTTAATTGGCAGTTTGATACGTTTCGCTTGATAACGAAAATTCGATAAGTAATCGATTATGTGGGATACACTACTTGTTGACACGCTAGGACTGGTATTGGTTGCACGAGGACACGCCCCCAGTGCGGAAAACTCGTCGCGGGGGGCCGGGCTTCATGGCGTCACGACTTTTGGGGGCGCAGCCTGTTTACAACTCCACTAGCGGGCTCAGTCTATAAACCTTGATAGAAACAAATGTGATGTTCCACTTCTTCAGAAAGTGACCTAGTTTCTTTGATCTGCTATAAGAGCTCATCTTGCTGCTAAATGAACTTCCTCATTAATAGCCGCGCCGGTGTGTCCGTTGCTCTCTGCTAGGGCGAGGTGGTTGGTTGTGAGTTATACGCTGCCCCCCCCCCCCCCCCCCCCCCCCCCACACACACACACACTCAATCCTATAGCTTTTCGTTGTACTCCAGCAAGCACTCGAGGCTGAGCGGTGCGCGACTGGGGGTTGTGTCAGTGCGTCTAGGGTCTACCGGGACTGAGAGGGAGTTAGACGTTTACGTCTTTCGCCGGTAGGTTTATTATTACACCTCCACGATCTCACAGTAAAAATATAGCTGGAATGGCTGTCGTTGTTGGCGAGATAATGGTACTTGTTTGACCGCTTGCATCTTCCCAAAGTTGTACCCAACCCATATCCAAAGGTGATCGCGATGATCATCTCGATAAAGAGACAGTTTTAGACACCATTCAGCACCAATGGTGATCTGCCACCGGTTTGATAACCTTTGCATACCTTACAGTTAGTGGGGACAGGTGGATATATACGCTAAGGTGCACCGAACTAATGTGTCTTGGTACGCCGACAGAGGGCTCACCTGCCGAATCTGCGTGGTGCTTGTCACCGAGACAATGAGATGCACCCAATAACATCTCAATCAAGTACATCATTAACCTCAAAGAATCACAGCTGTCTTCTAATTCAAGGAATCTCATATATATACAGCTAGGTACAAAGACTCACCAACTCAATTACACCCGATCCATCTGTGCCCAACTACCGTATATAGTCTGTGTATAGTGTACCTTGGTACCGTAAATGGTCTGTAATAACTGTACCCAACTACCGTATAAGATCTGTATTGATTGACAACCCCAGCCACCTGTAGTCAGGTAGATGTCATATATTCGAGTAATTTGACAGAACAGAATGACGTCTGTAGCCATGTAGATGTCATACGCTGTAGTACCTTGACAGAACAGAATGACACCTGAAGCCATGTAGATGTCATACGCGGTAGCACTTGACAGAACAGAATGACACCTGTAGCCAGGTAGATGTCATCACTGTAGTACCTTGACAGAACAGAATGACACCGGTAGCCAGATTGATGTCATACGCTGTAGTAACTTGACAGAACAGAATGACACCTGTAGCCATGTAGATGTCATACGCTGTAGTACCTTGACAGAACAGAATGACACCTGTAGCCAGGTAGATGTCATACGCTGTAGTACCTTGACAGAACAGAATGACACCTGTAGCCAGGTAGATGTCATACGCTGTAGTACCTTGACAGAACAGAATGACACCTGTAGCCAGGTAGATGGCAGAACAGGCACACACGTAGCCAGGTAGATACCGTTTTTCACTTTTGTGACACGATTCCTACCTAAGTTTAAGACAGCAACATGTACACATTGTGATTACAACGACTTGGAAAAAATTAAATGTGAAAATATTATGACATGATGGTTCTGACAACCGTATCGACATGTTTATGTATAATGGCTATAGGCCGCACATCCGGTGGCTGGGTATAGGGAGATTCTTGTTGCTGTGGGTATCACAGCGTCAGGCAGAACACAGGAAAGGGAAATTGTAACTAGTCATTCGAGCAATCACCCAGAGATCTACCGTAGTAGCATTTCCTCCACCTACCCACATCGCAGCCTCTTCCTGCCACATCCCAGAACAATCCTAAACAACCCGTCGTTCCACAACCCACACCCTAGATCCTCAACCACACAGCTTGTAGACTCCACGGCCTACATTAGAGACACCATGTCACCTCCACACCCAATACAAAACACCCACTCTAACCACCCTGTCACCTCCAATACAAGACACCCACACTAAACATCCTGTCACCTCCAATACAAGATACCCATTCTAAACACCCTTTCGCCTACACACCCTCCCTAAACACCCTGTCACCTCCAATACAAGACACCCATCCTAAACATCCTGTCACCTACAATACAAAACACCCACCCTAATCACCCTGTCACCTCCAATACAATACACCCACCCTAATCACCCTGTCACCTCCAATACAAGACACCCACCCTAACCATCATGTCACCTCCAATACAATACACCCACCCTAAACATCCTGTCGCCTACACACCCGCCCTGAACATCCTGTCACCTCCAATACAATACACCCACCCTAAACATCCTGTCACCTCCAATACAAAACACTAACTCTAAACACCCTGTCACCTCCAATACAAGACACCCACCCTAAACATCCTGTCGCCTACACACCCGCCCTAAACATCCTGTCACCTCCAATACAAGACATCCACCCTAACCATCCTGTCACCTCCAATACAATACACCCACCCTAAACATCCTGTCGCCTACACATCCGCCCTAAACATCCTGTCGCCTACACAACCGCCCTAAACATCATGTCACCTCCAATACAAAACACTAACTCTAAACACCCTGTCACCTCCAATACAAGACACCCACCCTAAACATCCTGTCGCCTACACACCCGCCCTAAACATCCTGTCACCTCCAATACAAAACACTAACTCTAAACACCCTGTCACCTCCAATACAAGACACCCACCCTAAACATCCTGTCGCCTACACACCCGCCCTAAACATCCTGTAACCTCCAATACAAAACACTAACTCTAAACACCCTGTCACCTCCAATACAAGACACCCACCCCATACATCCTGTCGCCTACACACCCACCCCATACATCCTGTCGCCTACACACCCGCCCTAATCATCCTGTCACCTCCATACAAAACACCAACCCTAAACACCCTGTCACCTCCACACCCAATACAAAACATCAACCCTAAACACCCTGTCACCCCCACACCCAATACAAGACACCCACCCTAACACCCTGTCACCCCCACACCCAATAAAAAACACCCACCCTAAACACCCTGTCACCTCCACACTCAATACAAGACACCCACCCTAAACACCCTGTCACCTCCATACCCAATACAAGACACCCACCCTAAACACCCTGTCACCTCCATACCCAATACAAGACACCCACCCTAAACACCCTGTCACCTCCATACCCAATACAAGACACCCACCCTAAACACCCTGTCACCTCCATACCCAATACAAGACACCCACCCTAAACACCCTGTCAGCACCACACCCAATAAAAGACACCCACTCAAACACCCTGTCACGTCGACATCCAATACAGGACACCCACCCTAAGCACCTTGTCACCCCCACGCCCAATACAAAACACCCACCCTAAACATCCTGTCACCACCATACCCAATAAAAGACGCCCACCCTTAACACCCTGTCACCTCTATACCCAATACAAAACACCCACCCTAAACACCCTGTCAGCACCACACCCAATAAAAGACACCCACTCAAACACCCTGTCACGTCGACATCCAATACAGGACACCCACCCTAAGCACCCTGTCACCTCCACATCCAATACAAAACACCCACCCTTAACATCCTGTCACCTGTACGCCCAATACAAGACACACACATTAAACACCCTGTCACCTCCACACCCAATACAAGACACCCACCCTAAACATCCTGTCACATCCACACCTAATACAAGATACACCCCTTAAACATCCTGTCACCTCCACACCCAATTCAAGACACACACCTTGAACATCCCTTCACCTCCCCTCACCTCCACGCACGCACGCACGCACGCACGCACACACACACACACACACTCACACACACACACACACACACACACACACTCTCGCTCTCTCTCGCACTCTCTCTCTCTCTCACACACACACACACACACTCTTTCTCTCTCTCTCACACAAACACACACACACTCTCGCTCTCTCTCGCACTCTCTCTCTCACACACACACACACTCTTTCTCTCTCTCTCTCTCTCTCTCTCACACACACACACACACAAGAGGACGCACACATACTCTTCCAGTTGATTTAATTCAATTTACCCTCTGTCATGATCAGCAGGTCGCTCCTTTCTAATACACAACATGACAATGAGTAATTCGTATAACTCTAAACATTTAATTGGAATAATGTTCTCACTATGATGGTTTTAAGTTGTATGTAAGTGAGAGGTAAACACTTATGTATGAAAAGATGAAACTTATCCTTCTGTTTCCGGAAAAGGACAAGTGGAAGGAAATCCTTCACGATGTGATACGCGTTCCATGGTGACTGTGCAACCACAAAACTCAGCAGAATGCGTCTCAGTGTAATGTTAGTGGCTCCACCTCCAGAGATTTGCGTCGTGGTTATATCATATACGTGATGCTTTTGTGTAACACGCCATTGGGACTTTAAGAAACTAAGGCTTAAACTAAAAATATGCCTCGGAAATGGATGTAGGTGCAGGTCTGGGCTATTTCCTCCAGCGAGAACCTGCTACCTGATGATCTGAACTGTTAATGAGTGAGTTAATATTTTTACACCATAGGTACAGCTAGCTATAAAACAAGGCGGATACCACTACATCTCACACTGTACAACGATAAACACAAGTGTATCACACATTGAACAAGAATGGTGCAAATATATCACACATTGAACAAAAATGTTACAGCTGTATCACACAGCGTGCAACAATGTTACAACTATATCACACAGCGGACAATAATGTTAAAACTATATCACACAGAGGACAACGATGTTACAACAATATCACACAGCGGGCAACAATGTTACAACTATATCACACAGCGGACAACGATGTTACAACAATATCACACAGCGGACAACAATGTAACAACTATATCACACAGCGGGCAACAATGTTACAACTATATCACACAGCGGACAACAAAGTTACAACTATATCACACATTGGACAACAATGTTATAACTATATCACACAGTGGACAACAATGTTACAACTATATCACACAGCGGACAACGATGTTACAACAATATCACACAGCGGGCAACAACGTTACAGCTGTATCAGACAGCGGACAATAATGTTACAACTATATCACACAGCGGACAACAAAGTTACAACTATATCACACATTGGACAACAATGTTACAGCTGTATCAGACAGCGGAC